GATTTACCAAATCCATTGCAACTCCCAAGGAGGAAAATGACCTTGTGCACAAGTTACTACCCTGGCCCAAAGATTTTACATAATCGGCTTCTCCGCATCCACGTGAGTCCCCACCAGAGACCCGGTCCCGCAGTTCCCTCAACTTCCCGACATTTTTGTGTCTTTGATTTTGTTGTTTGTCGCATTATCCTCGGCAATCGTTTCGGAGTTCGCCCATGATGCCTTGAAGTGACCGGTGTTGGTGACTTGAATGATGCAGAATCGTGGCCGATTTGGACGAATGATGTCAACGGTACTCCTGCCATGTCCTCTGTCAATGATAACCCCCCCTCGCCGCTCCCGGTAGATGGAGTGAGCAAGCGCAAACAAGGTAAGCGCTTGGGCAATAAACCCCTGTCTGCCAGATCCTTGTGTTTTTTTTTTGGATTTTCTAGTCCCTTTTCTTGGTTCTTGGTTATCTTCGCGCGACCAGACCCGCTAACCGGTGACTCAAAAATCTTTTAGGCTCGGCAGCTTGTGTCCACTGCCACCGGCGCAAGGTTCGCTGCGATGCCCGTACCGTCGGAACACCCTGCACCAACTGTCGCGCCTCCGGAAAGGTTGACTGCCGCATACACGAAAAGAAAAAGCGTCTTGCTGTACGCTCAATTCTGGATCCTGTTCCGATCCGATCTCGCCCTCTACCCACATCTGATCCCACTCCAAACCCTGCTCTTGCAGCGGGGACACAACTACCACCAAGTTTCCCAACTGCATTCCAGAGCGGCCATGCTACACCACTATCTGGGGTCCTTCAGCAACACGGATTCCCACAAGGCACGGGGTCGGAGGCATTTGGCCGCCACGGCCCCGATATGGCGCATGCTCACGAAGCACACACGGAGATGGAGCAACATCTCGTTAAATTGATAGATGAAGAGGAATCCGGAAGAAGAGAGATTCAAAGAGGCGTGCGCGCCTTCTATGTCGGACACGAACATTCGAACATGTCATTCTTGTTCCGACAACAACGAGAACAAGATGACGATGTATACCATTTTGCGAGCAACGAAATCCCACGCCGTCAAATAAAGACGGGCCACGATCAGCTTCTTATGGACGCTTTAACACTTCCAGAACCGGCTCTTGCAGATGAACTGGTCCAGGCTTATTTCACATACGTTAATCCGGGGTACCCTATCATCGACGAAGATTTATTCATGTCGCAATACCGGAACCGGGATCCTGCAGATCCTCCGCCAGTTCTACTTCTTCAAGCAATTTTGCTGGTTGGGGCGCATGTGTCTCGTGCAAAAGTAGAGCGAGACGCTCTCAAAGAAATTTTTTTCCGCCGAACCAAGTATCTCTTTGACAACCGCATCGAGCGAAATCGCGATATTCTTGTTCAAGCGGCCCTTCTTTTGACATGGCATTCAGATAGCGCAGATGATGATGTTGCTGCAGATGCTCACTTCTGGGTTGGGGCCGCTGCACGCATCGCCACGGGCCTTGGAATGCATCGTAATCCTGTTTCCAGCAGCTTTGTGACTCGCGATCGGCGAATGTGGCGAAGAGTTTGGTTCATTCTGGTCCAATTTGATGTGTTGATCTCCTTGTCATATGGCCGACCTCAAGCGATGTAAGTTATCTCCAAAGGGCCAATCTACAGCAATTACTAATCAAGTTTCAAACTAGCAACCTTGACGATTCCGACGTGTCTCCTTTGACGCCCGCCGATTTCGAGAATTGCGGACCTCTTGTACAATCAGACTACGTGATGCATTTTACCGAACTTTGTACGATGATCTCGTATCTCATTCGCGATCGATTTGGACTTCGGGCGAGTGAGGAACGGCGAAAGGCCGTTCTTCAAGAGGCTGACGGATCATTGGCAACCTGGTCTCTGAAGCTTCCTGATAATCTTCGGCTCCGCGCATCTGATATGGATCCTTGGTCTGCCATGCTCCATTTGACCTACAACAACTTCCTCATATTGTTGCATCGGCCTCATCCCAGAGCCTCAGCCTATTCCGATGACTATGGCCCTCACGACGCAGAAATTTGCAGTGCAGCTGCGGGGGTTATAGCCTCAATCTTTGAAGAGCTCAGGATGCATGAGCGCTTGAAGTTCCTTTGGTACACTGGCGTCCATACCCTCTTCACGGCTATGATCCAAGTTCGAGTTGAACTCCGTTTCTCCAACCCAGTTCTTGCCATCAATGCCTTACGCCGCTTCGATTCTGCCTCTTACTCGCTGCGCGAGTTGGCTAAATATTGGGTCCACGCCGGCACAATCCTGCGACTCTTCGAGGACTCCAAACGTCTGCAAGAGGATCTTCGGATGGCAACCACCGAACGACCCAAGCCATTCGGTGACCATCATCATGCGCACAAGATGCCCATTGCCTCTCCTGTTCCATCAATTACCATGCAAACCCCCGGACCACTCTCCTTTGGTGTGCCCACCCCTGAATCTACCACCCCTCTCCAACAAACTACCCTCTCACCACAACCCAATCCTCAATTTAATAATTGGATTGCTCCTCTCCGGCTTAATGTTGGCCCGATGGAAAGGAACGATCCTTTCTCAAGCAGCATGCAAGTGGATTCCATCGAGCCAGCTCGCGACTATCCGGACTGGCGACAGCTGTTTGCGTTCGGTGATGTAGACCTACCTCCCCCCGTGGGAGTTGAAGGTCTGCCCGAGCTTGAAGATGAATGGCGACAGATCTACTGGCAGGATGCCCCGATGGCTGATCTTATTCACGATGGGGGATGGATACATAGCTAGCATTGTCTTGCTACCTCTGGTTGATGACTGTATAGAGCTGTCATCCTTTCCATCGCCTACTCCCCACATACCTTTTCTACATTGACGACGAGACGAGCCACGCCAGGGCACGCAGATACACGATACATCTTAGAGACCATGTCAGGCCACAGGCAGGCCCAGCCTATGATACCATGTCACAAACGATCACATCCAACAATAGAGATATCCACGTCATATAATTGCAAATAGTGATGCTCGGATAAAATTAGTTGGGGCCTTTTTTGTATCTCGAATGAATCACCTAGGTAATATCCATGGATGTACGTACGAGAGTATTCCAGATCGCGCCATCTATGCGTTTTTCGCTAATCGCACCGTCCTTGTAACCCGGGAAAGGTTACTGCAATAGATCAGAAATCAAATCTAAGCTCACCCTATGCAGGAATAAATATTTTTTTTTTGAAATGCAAGATCTAGCCAAACACAAACCGCCGCCAATTATCGGCCAGCATCTGGGCACCGTGCCGCAACTCCCATTCACGTAGCTGACAAACCTGTCGTACCACATCTTCCAGCACCTCATCCATCTGGGCACCCGCAACATGGAGATCACTTTCGATAAGAATTCGATCCTCCGGCAAAGCCTTGACAACATCACCAACCTTCTTCCCGGCAGTACCGGAGAAATTGATAACTTTCGAGAACGAGAAATAAACATCCGACGGATTCGACCGATGTAAAAACTGGCGGATAGGCTCAACAGAACCGGTATAAGAGTGCATGCAAATACGAGGCGGAAATGGCCGATACGGTTTCCCATTTAGGTCGGAAGCTTCAGTGGACCGAGATCCATCCGGCGTCTTATCATCATCACCATCGTCGTCGTCAGATACAGCGCCTTCCGCATCCCGCTGCTTGTCCCTCTTCCGTCGCGATAGCACAACCCGTTCATGCCCTGCCCAGAGCTCCTTCAGCACTTCGAAGACTCCGCCGTGGGCTTGTACGCTATGCAGCGAGACGGCACGGTTCATTTCTCCCGCTAGCTGTAGCTGCGCTTTCAGCACGGTGCGCTGGTGTTCCGGCTTGACGCGGTAATTTGAGAGACGTCGGCCCTCGCGTGAGCCGGGGGTAAGCTGGTCATCTCTGTTTTCAATGTCGGTTGGAATCCATGGACTCGGGAGTCGGAATGACCTGTCCAAGCCTACTTCGCCAACTAGCGCATTCGGGAACTGTTGGAGTCGGTTCCGAGTTTCGGATATTAGTTCTGAGAGGAGCTTGGGGACAGGAAGTAAATCAATGAACGGCTGGTCATCCACTGGAGATGGTGCTAGGACGGTGGCGTAGTGGGCGGATTTGTGCTCGACTGGGTTTTGTCCTGCTGATGGTTGTGCAGTGTCGTCCAGGATTTGGTGCGAGAACCACGGGTGCCAGCCGAAGCAGGGGACTACGCGATCTGCTGTTGATTGGGTTTTCTTTGCTGAGAGTAACACCGCTGTTTGCTGTACGAGATCTTGGTCTTCTCCGCGCGTCGCCATGATTGTCAGTGTTGTCGCCTTCATCTGCGGGATGTCGGCCACTGAGGCCAATGTGTCGGTGGGGTGGCAGTGGGCATCGTGAACACCAATGTCCCAAGGGAAGGGTTCGTTCTCTGGCATGGTTTTGGGGGGGGGGGTATTCAATGAAGATCAGACCAGAGCTTCCCTAGATTCTAAGTTTTTGATATACAAAGCTGAAAGGTCCCGAAGTGATGTAATTGACGTTTGTGCCTGGGGCATCCATCACATGCTTTCTCCGCAATTCGTTGTTACTGTTGTGACTGGGTTGGTGAAACGCCGAAAGTCTTATAATGATGGCCTTCCGGTCCTTTTCTCCCTTCCAGGGGATGTATATAGGCTCCTCAATGTGGCCCTCACTATTAACGTTGCTCGCGCTGCCTATCCTGGCCGTCATCTCTATCCCACTTATTCTCTCAGCATGGGTTACAATCTCCGCTGCGCTTTTTGCATTGATACTGAGACTATCAGTAGTCTGTGTTGAGCTAGCATATGGATTGGCCATGCATTTTTTTTCAGTGCCAACTTCATCTACCTCGTCACTGTTGACATTTGCGGCCTCAGAGCCTGCAACTCCAGCTACTGGTAGATCAAGAAGGAACTCTAGCCAAACGACAACACATCCACGAAGGACAGACGACTCTTTCAGTTCCTGGGCCATAAGTACAAGTCTGGATGACCCAGAAAGCCGCCAAATGAACTCTTATGCACGAAGCATGATCGAGGCCCATCACTTGACTACCCCAACATCCGTCTACGGCCTGCCTATAGGCGGCGATGAAAGACGAGACTTCGAAGGTGTAGGTGGATGGCGCTCGTACCGGTCATCCAAAACAAACAGCTCGCATAAAACACATGAGAAAGCCATAAACTCGACTCCGTCCTCTTCGACACATAGCACCGGCGGCGACATTGATCCAGACGCAGACATCGACGCAGAAGAGCGAGCCTGGCTCTCTCTGAATAACCGTCTCGAGCTCCCCTCGCAACTCGTCACGCTAAGCACAAGTATCCACTCCGGAAGCTCCCTGACCAGTCCTGAAAGCGCCGACTGGCACAGTAGCCGCAATCTCCAGTCACTCAAGGGAGCAATGAGCTCACAGAGCATTTACAAAGAGAAACAACTAGACGGGTCAAAACACCACCACCGCTCACTCACGACTTCCACGCTGACGACCTCTGACCGGCGCACGGGAGTGGGACTCTCGGCGCTGTTAACCCGGCCTGATAACGCAGCTGTTCATTCGGGGGAGCACGACCAGTCGATGTTGCCGTCAACAGCACGACTAACGGACCCATTAATAACGCCCCAGCCATACGCACGGCTAGATTCAAACTCGAAAGCACAGTTGCGGGCTCGCCCGCGCGCTTTCCCTGCTAGCGGTGCGCCGTTTACAAGCTCCTATCTCTCCAGCTTCGGGGATGGGGTAAGCCACAGCTTCGGGAGCAATAGCAGGGGAGGGGCTTTTGCCAACGAGGGCGGTGGTTATTTTTCTCTGAGGCGGCCTGGGTCCTCTGGTAGCCACATTCTCTCTGAAAAAGTTAGCCCTAGTGCCAGTGGTTATACGACTCCCGCGGTTGATTTGTCGACTGAGGGGCCTGATGCTTCATCAGTGAGGCTAGCGCGCTTGATGGCGCATTACCCCACTGGCCCTAGGCATCGGAGACAAAGTATCTCTGGGCCGAATTTGAGGGGACCCGCTGCTGGGGATCGAGCTGGATGAAGCGTGTTGTTCTTCTTTCTTCATTGGGAGGCGCGAGGAGCACAAATCATTAAAAAAAGGTGCCATGAAAAGCTGTTTCTCCGAATGGAGTATTCATGGCAAGTGTTATTAATTCTGTCCAAGTCTATCTAGTCAGTATGTTCCCTACAGAATAGTAGCCACGGAAAAGAGGGAGAGAGGCACATAAACACCAGTGGGCACAAAAATAGAGAAAAAGCCACAATAAGCGAGGGACGAAGGTATTCAGCATGAAAGGTCAACTTCACACCCCAGTTCTAAATTTGATAGAACATTGTTCACGAGAGAGGGAAGGAAGCCGTATCCACACCATTACTGACGGCTTCTCTCCCTCTGGTTGACCTCTTCCATCTCGGCCAGCACGATACTGTTGAACTCCTCCCAGCCATCGAGGTACAAATGGTGGCCAGCTTTATTCACGACGACTACCCTTGAGGAACCTTCATCGGCACGCTGCTCCTCTGGGGTTGCCTTTTCTAGGACTTTGCGCTTTTCTTCTTCCAACTTAGCTGCTGCTGCATGACCACCTGAGACATCCATCCAGTCGTGATCACCATACATGAATACGACGGGGAGACCATTCTCGCGCCGAGCGGGCGCCAAGAATTCCGATGAAGTAGCGGCGGTGGGGGCGGGTTCTTTATCAGAGGGCGTTGACGAAGTGGTAGCGGCAGCAACTGGATGAATCAGTTGTCTTCCGAGGCCGTGGACACGGTGGATCAGAGGACTGCGAGCAAAAGCACCGGGGGCAAGAATGTATGCTAGGGCATACTCGCCGCTGCCGCGAAGACTAAAGATCGAGTATGAATAGTCGTGGAGTGCCTTAGCTTCCTCGGCTGGTAGGTGGGAAAACCGACGAGAAGTCCATCCGGACACGAGACGTGGCCCTAAAGGACCGGCCCAACGCACCAGACTGAAGGGGGAGATATTGGCGTCCCACAAATACGAAAACCACTTGGGGAGATTCCGTCGCGGGGCTGGAGGTGGAACGGAACCAGCCGAAAGTGGTTGGCGCCCAGTGATAAAGCTACCGTCGGCTGCCTTTGGTGCTGTTCCCGGAATGGCAGCAGATGAAGTAATATCTCGCTCGTCTTGAGTAAGCTCGTTGGACAACGTGGATGCCGGAGGCTCGGCAACATCTGCAGCGATAGCGTATGGGTCCTCTGGGATGCCAACTGGGGATGCTAGGATAAGCTTGTTCAGATGACCGGGGTATTTCAGCGCGTAGGCAACCGCCATGTACCCGCCGAGGCTGTGTCCAAGCAAAGTGAAGCGATCAATCTTGCGTTTGATGCGCCATTCCTCTAAGGCATCCACAAACCAAGCCTCGGCCTCCCTGATGGCGTCTTCTCTTTCCTTTGCCTTAATTTTAAATGAAGGTCGAGTACTCCGGCCCATGCCTAGCATGTCTAGGGCATGAAGTTGCCAGCCTTTCAACCGACTCAGTGGCTCGAAATTTTTATAGAAGAAGCCAAGTCCGGCGCCGTAGCCGTGCAGCATGACCAAGTGTTGGTCTGATTCCTCGCCGATTCTCTCCACCGAGAACTCATTGAGCGCGCGGTCTTTCCCGCTCAGTTCTACCATGCTTGAGCGCCATCGGCGAGGGCCGTAGGGGTCATCAAGGGAGTTGGTGGTTACTTCACCCAGCTGATTAGGGTCTGCACTCTCGAGACTGATCGGGGTAGTGCCATTAGGGAGCTCTGTCGTCTTTCCAGTTTGGAGGTGGGTGGGGGGCTGGTGATGCAAGTAAGGCAGATAAGAGAGCACTTTATGTTCGGCTGCTGCTGCAGGTATACGAGCCCACTACATAAAGCAAATCATCAGCGGAAATGCGGCAATAGGGGCTACTAAATTGTGGCTTACCCATTGACTGAAGCCTTCGCGGTATCCCAACGGGAAAAATGCGCGCGCCGCAGCCGCACCGGCAGCCTGAGTCGCGTGTGGACTTCCCGAGGTCCTCTCTGGGTTATTTTCACCTGGGCGCTGGTGGCGCCCATGGACGTCCTCGTGGGACGAGTTGAGTGATTCTGACGCCATTGAAGACAGTAGTTGCCTCCGAGGAAGGGTGGCAAAGACGACTGAGCGAGGTTTAGCCTGGCGTTGAGGGACTGAAAAGGGAAAGGCAAGTCGTGAAGCTATGCCTGCGGTTCGTAAGGTGGGAGAACAAAGGGTTTCTACTAGCCCAAGTTGAACGGTGGCGCTCATGGACGTATAAGAAGGATGCGCGGAGACAATTCGGTCACTCCGCTTAACCCCGGTAGACCTAACATGCGCACCGGGAAGAAGAGGTAATGTCCGATGGAAGAGAGCCGAAGAAACTAAAAAGATGATTGTATCGCCTAAGGGGCAATGTGGTCAAACCAGAATAATTTGTGTCGAGAGAAGTCAAGTCAACTGGGCAGATGATGTCGATTTAACTTGGCTTTCCTGTCAACTTCCCTTCCCGCCTTTCTCTCCTCTTCACATGCGATGACACTAATGACACTCGCTCTGGGCCGAATCGGCCAAGTTCTGATTTAATTTTAATTGACCTTTACTTTTCCTATTCTGTTCTCATCTTGGGAATGTTTTTAAATATGGCTTCACCTTTAGACCAGATGGTCAAGGGTGCCCCAACACCGGATGCTCGTGCCTCATTAACCCCAGAGCCGTTGAACTCCTCACGATCATCTCAAGCTCGCCGTTCAGGTTCCTCCCCTCAACGTCCTTCGACGCCAGACCCGCTGGCACACCTACCCTCCTCCCCGCCCCAGATCTACCTAAACCTCTTAATACTCGAAACCTCGCTGCGAGCCCAATATCTGGCCCTGCGCGAGCGTCGCCGCCAGAACACGTTCTTCCTACTTCTACTAGCCGCTTGGCTTGCTCATTTTTCATATGCCCTTTTCCTTCGCCCACGTGAAGATGGCCGCGGGGTCGGCGGCTCTGTCTACTGGGTCGTGGAGATGGCGGAGAGAGTCGCCCTGCTCGGCGGGGTGGTTACCGCACTGCTCGTTTGGGGCACAGGGCAATGGGAACGAGGAATCAGATGGCCTCGGCGCTGGCTCGCTGTCTCCAATCGCGGCCTGCGAGTGATGAACACCAAGATCATTATCATCCGTGGCCCCTTCTGGCAGGAGCTACTGTCCTACATTTCATTCCTGTTCCCGTTTTCCGTCCCATTCTTACCCTCCCCAACTGGAAACTACCATTTTGTGGAGCAGAGCCTCTCGGATAGGCGCGCTGGTGGTGGTCGGCAGCACTATCAACAGTACTACAACCGCACCTACACCGAGTCCGGCTTGGTAGAAGAAGACCTCAGCCCGGGAGGCGACTGCATCCGTCTCCTCCTGCTACCCAAGTCCTTCTCCCCTGAATTTCGCGAAAACTGGGACAATTACCGTACAGACTTCTGGGAGAAGGAAAATGAGCGTCGCGCCCAGCTACGTCTCAAACTACGCGAGCGGAAGCACCACCTCGCCCAAACAGATGAAGGCTGGCTCAACCGACTCGGGCTTGGCTGGCGCGCCTCCCAACGCCGCCGCATGGTCGCAGGAACCCTACACCGCTCAATCGAGCCGGATTTGAAACACCGCCTAGGCCACGGCCACCACTCCTCTACGAAACCCAACCAGGAACAACGTGGTACCTCCTCCCGCCGCAATGCTCGCTCCGAGTCCAATTCCCGTACCTCATCCCGCAGCACCACCCCCGTCGACACCGGCATCGAAGACCGTCCCCCCTCTCGCTCTTCCACTTCGAGTCGGCCTCGCCGCGGAAGCACTGCCTCTGGACAGGACGCGAGCCCGCAGCAGCGGAAACGAAAGGGCTCGACGCTTCGGCCGGGCCTGTCGCCTCTCATGCAGGCGCAGATCAGAGAGGGTGTAAGGACCTTGTCCTTCTCATCGGACGACTCTGTGTTGCCTATGGGTATGATTGAGAAGAATAAAGAGGAGGCTATATCAAATTCCGTTCCGGGATTGTAATACTGCGCTGCACCTTAGCACGAAACTTTCATGCTTAAGCTGCTCATAACTCTATACCCTGTTTTTTTTTTTGTCTCTCTCATGTTTACCAGACACTTGTTGCTCAGAGCGCTGTCTTTGCAAACTTACATTAACCATGTCTGCATATCCTTTAGAGTGCGGTGTCGTCGGTGCCATAGAAACCCCTAAACACCTCGCCTATGCATGCTATTGTGTTGTATTTAATTTATTCAGAAAATTCCCTTTTACTGCATCTTTTTAGTGTCAAACACACAAATCACTGCTAATCACATCACATGGCATAACAATTGTAGTTGAGCTAAGCGTGGGACTACCACTCAAGTTTTCATGCAAGTCAAGGATCAAGTATTCATTCATATCTCTCGTATTGAGTCCACTGATATTCCCTCGTAAACCCACTCCATACGCCAAACACAAAAAACTTGCGATGATATCAATCCCAATGCAATGACAAGAAAGCATGCTCATAAAATTAGATGCCGGCAAATCCAGCATTTTCCCCTCGGGGAATTTTCCACGAGGAGAAAAGTATAGATAGTGCCACATAACCCAGATAGATTAGACCCGGTACACATCTTCTTCGTCCTCGAGGTACATCAGGATATTATCGTCATTCATGACCCGCAAGGCCTGGATAGCCTCAGGGCGGGAGAAGACGTGTGAAGCACCCAGTTTGGGCGATTCCCGGATAGCAGCATTAACAGCATTGATCAAGTCATCGATCTTGCTTGTATCGCTATCTTTGAACACGGTCTTTCCCATGAGCGGGCCTAGGGTCTGTCTGAAGACTGTCATGCGGGCAGGGGTGATCGGGACATCTGTGGAAGTAGACTGTGAGTCTTTCTGAGACTCGATAAGCTGCGAGGCTGGCTGCGACGACGCCATTGACATCTGGGAGTCAGTCTGGGTTTGGGTGCGAGCTGCCTGGCTCGAACGCAAGCGTTGAGCGCGAGGGCTGGCTGTGTATAGGCTGTCTGGGTCTTCATCCTCATCTGGGACTGGAACGCTAGATTGCGTTGCAGTGCCGCGAGTGCGTGCTGTGCCAGTGCGTCTACCCGGTGTGGCGGTTGATGTGTTGCGGGCGGTGATGTCATCATCGGAGTTGTCGTCGAGTTCGGCATCGCTGTCGTCGTCAGAGGAATCATCGAAGGTGGTTACCTTGCGTCTCTTCCGGCGCTCGTCCTCGACCACTTCCTTGAACATGGCGAAGCGCAGGATGGCCTCGGCATGTTTGGCATCCTTCTCGTCTACTCGATTAGAAAGGCGAGCTTTGGCATGTGCGGTGGACAAACGGATCAGTGTCTCCAGGGTACGAGGGGTGATGGGTGATGTGCGACGCTTGTTGCCGGTGAGTTCATCGTTTCGAAGAGCAGAATAGGTGGCAATGACATGGTCGGCGGCACCCTTGGTCAAGACGGGCATAATACGCTTCTTGGCGTATTGGATGTACTTCTTGATGAAGGGAATACTGATAATTTCCACATTCTTGCCACGGCGGCGGCCAGCATTGGCAGCGTCAATCATACCACCATGGAGCATGACATTAAACTTCTCGAACACCTCACTTGGCGCGTTGGCATCTTGACGGTCTTCAACACCCACACCCAATGTTTGGTTGAGCTGCTCTCGAACGGGCGCGCCCTCTTCTGTGCCAGGCTGGCGGTAACGGTGCATGCGTAGAACGTGCTCTGAGATAATTCGGTCATGGGCATCCTCAATATCGTCGGTCACGACAAACAGCAAATCGAAACGAGAAAGCAAGGAGTCGGGGAGAGCAATGTTCTTATGCGGGTCCTTGTGGGGATCATATTGGCCATAAATCGGGTTGGCTGCTGCAAGGACACTGCAGCGAGCGTTCAAGCTTGTGTGAATACCTGCTTTCGCTATTGTGACGGTCTGCTGTTCCATGACTTCGTGGATGGCGACACGATCGACATCACTCATCTTATCGAATTCATCAATACACACCACACCACGGTCACCGAGGACCATAGCACCAGCCTCCAGCCGACGTTCGCCGGTTTCTTTGTCGGACGTAACCGCAGCAGTCAAACCGACACCGGAAGAACCACGACCGGTAGTAGCGATTGCCAGAGGCGCGGTATTCAACACGAAACGAAGAAGTTGGGACTTCGCAGTCGAAGGATCACCGACCATCAGAATATTGATATCACCACGAAGATGGGTCCCGTTATCCAAGTTCTTCTCCATTCCACCAAGAAGCATCAGGAGGATGGCTTTCTTGATGTAGTCATGCCCGTGGATGCTAGGAGCCAGAGACTTGGACAACAGGTCGAACACGTTCTTCTTCTTAGCAATCTGATTGATGTTTCGAATGTCGGTATCCGTAAGTACGGCCTCCGCAATACCCCCACCGCTCTTTGAAGATAATTGAACAATGTTGTTCGCCATGACGACGGTGCGGAACGTTGACGAGCCACTTCCTCCGTTACCAAGGGTACGATAGATACCGACCAACTGGATTCTATCACCAGGTTTAGCAGTGTCGACGAGATCGTCATCCAAAATGACATCGACACTTCGGGGTAATTGTCCTGCCGGGGCACGTTCAGGCATTTCTTGGATAGAAATCGATTGGTGGTCGAGATATGTTGAGTAGCCGTACTCGGTGATAAGCTAGAAATTTAAACATCAGTCTCATAAGGCTTTTAAAATTTTCTGAGCTAGACTCACCGGGTTCTTTTCATCGTCCTCTTGAGGGTAAACGTTCAAACTGGTTGCACCGCTGGCACTCATAGTTTGATCACGATATTTTCTAGCAACAAACCGATCCTTCCTTTCGACATAGTGAACACTTTGGACAACCTTAGGGCGTACCAGAGAGCATTTTGTCACAATGCCCTCGAGCGAGACCATGTGGTTCAATTGTTCCGAGCCCAGTGTTCGCGGATTGCAAGAGAATTCTCCGAATGCACCAACGTAGGCGCAGTAGTAGTTCTATCGATTTAGTTAGACATTCAATGCCTACTAAGAATAATCCAAAACATAATACGCACTGCTTCATCCGATGTTTCTTTAAGTGGTCGACCAGGTAAGGTTTTGACGACCGCCTTCAAGGCAGCGTCAAAGGCTTGTGAATAATCGAACGGCGAAGAGAGCAGCCTACAGCCATTAGTCGGTGGACTCAATTCCACTAGTCATGGAGGTGTGCTTTACCCATCTGCAAGCTCCCGGTTGTGTGCTCTGATTTCATCGATGCTGACCTGTCCAAAATTATCAGCACCACCTCCTGGCAGAGAATTTCGCAGATCCACGCACTGTTAGTCGTCGCGCACCCTTATTCAGCATAACCACGATATCCGCTCGATAACTGTTCCAGTTTGTTAGATGTATTTAAGATCACATGAGCTTCGAGGTCGACGAACCTGCGTGCCCGTGCATCATCTCAAAAAGAACTTTATTAGCGTAAAGAACGGCAACACATTCCTCAATGAACTTACTGGGGTCAAGAAATTCAGTTGCGGCACGCACGCGATCCTGCGCAGCCTCATCACGAAGTTGCAACCCGTCCATGATGTGTGATGCAGTATAGTGTGGTAGGAAGAAGAGTCGAGGGGCGCCGATTGGGATTTCCCGATTTGCTAAAGTGGAACGCGTGAAGTTGCACGCGTGGAAGGCGCGTCCCACAGGTACCACGTGCTTTGATGACTCAGCGAACAATTTTCAGCGGGCTATATAAGCTGCCTTCCCCCCGATCCTTTTCTTCTTCTTCAAGCGACTCTACGTGCGTTCCCCTCCCCCCAACAGTTGTGAATACCTTCGGGTTTTCTACACTGGACTTTGACACTTTCAACATTGACACTGACTTCTATCTCTCCACAGTTCAAAGAATCACTTTAGAGTAGACGTCCCCTTTCTAAACTCTTTAAAAGAGCTACAGAATCTCCACCCTTGCTGATGACTACATGTCCTCGATGCCCTAAAGTGAAACCTTTTACTTCCGCTTCGACTGTCACGCGTGCTGTTCGCAGTGTCTGTGTTTCGGTCTAGGGAGTGGTGATGATCTTGACCTGGTCTCGATGTCTGACTTCGGTCGGTCGGTCCTGGTGGGTGTCGAGGAGGTCTGAAAGGTCCTCTTCCATTCTGGTCGATGGTATGGGGTACTACTTGAGCTGCATGCCTTCTTCGTTGATACTAGATGCTTTACAATGGAATTAATTTTTCTGTGCCATGTTGTTGAAAAAAAGAACCCTATAGTCCGGTTAGATCTAAAACTTTCAATTCTGAGTGCTCAACTGATGCCCGACAGCAGAAATTTAAAGTTCATGTGCGGAAACACGTCAGAATAGTTGTTTGAGTTGCTGATCGATATGTGGCTGCAGATATTCAGTCCAACGTACAAATTTTTCAGCACTTTACCTACACTGGCGGAAGGCACAGTGACTTCGCAAAAGTGGCAACACCCCTTCTGCTACCGCCTTCCTAATTTATCACATCACTTCTCTAAATCAATAGACCGTCCTTTCTCCATTAGCTTTTAATTGGCAGATGTTTAGCCGGCAAAATTTGGGTGTCAGCACTTTTGCGTGGTGACTGTACCACAGCAAAGTCGAATACTCGTGCCAAGCGCCCAACACACCATTCCCATGTTGGTGCACCCCAGTCAACGATTAAATTTGAAATTAGGTACCTTTTGTATGGCGTGCCTATACGAAAGGTACAAACCAAAAAAAATCACGAAATAACATTTTGCTCAACCCGTTACATAGCTTAGGAAATTTTAGGTCTATTTGTTTTAATGCAAAGGTTCTACAAAGTGGTGTATTTGGCATTACCGTGGAATAGCTATAATAAAAGCAGAATCTTGAAGTTTGACGTACAACGGGTGATGCTTTTAGCATATTTCTCACACTTTTATATATAGATCAGTTGTCACTAACCTCAGTGTTGAAACGATCTGTTGAGAAAAATGGATTTTGTGAAACTTGTATTGCCTGCACCTTTTGTATGGGCGTACCATACAAAATGTACAAAATGTACATAATTTCCAAATTTAAATTCATCGTTGACTGGGGCGCATCAACATGGGAATGGGGTGTTGGGCGCTTGGCACGAGTCCATGTAGATAGATCAAAGACAAGATCAATCGGCCACTCATGTGGCCTTGAAGTCACATTTGAGAGTTTAAGATAACAGCGCGCACTTTTCCCTTCTCGGCTTTGTAGCCAAAAACTTGAAAAAAAAGCCAAGAATAACGGGTGATCTTAAAATTCTTCAACAATGTAAAAAAAAAGTGGAAAACCTAATGTATTGTACAAAACCAAATCATAAGAACCAGGATATATAAGAAACAAGCTAAAATTACATAGTCACTGTACATGGAGCACGCTGCTCACTGGTCATCGCCGGATTTTTCCCTGGGCGTCCAGGGTCTCATGTATTTTTTCCGTTCGGACAGTCGTTGTGATGATGTCCGCCCAGGTTTCACATGGAACCCGGCGATGGGCTTGTAGAGAAGGTAGGTTGGGGTGTGCAGCTTCCACTTGCGATTATCCTTGTCAAACAGTTGCCGCTCAGGAGTCGGCCTCTTGATGTCGACCTGTTGCAGCTTGTTTAATCGTCGCTTGTAGGCGTTGGCGCGCGGGAAATTCTTGTTTCTTTGCGCCTTAGCAATGAGCTCCTTGTAATTCTCGGTTCGATCCTTCCATTGTCTTGTAATCTTGTGATGTTCATTAAAGGTGGTTTCCAGGTCAACTTGGTCGTCGCGGGGAAGGATGCTCGTCAGAGAGCTGGGCATGTCATAGCTGTTATTGGGGAGCAAACCAGTAAAAGTCAACTCGTGGGCGGAAGACTTGGAGATGTGGTCACTGTTCAACACGAGAGGCTCCTCAGTCGCGTCATCAAAAGTGCGTTTATGCATGCCGCCGCTGGGACCAAGAGCACCAGAACGCGAGGAAAACACACGAGCCGGGCGTGGGAGAATATCACTTTTGGCCGCCTTGCCGCGAAGGATTGGACCCTGATATTTATCAGGCACGTATGGCATCGCGGCAACGGCATCAACGGTCTGTGGCGCAATTTTGTAGAGATTCGCCAGATGCTCATTCCCCTCCATAATGCTCGTTTGCCGGAGCCGCTGCAGTGTGCCGGCTAGTTGCACCATGGTGGGGTAATGCGGGTGCATATAATCTGGCTCAATTCTGCGCCAGTGCCTTCGGGCCAGTTTTCCCATCATCCTGCGAGGTTTTGTGATACCCGAGCGACCTTCGAGATGGAGGATTGTCACGGGGGCGTTGAGTGGTCTCACGCCGTATCCCTTGAGAAACCACGACCAACCAGGGAAATGAGCAATGAACTTCTCTTCAAACAGTCGAAATGCTTCCACATTGTCGGGATAATTATCAGATGCTGCAAGCACCCTAACATAGGTTGACCAGTTGAAACCAGTCAACGCAAAGCCTGCTGTCTGAACTTCGGCCACAACTTGATGCATCCTCTTGAACATGCCCCGGGAAGCCAACGACTTCAGGTAAAGCGAAAGTGGATAGTCTAGGATGAAGCGTTGGGCCGGAATGATTTTCGGCTTTTCTGATTGGGTGGTGGATAATGAAAGAATTGACGGGAGATGGGACTCGGCTGGCGCTGGCGGGGTTGACATCGGCGACCGAGCAGACAAGATTTTGTCAAGGTCACAGGTACCAGCTGTCTTGCTCACATTTGCCATAATACTGGCCCAGCACTCTTCCACTTTTTCGTGGTTCTGGGTTTTTGAATAGGCTTTCATGACGGCTTTGATGAAGTCAATCGGTAATGATCCCAATTCATCACTGTCCAATGATCCTGCAGTTCGTCTGGATTCCATGTAATGATTGAAGGTTTGAAGTGCCTTCTCGGCGCCAGCTTCGGTGCCATATGCGTCGACCAGCCGTTGATAGTGCGTGGCAGTGAAAGAATCAAGAGCAAATCCCTCTAACGGTTTAGATAATCGACTGTTGGCTGGCGACGGATCGGCATTGAATTGTGCGATTGATTCAGAAAGTGTCTTTTCTGCGTTCTCCAAGACGATATCTTCAACGGGAGTTTGAAGATCTTTTGCGTTTTCCACGTCTCTCGTGATCTGCATTCTCAGGTTCAACAGGCTTGCCTCCATCCCAACTCGACCGAACCGTGCTTGCATTTCGCGGGAGATGACGTGAACCATATCACGGTTCCGTTGCTTCACGTATCCAAGCAAGAGAATAGAATAGTGGTGCTCGGTGGGTTTCAAACCGGCTTCGTGCATCTTCCTGAGAGTAGTCTGCGCACGATCCACCTGCTTAGCATAGACATAAGCAAGCATAATAGCCGCGTAAGTCATTTCATCCGGTTTCAAGCCTAATCGTCCCATGCGGTCAAGAACGCGTCGGAAGGAAAACTTTGACACCCTGAATGCATAGCGCATTAGAAGAAAATTCCACATTCGCAAGGGAGACCCTCCCACCGCTAAGTCCCAGCTGCTTGCGACAAGCTCTTCTGCATGACCTAGTTGACCATTCTTACAGTACGCCTGAACAGCCGTATCAAGCATTGGCCTTGTGATTTGAACTCGACTTTTTTGCGCCTCTTTGAGCAATTGACGAATAGCTTCGACGTCACCTCGCTGGGCAAAAATCCCCATCAGTGTGCCGAATGTGTACGAGTTTGGAGGTACAAAATTCTCTCGCATTTCCGAGAAGGCAGAAATAGCACCTGATAAATCCTTGGCAGTGGTGTGCGCCAGAAGCAGTATATTCCAGCAAACTGTGTTCAGCGGGAGGCCAAATTCTGTAGGAATTCGATCGAATTGTCGCCGTGTTTCGCGCACATCACCTAGCCTTGCGTGAACGGCAAGAAGGGGGGTCACCGACCTTTGAGACTTCGGGCTGCCATGATCTGCAAGGAACCTGTCGAACAAGTGTTGGACAGTTCTCACATCCCCAGTCTTGGAAACCGCATTCATGGCGTCATTGTACGAGTTGATGCTTGGTCTTTTAGATCCAGAAAAGTGCGCCTCTTCGTCCAAAAAGTATGGTATGCTGTGGGTCATCTGGAATTTCACCAAGCGTTCCATGATAGACTGAATCGTGTTCACAGGTATCTTTGCATCCGGAAAATTCGAACGCAAGTGGCGATAAATGAGAATGAGCGCGACAAATTCTGACCTCTGCTCTGACCGTAGGAAGACGTCTATCAAATGAAGATAGTGTTTGTTGGTTACAAAACCAAAACGATTGTAATTGCGCAACAGTGAAAGCACAGTTCGTATCGGTGTTAGTTTGACTAAGTCAGGAGACTTGACAAAGTGTTCGAATAGACGCCAAGCAAAGTCTTTCTCGGCAGCAGTAAGATTCTTGTAGTTGATTGACAGGTTCTTCTCTAAATTAAGAAGATGCCTGGCAAGGGAATATTCAGAAAAGTGAAAACGATCGAGTCGATCCAGCAATGAGTCCAATGGTGGTCGCTCGTTTTCAGGGGTCTCCAACAGGGAGCTCCAGAATGTGCGGATTTGGGGCCATTGTCTGTATCTCACCATGTGCACCAGGCCCATCGAGATGATCTCTTGAGAAAATGGCATGGAAATGGCTTCCTGGCAGATGGATTCCAAATGGAAGGGGGTTTGAGCTGGTAATGAACGAAGCCGTGATCTTATAATGTTCTTGAAGTCTGACTCGGTGCGATCTTCGGGCGAAATTCCGTTGAAGAGTTCCCATGCTAGTTTTTGATTCTTTTTTTCAGATGATTTACTCATATAAGCACAAAGTGCGGACTTGAGTTTTGGCGGGTATCCAGCTGCAACATACAGCACCCAAGCTTTATCAAATTCAGTGCCATTCTTTCGAAGGAAAGAGTGGAGGGCTGCGCTCGCCTCCCCGTCCTTATCAAGAGATTCTGGATCTTGAAGCCCTTGGCTCCGGTCGGATGCATCCTTGTGGATACATGAAGTCTTTGGGGTAGCTTGTTGAAGATGTGAAATGGAAACGTAAGATCTTGAAAAGCCCAAGCTTGATCTGCTCCGAAATCCAGTCCTGTTTTGGGAGCGAGGCAAACGCGAAGCTACCAGAGTTTGAGCCTGCCTAGGATATAAAAATTCGAGCAATGGCCCTATCCCATCGCCTGACTCTCTGCTTTCATGTTGATTGCTAATAACGAGAGACGATCGTTGGCCTGATGCTTGCAAAAGCGCGATAAACCACTGAGGAGCGTCTGCTCCAGCGCCATTGTGCTTCCAGAAATGATCAGACAGACAGCTTTTGTTTCGGATCACGCCATTGGAATCTTGAAGGAAACGCCGTCCCGCGTTCTCGAGGCAGCCTGTTGCACGTTCGAGCATCACCCTCAATCGTAGTGCCAAGCCGTAAGATGCCGTTATGATATCGTGGTCTGTATGGTATTGGGATCAAAAAGTCTGTCTGAGTAACTCTTGTGTCAGAAAACCGTCTTAGCCTTGAGAATGACAAGCAATTGAGCAAGTTGTCCTTGGTGGTGCCATTCGTACCAAGGAAGGAAAACGGGAATCGCCGACTGATGGAACACAATGTTGCTCACATACAGGTCCCGGACATGAATATTCAATCAAACCAAGGTACTTGAACCTTGATTTGAACAAAAAAGGCAATGGTAAATCCGAGGTACCATACAATATAAGCTTGGAGAACACAAGGCAAAAGATTCGGAGATGCATGAAATTGCCGGGGTTTCACCGCCTTTACTGAGCCACCACTTCAACCGTGTCCCTCCCATTCTCATCACATGGACCCCAAAAAAGAGGAACAAGGAAGAAAATAACATGGAGGTCACTGATTTCATCTTCAAAGAGAGAGAAGAGGCTCTCCTTGTGGGAGATTACAACGCCTACCGGGCACACACTACCAGAAAACTGCAGAAACTCCGCAAGAAGCTTGGTCAGGCCACTGTCAAAGGCCGTAAGTACACTGTCAAACCAGCTGTGACTGCTGAAAATGTTGGAAGCAGTGTGTCGTATGTCGTTTACCCATATTTCCATTTCCCAATTACTAGTTCGACTAGTTTCTAACCTACGCTAGATATGTACATATTTTGCTTCTTAGTTCCGAACGAGCTTGGGCGCAGGCAATGCATATGAAGTCCACACATTCCGCAGATACTTCCACAAAGGGCATCTCAGGTGCTGCTCGGCGCCACATTATCTCTCGACTGAACAAGGCCACTGGGTATGCCGAGCATCTAGTCTCGCTTCTTCACGAACAATCGCTTTCTGGGTCAAGTGATATGGATATCCTGGAGAGTCGTGCTTATTTGGCAATGATTTCCGGCACTTTGTGGCTTGAAAAACGGAGATGGGAAAAGTGTCTTCAAGACTATTCCATCGCAAGGGTGATTTACACAGCTTTGGGTCAAAGGGTCAAGAGAGACGCTTTCCGGGATCTGCTCTCGGGGACTGTTGACCCTAGTCTTCGATACGCGGCTTATCAAATGAAGCTCCCCCGCTCCAAACCTACTTCATCGCTGGCCATTGAATTCTTCCCATCGGATTCGGAGATTCGTGCCGAGGTTGAGAAGATTGAACCCTCTTGTCTCGCTGAAGAAGCAGCCGGTACTAGACGAACCGCAGAGGGAGAGGTGCAGGAATTGCCCCAATCTGTCACTTGGAGATCGCGAACTGTCTCACTCGACGACGCTTCAATTTCTCAATCCCTAGCTGCTGCTTCGGCCGCAGAGGCTCGCCTCACTACTTGGCTGGCAGACGCAGGAAAGTCCGCCGCTGCTAAGGAGAAAGCTGCTGCATATGACAACGTGATCATCGCCAGTCAGGATGCTGTAGATGCTACAAAATCTGCCATCGATGACCTGGCTAGTGAGGGTGTTGATCCAAGTGACAAGAGAATGCAGGCACTGCAAATCACTCGAACTGCTGTTAATTACACTTTGGTTGGCTGGCGCGTCGGTCGTAACCGGGTGTTGTGTGGAGAAAGGGACGGTTTGTCATTTGAGGAACAGCAACCCACTACGAATGTGAGGGAAGCTGCGAAGCAAACCACAGGCAATGGCAAGAAATTGAACAAGCTCCGTGAGCGCGTTGTCCTGTATGATTCGACACTCCAGAGCTTGGAATTTATTCTCGAGCTTCCGGGTGTTGCGGCCGACTCGGCCTTTGTGCAGGATCTTGAGGCAAAGCGGCACTACTTCCGTGCTCTCAGGTATGCTTTAAACCACGATCCTTGCTGATTGTCACAACTAATCACTTGTTGTTGTCTTCTTTAGATGTCTCGCATTAGGAAGATCCCATGGAGTGCTTTCGAAGTCAAAGGAGGCTCTTGCACTGTTTTCCCAAGCTCTGGACCTCGCTACCTCCGCTTCTCCCCAGTCCGCTACAGATGCTGAAGGTGTCCCAAGGCTTGACGTATCTCGAGTTCAAGCAAGTACCTTAGAAACAACCTTGCGAGAATTGGTTGCTCAGTATCGTGGACTTGTTACTCTGGAGAATGCGACTGCCGAAGAGGCATCACAGTCAAGCCAGCGGCCAGTGGTAGAACGACTCCAACAGTTCGCAGGATCCCGACTGGACCTTAATAATTTGGTGCCGTATCCACCTCGGATGCAACCGATTCCTGTCAAGCCCTTGTTCCTTGATGTCGCATGGAACTACATTGATTACCCACGCGAAGGTGGTCAGGGACAGGAGGCTCCGGGTCAGGCACAAGCTCAAACCCAAGGTCTCGTGGAAGAAGAAACGAAAGGCCGTCGTGGATGGTTTGGTTTTGGCGGTCGCTGAAGCCCCTTGAATAGACATCATGCTACGAATACCCATTCTGATTCCTGTACTAGTAACTTTGAACGTTCACAAAGTGGTACGACATGTACGTTATCCCCAACAACGAGCACGTGCATCTAAGAACCCTTAACTACACGTTCGACCAATCAGCGATGATTCAATTCTCGGGAATTCCCTAGCCGGGGTCACGTCGTGCTGAGTAATTGTGATATGCTCATACATTACTCCGTAGTTGTGTAGTTGTCCTACTCCATATATACACCTGTGTGGGCCAAGGCTCTCCGTTATAATTAAATCAGTCTTGAACCCACATCAATACTTTCATCATCAATCTCAAGCTCGGACATTAGATGAACTCCCGAACTATACGGAGTAGAAAGTAGAGATTGTCCAAAGAATTACCATGTAATGCATAGATCCAAAACTAACCAATAACCGACCAACCTTACAGAATCTATTGAAATTAATTGCGCAAATAATTCCAAACACAAATCATTTTATGCATCGATGTGGGCTAATGCTGAGCATCGGGCATCCCGGGGCCTCCGTGTAATTGGCGTTCCCACCCCTGAGGGTCCCGGTCAATTCTTTCTCCTCTCTCTCCACTCTCTTTTTTTCCCATTTTGTTCTTGCTCTTTTCTCATTAGCAAGTCCTTTTCTCTTCAATTCTTGTTACGAACTTTGACTCAGTGGACTCCCCAACATGGTCAATATGGCCAACCTCACTGGGAGCTTTGTCTCGCCATTGGCGGATGCGACGGTCTCGCCCCAACTTTTCGCGCCGGCAGGTCTCATCGCCACCATGTTGGATGGCTTCACTGTCTGGAAGGGCCTGTTGACCTTCTTACTCGCCGCCATCATTTATGACCAGGGTGAGTACGAATGCGACATGGGTGTGCACTTGAAGTCGCGTCTTGAAACTAACCTAGATTCCCTTGCAGTCAAGTACCACTACCTCAAGGGCGCCATTGTTGGCCCTAAGTACAAGATCCCCTTCATGGGCCCATTCCTCGAATCAGTCAACCCCAAATTCACTGAATACAAGGCCAAATGGGACAGTGGAGACCTCAGCTGTGTTTCTGTTTTCCACAAGTGAGAAGTCCCAGGTGTGCTTGTTTTCTCAGGGTCTGTTCTCTAACACTGTTCTACGAAGGTTTGTCGTCATTGCGTCGACTCGTGATATGTCCCGGAAGATTTTCAACTCGCCCGCTTACGTGAAGCCCTGTGTTGTTGACGCCGCGCATAAGCTTCTCGGCAAATCCAATTGGGTCTTCTTGGATGGTAAGGCCCATGTGGATTACCGCAAGGGCCTGAACGGATTGTTCACTCGCCAGGCTCTGGCCATGTATCTTCCCCGCACCGAGGAGGTCTTCAACTCTTACAACCAGCACTTCCTCGAAAAATCCGCCGCCAACAACTTCACCCCGACACCCTGGATGTCCGAGTTCCGCGAGCTTATGTGTGCTCTGTCTTGCCGTACCTTTGTCGGCTACTACATCACTGATGAGGGTGTCCAGAAAATTGCCGATGACTATTATCTGATCACTGCCGCCCTTGAACTGGTTAACTTCCCTATCATCCTTCCCTACACTAAGACCTGGTACGGCAAGAAGGCCGCCGACATGGTGCTTGTGGAGTTCACCAAGTGTGCTGCTAAGTCCAAGGCCCGTATGGCTGCCGGTGGCGAGATCTCTTGTATCATGGACGCCTGGGTCAAGGCCCAGCTGGATTCCGCCGCGTACCGCGAGAAGATTGAGAAAGGAATCTCGGTCGATCCTTCAGAGAAGCCTAGCCAGATTCTTCGTGAATTCTCCGACTTCGAAATTGCCCAGACCATCTTCACATTTCTGTTCGCTTCCCAGGATGCAACCAGTGCCGCCTCTACCTGGTTGTTCCAGCTGATGGCTGACCGCCCTGAGATCCTGGACAAGGTCCGGGAAGAGAACCTGAAAGTCCGCAACGGCGATCGCGATCTCCCTGCCACAATGGATATGCTAGACCAAATGCCCTACACCCGCGCCGTCGTCAAGGAGACACTGCGTTACCGCCCCCCTGTCATCATGGTTCCCTACCTAGTCAAAAAGGACTTCCCTATCAGCGACACTGTCACCGTCTCCAAGGGCTCGATGATCATTCCCTCCGTGTGGCCAGCATGCCACGATGAGGAGGCTTACCCCAACCCAGACTCATTCGATCCCGACCGGTGGATCACCGGCACCGCTGAGCAGCAGACCAAGAACTGGCTGGTCTTTGGCACAGGTCCCCACTATTGTCTGGGTCAGACCTATGCTCAGCTTTCTCTGATGTCCATGATTGGAAAGGCCAGCATGGTGATGGACTGGGAGCACACCCCTACCCCCGAGTCGGAGGACATCAAGGTGTTTGCCACTATCTTCCCCCAGGTATGTTTGAGCTTCTTTTATGTGATGATCAATCCACTGATATAAAGCAGGATGACTGTCTTCTTACGTTCCGCCCCCGCGCTTAAATTCTCCCTTTTTGTACAAAACACCAAAGCGAAGTTGGAGTCCAGCCCCATCTTCTGGTCAGAGGGCTTGGTTGTTACCTTGACATGATATTATGCCTTCCTGTTATGAAGATGGGGTGATCCGCTGTCCCTTTTTTTTCCTTCGATTTGATGCATGATGAACGCTCAATACAGGAAACGTCTTTAGCATATGTTCCTCTTAGAGGAACCTTTCATACCCTTGCGTCTAGGAACCCCCATTGCGATTATGAATACCTGTAGCCCGCGAGGGGTCGCAGGGGGTTTTTTGTTTCTTTTCTTCGGAGTAATCACTCCCAGAGCCATGCACATTAGAACAATATTAATTCACTTTTTTTTTCAAAAAAAATTGAGCATGTATGACATGTATGACATTTCACATGCTTGGATTAATTTAACATATTCTCTCAACACAGCCCGAGATGCGGGCCAAACTCCTGTTCCACTTGCGGAGTTCTATACTTTGTCTTCAACTCTCAGTTTGGATGAACAACTTCCACACAATTATAAAATCTCATACTTGTTATAGCCTTGCGGTTTATAACAGCCTTTTCCATCTTACTAGAGAGGCCTGGCTCGTCTAGAAATGGTCAAGGTAGACTTCTCAATCACAAGGACTCACTTGCGTCATATGCTATCTGCTATATATCCGTGCTGTATCTACCAGATCTACTGAAAGTCAACCCAAAAACATCTCAACTCTCAAACAACATATGGCTAAATGTTAACCGACCGAGTTATCCCGAACAACCAAAATTCCCTATATTGCCCAGCAATGCTCGTTGAATGCCTCGAGTATCGAGCAAAGCCCCCAAACCAGCAAGTGGTCACGTGCGGTAGATACTGACATCACAATCCTTCACCTCGAGGTTACCTCCGGAGGTGCAATAGCTCCCGACTCACCTCCGCGGACAATCAAAGTTCAGAATTGAAAACATGCCTTCGACAATACCATCAAAGATCCAGCGATCTGCTGGCGTGCTATCCTCAGCCGCAATCAGAATCCCAGCGCGCAGTGCAGCATCATCAGCCTCGGGCTTGCACCGAACTATCTCCGCACCGACAAGAGGACTGGTCACATCTCATCAGAACCGTGTCCTCCCCAGCCGTCTGGCACCATCATGCAGCCTCCAAACCAAGTCAAGTGCAAACCCCAAGCGTGCGCCTCCAGTGCAGACACGGTGGAATAGCGATGATGCCAGCCCGGTCAAACTCCGGGAATGGGGCTTCGAAGATGTGTGTGCTCCCCATACAAGAACAGCCCAGGCATTCTTCCTTTGCCCCGTTACTTTCTTTCTTTGAATGAAATATCGTAAACGATTCATCCATGAAACGATCGTCAAAAATCCTAACAAAACCAAACTAGATCAACGCCGCCCTCCCAACCTCAACACCTGACTCCCCGTCTCACAAGCCTATAATCCTCATCGACGTACGCGAGCCCGCCGAACTCAAAGGCTCGGGCATAATTCCCTCTGCAGTGTGCATCCCTCTCGCATCACAGGGAGATGCATTGTACCTCACGCCGGACGAGTTCGAGACCCGGTTCGGGTTCGCGAAGCCTGATCCTGCGGAGGGCGAGGGCGAGCCTGCGCAGATGGTCTTCTATTGCAAGGCTGGTGTGCGGGCCAAGGCAGCGGCGCAGATGGCTGTGCAAGCTGGATATGACCCTGCTAATATTGGGGTTTATATGGGTAGTTGGTTGGACTGGGAGAGGAATGGGGGAAGGGTTGAGAGGTGGGAGGGGGATGATATTTGAGTTGGGGAATCTCGATGCGGAAGGAAAGCTCATTTACAGAGTGCTTAATAGCTGTTTATGGGGAAGAAGGTGGGTTACTAAGTGGTGGGTTGAGAATGGGATTGTTCATACTTCATAATGCTGACTGAATATGATGAAGGATATATGGATCATCTGGTCTGTTCCCATATCCTGCAGCAAATTTTTGATCTGTCTGTGCCCTTTAAAAAAGATAGATCTTCTTAGTTCCAAAACTGGTCTGTTCCGCGCGTTGAAGATAGATGAAGATCAATCAGTCAGTCGAGCAAGCACTCAAATAGTATAAATTCAATTCAATGTAACAGAAACAAAAGATCTGGTATCGACCAGTCCTTGCTTTTCCTATATCATGTACATGCGACTTCTCTCGCTGTTCATCCATCAAGTCATGGTCATTCATTGTATGTTCAAATCGTAATCAAAATAGAAAAACTTTTCCGCTTTTCGATAGCAATTGCCATAGCCTAGTAGATCTCGATTCGTTTCCTCCAAACTGGCTATGATGGAACCAAAGGCCATGAGGGCCGACGGAGAACAAAGCTCGCCACTTACTGGCATTTGATCGTTAAGTTCGCTCGAGGATAGGTACCACAAGGCTGGAATGGGTCCGGTGTTGACGATTCTTGACCTGAAGACATCGCACACCGGAAGAAGCCCTAAGACCGAATTCAAGGAATGTCGAAGACGGGCTTGAGCTTCTTGACTAGAGCCCATTCTTCCATGGAGACCTCGGACCGGTAAAATTCCTTGAGGGTGTCGATACTAGCACGCGAGATGTGCGAGATAAGCTGGTCCTTCTCTTCGAGGTGACGACCGTACATGGGCTGGTTGGGTCCCTCGACCTTAACAGCAACGGAGGGCTGGCCTCGCTTACAGACCGGAACGGCCTTGTGATCGCGCTCGATGGATGTGCTGTGTAAACGGTTGTGTTAGTAATCAATAAGAAAAAAGGTGATGGCGAACAAAGCTTACACTCTACCAATATCGACAATCTCCCTTACACCAGCGGCATTGGTCCTGACAGCAGCGAGAGGAGTGTGGAGACGCAGGCTTCCTTCAATGACATCAATACCGATGACAATGGGGTCGGTCTTGTTGAAGACAGCAATGGGCTTGATGACACAGGGGAAGATAGCAAGAAGCTTAGCCTCCTCCTTGCGCTGCTCTGTGATCTGAACCATGTGCTCAGTGAAGCTATCGAACAAGTGGTAAATGATGTCGGCGGTGAAGATTTTGACGCCGATTTCGTTGGCATAAGCCATTGCATCCTTGTCGACCTTGACATCGAAGCACAGCATGACAGCAAACTCCTTATTTTTCTCAAGCATGGTGCCGGCCATCATGACGTCACGCTTGTAAACGGGACCGATGGAGATATTGGCAACAGGAATCTTGGAGACCTTGAGGAACTCCAGGAGAGCCTCAAGCGAGCCCAGAGTGGAGGCTTGGACAGTGACACCACGCTGATCAGTTGAGACACGGCTCAGCAGGTTCTCCAGATCGGTCATGACCTCCTCCTCAAGATCCTCCTCATCATCGTCAGGACCGACGACAAGCATGCGAGAACCAGCAATGGCGTGCTCCAAGTCGTTGGCAGCAATCTTCACACCAAGGGCAGCCTTGACCTCTTTGTTGTGAACGTACTGGGACTTCAGACGCAGCTCCTTAAGCGGTGCTGGTGTAAGAAGAGCACGGATATTGGTTGTGATAGGTCCGTTAAGACCGCACATTACGATACGATCACCCTCGCGAAGAATACCGTTGGACAGAATGACGTCAATGGTGGTACCGAGACCCTCAATGACCTTGACCTCCAAAACTGTACACTCGACCTCGGACAAGTACATAAGCGAGTTGGTCATACGCTCTTGACTCAGGCTAGTCAGGAGCTTCAGCATATCAGGAACACCCTCTCCGGTGTGGGCGGAAGTGGGAACGAGAGAGACGTTGCGAGACAGAGACTTGTTCTCGAAGAACAGCTCGGAGTTGAAACCTTGCTCGGCAAAAGCAAGCTTGGTGGCCTCAAGACGAGTGCGGAACTCGTTTTGAACACCCTTGCTCTGCATAGCCAAACTATCTTCAAAGCCGTTGTTGTCAATCTTCTTCCAGCCGTAGAGACGATCGATCTTGTTCAATGCGACAATGAAAGGAGTCCTGCGGTCACGCAGCAAACGCATAGACTCGAGGGTTTGGGGCTCGAGACCGTGCATGATATCGACAACAAGGATAGCAATGTTGCAAAGGGAGGAACCTCTTGATCGCAAGTTGGAGAAAGACTCGTGACCGGGGGTATCGATGATCAACAGACCGGGGACCTTGAACTCGAACTTGCCATCCTTGTTGACAACTTGGGTCTTTGTGCGCAGAGCATCGACAGGGAAGTAAGTAGCACCGATCTGCTGGGTAATTCCACCGGCTTCGCCCTCCTGCACGTTGGTTTGTCGGATCTTGTCAAGCAGCTTGGTCTTACCAGTATCGACGTGACCAAGAATACAGCAAATAGGGGAGCGGAGATTGTCCTTTGAACGAGCAGCCAGAGCCTCCTCATGTTTAAGCTTTCTCCGCTCCGCAGCCTCGGCCTTTCTCGCCAGAATGGCCCTTTGGTTGGCGGATTGTTCTTCGTCAGATGAATCTTCATCTGATGATTCGTCGGAGTCAGATTCGGAGCCAGATTCTTCCTCCTTTTCGGCCTTTTCGGCGGGTGCCTCCTCAGTGGGCTTCTCCTCGGCGGGCTTCTCTTCTTCATCTGATTCCGCATCCCAGCTGTCCTTGACATCTTCATCGGCAGCCTGCTCCCAGTCTTCGATGGCGTCCTCTTCCGCAGGAGCGGCAGCAGCGGCGGCGGCCTCAGCCTTGGCTTTCTCCTCGGCCTCCTTCTTTCGATCTTCAGCTTCGCGCTGAGCCTGGGCTCGAGCGGCGGCGGCTTCAAGGTCCTCTTCCTGCTTCTTGCCAGCTCTCTTCTTCTTATTCTCATATACAGGGCGCGCCTTCTTGTCACCGCCCTCCTGCAAGCCAGCAACCTTGCCACCGGCGGCAAGCATCTGCTTCATACGCAATTCATTACGCTCCTTGGCCTCTCGTTGAGCCTTGGTAAGCAGCTTGCCTTCCTTGCGCAGCTGCTCCTTCTTCTCGCGCTCTTTCTCCTTCTTGCGTTCACGGGCTTCCGCACGCTTCTTCTCTTCCTCTTCATCGAGAAGCTTCTGCCTGGCCGCGGCAGCTTGTTCTTCCGCTGCAATGCGCTCCTCCTCCTCACGTTGCTTTCGAAGAAGTTCCTGTTGCTTCTGAAGAGCTGCTAGGTGGGGAGGAAGCTTCTTCTTCTTGCCAGTCTCTGGGGCGGGTGCGGCGGCGGCGGCGGCTTCATCCTTCTTGACCTCAGCGGTGGCGGTCTTCTTGGCTTCGGCCTTTTCCTGAGCAGGGGTGAGCTTCTTCTTCGTGGCGGCCTATATGGACGGGAAAAGGTGAAATTAGTAAATTAATCATACAACGGCCACGCATTTCTAGCATGGAGAAAGATGCAAAAACCTACCTGCTCCTTCTTACGCTGCTTCTCCTTCTCCTTCTTCTCACGCTCCTTCTCCTTCTTACTCTTTACTCGGAACTCGCCCTCGGGCTGCTCTTCTGCCGCAGGCTTAACCACTGCCTTGATGGGCTTGGTCTTCTTCCCAGCGAAAACATCATCATCATCGAAGTTACCCTCTTCGGGCTGCTTGCTAGCCAAAGGGTCGGTGTTGGCACCCTCGGCGTTCTCACCCTCGACAAAATCGTTGGTCTTGCCCTTCTTAGCCTTCTTGGCCTTGTTTTTTCTCAAAGCAGCCATAAGGCCACCGACCGGTGCAGCCTCATCGTTAGCATCTTCTTGGGGCTGCTCATCGGCGGGAGCAGCGGCGGGGGCAGACTCGCCGAGATCGGCCTCCCAGTCCTCCTCCTGTCTCTTGTTTCCCTTCTTCTTAGGTGCCATTGCGATAAATTTCACTTAGTGGGTTTGTTGGTGATCCGATTGGAGTGGTGACCGAAGAGATGTAGTGGGCGCACAAACGGAGTTAACCGGTTACTTGCGACCTGTAGTAATACGCACACGTACTAAAAGGGAAGGGATGACGGAAGTCAATAAGGACAATCCCCAGAATGAGTGGCGAGAGATAGAGCTCTCTGTAAGGTGGGCCTAGGGAGGGGTGTGGGAAGGAAAAAGAATTTCGGGAAGAATCATGGACGGTGGGGAACACTGGCATCGGGACTTCATTTTCCAAGTCGCCACAGCTACGAATTAGCTGGATTCCCCATATACTGCAAAGAGCCTTTTTTTTGTAGGATATCCTATATCGCACAGGTACTAGTGTATCAGTAAACACGCTTTTAACATTACTACTAACATTTTAATTTGAATTATGGCATAGATACACTCTCACAAGTTGACTCAAACCTCCAGGGCTCTGTACTTCCAAGCTTGATCCTCCACAATTCTTCACCCAGGTAAAATTTCCTTGGGATTTTAGATCTCAATGTGCAGCATCTTCCGAAGCCAGCTGAAGAGAGCCTGGGTATGGTTGACATGAACCCCTAGCACGTCCTCAACTGCCCCGATGAACGTGTGCACGGTTTCAGGGGTCAGGTCCTTGAACTGACTCCTGTTGCATGCCATAAGAACCTCATCCAGGTATTTCGAGTCGCGACTGGCAAGGCGGACCAGGACGTTGCCGTCGATATGCATATTGCTCTCAACTTGGGAGATTGCATCGAGGTAGCGATGTCTGCGGGACAGGGAGGGACAGATGACTTCATCCCTGAGGCAGATGTTGAGCAGAAGTCGAAGGAGGCACCACTCCTTCGCATCAAGGGGCAAGAGCCTGTAGACAGATCCATTGATGCCGAAACCATAGAAGGTTTCGGTGGTCGTCAGCGAATCTGGCGACTTGATGCCCCGAGTGAGCTTGATCAACGAGACGGGGAGATTGGCCGTTGGGCGTGGCACAAGGTCCCCTGGTTGATCAAGGTCTGCGAAAGCCCGGGTAGCTCCGCCTCGGGTACTCACAAAAAGGAGATCCGATCGAATTCCATATCCGGGCATCAAAGTGTGAGACAAACCGTCGCGTGCAATTGGGTCGAAGCCGTGCATCTGGATGTCTCCATCTACTATCTTGTAGACCAGCAGGGAGTGTCTCGAGCTGGTGATGTAGATCATGCTTCCTCGTACCACCATCGCGACAGCTGGAGATGGAAGGGTAGCTGTAATATTTCGAACCCATTTTGTTTGAGAGTTTCGTGAGGTGACCGTGAAGAACTTCTTCCCAGAGACAACTATTAAGCTATCCTCGCACGCCGCCATTGCATAAACTGGGTCTTTAAACCATTGTGTGTGCTTGTCAATGCAAGTGATCTGCCCAGGAGAGTTGGCATCCCGAGACGCTTGTATGAGCACCAACCGACCTTGGCGGCTATTGGGTTGGTGAGGCAGATTGACCGAAGTCCCAATTGCAATAAGATGGTATGCGTTGCCTTCCCTTTGTGGCATCCAGTCAAAAATGCATGTGATTTTTTCACCAGAAACTCCATGTGGTCTCCAGGGGAGAAGGCCTTGAGAAACCATGTTCATATCGTTGGAGACTACTGGCGACTGTGTGTCTGGATCCACAAACTCGACCCATGCTATGCGGGAAAGATCAAGAGGCCTTGCTTGGTTTCCGGTCTGGGCAACAGAATATGAAACAATGAGACTCCGGAGATGGTTAGAGTAGGTGAGCTTGTTGGGATTTCCGGGAATGTCGATGCGTCGGGGAACGACCTTTGCTTCTTGTTCCAGAGAGCACACCAGAAGCTGGCCATCTGCAAAACAAAAAAAGTATGTAGTTAGAACCTCAGACCAGTACTCTCTTACGTCGACAAGGTCGAAGCTGCTGATTCTGGTGGGGAAGTATGCGGGCTGGCCTAAGTGTTAGGCCATAGCTCAAGAGGACAGGATGTGGTATAACTTACGCAGTTTTGATCTGTGATCCAAACACGAGACAGGAAATAGTCAGAGCCATTGCCATCCGGGGCATATGACACACGCCAGAAATTGTCTCCACATGTAAACAGTGCAAATTTGTTGTAGGATTTGATTTTAATTGATGTTTGCCCAAGATATTGTGGCGCTCTTTGTTTCAAACCTAAAGAGAGATGACCTGGTTAAGGAAAAGGACCAGTCGTGTGAACCCGAGATGACTCACATTTGAAACCGAAAATAGGGTCACCGTGAACATTCAGGATGTTTGTATTTATCTCAAATGGAACAAGTATGCCACTTCGTAGCCCGCAGAAAAGGAATGCGTGAATTCTATCGTCCGAGAGAGTCTTGATAACAGCGAGACTTTCAATCGTTTCTGACACGTCTTCTGAATTGTTGATGATTTCGATAAGAGTATCATCATGTTGTCTGATTTCACCAGTCTCGTTGTAGATCTCGAATGATAGCACCGTGCCATCGCTGGTGCCTAGGAAAATAAGTCCAACTCCTCCCCAATTCTGGTAGGAGATGCAGATGGGTTCTTTCTGGAGCGGGCATGGAGGCACATGATCAGATAGGGAGGAGGCACATCCTTCACTCGTGACGATGCTAAGAACGTGGAGAAAATTCCCCTTGTTAGTTCTTGTAGTCATGATAACAGTGGAACTTGGGCCATCCACAATGGCTGCAGTGACAAATACAAGGGAATCATGCTCAACACAGCTGTTGAGAGTGAAATCAGTAGGAACAAAGAAGTGAACAGCTTTTTCTGTGACCCGAACAATAACACCGGAAGGTGTACAGTCCATTGCCAAAGTCTGCTGAATATCCAGGCCTGTATCGTCCTCAAGGGCGGTAATGCCATCTCTCATGTCGGGAGTCGTACGAAGAAGCAATGACGAAAGCGGATCAGAGGCAAGCAGATAGATTGAGTCCTTAGAACCGAATGACACAGCCCACATATCACGTATACTGGACAATTCACCCAATGCAGCTGAAATACCGATCTGAGCTTCAATTCCGTATCGAAGTTCGGTAATAGCTCCATTGCCTGAAGCAGAGGTCGAACAGACAAAGAGCCGATCGCATTCATATGGATTATCTTTGAAGACGGCGGATGGGTTTGATGGAATAACAACTGCATCGGGAACTGGGGCCCAGTTGAAGAATCGCTGAACACATCTGGGGTGATCCCGTGCCTCTTGGACAAACAATCCACCATCACCCTGGCTTCCAGCAGCGATAATAAAGTCACCACCTTCGTGGCCCATATCAAGAATATCAAATGCCGTATCAACATCGCAGTGGAGTTGGCCCAGAGAAGTCTGAGTTTCGAGTTCACCATCATTGCCAAACTCGAGATAATAGATCCAGCCTTTTTCTTGACAGAGAAAGACTCCATCATACCTCTGACTGTACATCCGGTTCCGCGAAGGTCTAGCCCAGCGAGTCCACAGCCCAGCTTCAGATGATTCGGCATCGGGAATGATTGGTGGGTATCGCATCGGACAAGAGGGGGAATCTGGTGTGTACATAGCCATGGAATTCGAGGTAATCAAGAGGAAAGAGGATTCTTTGGCCAAAGGGATGACCATACTAGGCAACTGGTCTTGCTGAGGCAGACAAGTTGAGGTGGGTGTGGGGCCCATGCGGTTGGGCATGCTGGCTTCATCCCACTCAAAAACTATGGATCGTGTTGAGCCAAGCTTATGGACGATGAGCAGCAGGATGGTCCGTTTGTCATTGTCGTCTTTCGGGTAAAGAAATTCCATAAACAGGATATCGCCATCCACTTGTAAGAAAATTTCCTGTCCAGAAAATTAATATCAGGCAAATGAGAAATAAGATAGTAATGAACACAAACACTTTCCAGTGGGTTCAGCTTCCCCTGAGCCATCTGCGTCTGGAGTTCGCCGGGAGATTTCAACCACAAGACACCGAAAAAATTACGCGACGCGCTGACGGCGACTGCACGCGATCTAGAGCATAGTGTAAGCTTTCGTCAATCCAATTGAGCACCTGAGCGATGTGTGATACTTACTTGGGGTCAACAGCTATGTGCTTGCCATACTTGTCGGCTATGTTGACATCGCGGGGAAGAGGTCGATTGTAGGAAACAAATGGACCATCCCCGACTTCTGAGTAGTACATGAAAAGGAGCTCGTTTGAATCCGTAGCAAGGAAAAGGATTTGAGGAGGCAGACGATGATTCTCATAGTCGCAATAGTGAGCCATTAGACCTGATGGACGCTGGATGCTTACATTGATGACTTTTGCCCCAATAAGTAAGCCTTCAACGTCAGTTTTTTCAACATCTTGAAGATGACCACTGGGTAGGGCTTCCTTGATTTGAATTTGCCGCTCTCCAATGAAAATCACATCTTTGTGGTCTTTATCTCGAAGACGCGCTGGAAGAATCCAGTTGATGACAGGGCTAGGTATCAATGGCTGGGTAAGCAGTCCTGGCAGATATGTTGGACACGTGTTGGGCTGGTTGCCAGACATTGCAGTAATTGGGTGGGTTTCGAAGGAAACCGAAAATCAAAAAGAGCAAACGAGGATGTGACGTTGAAGCCAGAAGCGTGATGCGGGGCAGAGAGAGGTGAAAAAGCTCGACGAGAGGGACGAAAGATGGAACAAGCAGATTAAAGGCGGAGTTGCAAGTGAATGACTTGCAAGGGAAATAGGAAATAGGCAATATCAAGAGCCGGTCAGGCAATGGCCTGAGGCGTAACAAGCCCCAAGATCAGTTTGAACAGCACCACACTTCCTGTGAATTTGGCATTCAAGATACAGGCGGCATTTGATAATTGTGAGATTCGCTTGCCTTCATGCTTCAAAGGGTGGAATATTTCGAATGCAATTATTGGCTGTGGATTGATGTCCGATGTTCCGATGTTCAACCCCAGCCTTACGAGAGTACAGTCGGTTGTTCAGTGACTTCACAAGTCAAGTATGCCCCAGACAAGCCCTGTGATATCTTTATTAACCAAGGTACCCCACATGCGAAGAACCAAAATCAATGTGAGACTTACAGCTTGCCCGAACACTATACAGTAGTAGTAGCTCTCAAAGATTTGCAAATGTCTGCCATAAGCTTCATGGGTTTCCCTTCAAGGAGCAGGTTCTTACCACAGAGCTAACACTGTCACTGGTAGACAACTCGGAAAACAAGCCAATTGCAGAGCTAGGCAATCACTACCCGTCGGTGAGCCGTTGCGACCCTAGAAACGTGGACTTCTAAAGGCGCACAACACAGTACACAACTATAGGAGTCCAAGATCTTGCGATGAATACCGCGAAGCTATTAAACTGGAGCGATGTGCCTAGGCCCAGCACATGGCGAGTGTTGTTATCGGCGAAAACATGTCGCGGCTGCCGATCAATGCCTAAGGCCGTCAAGTGGGACTCCACCGCGTTCGACTTCAGACCTTCCACATCTGGGTATGTGTGCCTAGAGAATCATCATTTCACGTTCAAAAAGACCTTGATCGTGAAAATTAAAGCCATCATCTCACATGTTTGGCATTGAGTTGTTGTTTTGAACACGTCATTCTGTTGTCCGGTGAAAAAGCCGAAGCTCCAGCCGATCTATATCCGAGGCCCTTGATATTGTTGATCTAAATTCAGAACGCATAACGTGAATCTTGTTCATTCAGAGCAAGGAAAAACCGAGCGATTAATTCATCGTTTCGTGCATGTGCAACTTCTTTTCTTGATCTCCAAGAAAGTGATGAAGAATGGGAGATACCGGAAAAGAACAGTGTCACCTCCACGCCGAGGACACATCTACATCTGAGGAACTCCCAGAAAAGTCTGAAGTGAATAAAGGAGTGAAAAGAATGACTCAAGCGGAAAAGGCGAGAGCCATCCGCAAAGCATGTGCGACACGCGATGTGGAAGCCTTGGCCGTGCACGCAACTTCAGAAGGCGGGTTACTTGAAGATGACTTGAGACAGATAGCCTGTGAGTTGCTATGGGTCATAAAGCTGCACATGCATGTGGACTTATCTAACCGGTGACTAGGGCCTATTTTGCTACGATGCGATGAACAAAGGCATCAAATTGATACGGTTCCAAGTACAGAACTTTTACGGCATGTCGATGAGGAACAGGTTGAACTTGACGTCAACCGGTCTTTTGTCTACTATCCTAAAGGTGTGTTATTCGTATTCTTTGCGCAAGATGAAATTGGATGTTAATAAAGTCTAGCTCCGTTGGAAGAAATGTTGAAAAAGAAACAGCAGCTATCAAACCTGATCACTCAAGTACTGAGGGAATACCCCATGCTGTGTTATTTTCAAGGATATCATGATATAGTCCAAGTTCTTCTCTTGGTCCTGGGCGAGAAGCAAGCTGTGCCGGCAGTGGCACAGATATCTCTTTTCCGCATACGTGACTACATGCTGCCATCGCTATCCCCAGCTGTGAAACATCTCCATCTCATCCCTGCAATCATTGAGACAACAGACCCCGAGTTAAAACGACACCTTGGCAACATTGAGCCATTTTTTGCCCTCGCCGCTACTCTAACACTATACGCTCATGATATCCAAGAGTACAGCAACATTTCACGACTTTTCGACTTTCTTCTGGCTCGAGAACCCGTTGTTGCAATCTATCTCTTCGCAGCCATGATCCTATCCAGGAAAAAGGAGTTGCTGGAAATTCCAGCGGATGAGCCTGAAATGCTTCATTTTACGCTTTCCAAGCTACCATGCCCACTCGATCTAGAAGGACACATTCTGCATGCGGCACAGCTCTTTGAGGATCACCCGCCGGAATCTTTGCCGCTTGGGTCCTGGAAACACATTCCCTGGTGCAGCGTGCTCAAAACTTCACGAGACCCGCAAGGCAAGTACACTGTAGAAGACGCGCTGTACTTGTTCGAAAAGCAATCCCAACAAATTCGGGCCGAAGAGCGCAGAAAACAAGCTCTGGATTTCTTGTGGAGCCACCGTCGCTCCGTGGGATCTGTGGCCTTGGCTATCTTGGTTGGAGCTGCATCTTTCTACATCCGCAAAAAGGGACTCGATGCCTCAATTTGGTCTTATGTTGACCGAATTCAAAAGGCAATCCCAAACTGGATTTAATCTTTACGTTAATATGTACTCAGGTACCGTGGATGCTTGGTGCTATTGCACGTGTATGATCTTGAGAGAAAACATTAATACTAAGCTAGAAATCCCTGCGTCTGAAGATCGCAAGTTGAAAGATTCGAAGGTCATTTATAGAAAAGTGTTTTGCACAAAGTCTTTTTCTGTCGTCCATCTTTGAAACTCTGTGAAAACTGCACATTGAAAAAGCAGTTCAAGACTAAACAAAAAGATGACACAAGGTCATAAACGTGCCTGACTATTCTTTATCCAAAAACAAAAAGCTCAGTCAACTAAGAGCAAAATGATGTGCAGTTGACAACTTGTGTTTGGCATTTAGGTAGTGGTACCCACAGTTGTGGCTGGAGCGGTGGCTTTTCTCTGGGAAGCTGAGGTGCATGTTGTACACTCAGCATCTCCCCTTCCAACAGATTACCTTAAAATTAACCACCATGGCGAACCGAGGCTACGATGTCGTAGTAGATGTGGATGCAGAGGTGAGCGCACTTGAATGAACAACACATCATTTCATCTAACAAATCAAGCAGGGCGACCTTGGCCACACTGACCTACAAGAAGACCTCGAATTCCACCCTTCCAGTGAGTTCCCCCAAGCCAACCAGTCCAGTCCAACTTTCTAAATAAGCAATCCCACCGCCCAGACTTTGAAAATGACCAAAGAACTGCCAAAGTCCAAAATGACTCCGCCCCGTTCCTGAGCGGCGGGCCATCGCGCCGTGACCGGTCCCCTGGCGGTACGCCGACCAAGCACAGCTGGTGGTCTCTGCACTATTACGAGCGCTTTTTTGATGTCGACACGAACGAGGTCTTCCGCCGCTGTGTGGCGACAGTGTATCCGCGCACCAACTTCCTCGATGTGCTAGAGGGTAACGCAGACTTGTACGGACCGATCTGGATCGCGACTACGGTGGTGGTCATCCTGTTTTTGACGGGCACTATCTCGCAATGGCTGTCAAATAAGGGCGACAAGCACTTCGAGTATGACTTCACGCTGCTGTCGGGCGCAGCTGGTCTAGTGTACGGATACACGGGTCTCTTGCCTGTTGCCCTGTGGGGTGCGCTGCGTTGGTTCGGCAGCTCGACGGCTGACCTTATTGAGTGCTGGGCTCTGTATGGGTACTCCAATCTGGTCTGGATTGCCGTTGCACTGGTTAGCTGGAGTCCGTTGACTGCGCTTAACTGGGCGCTTGTTGGTGTTGGCTTTGCTTGGAGTGTCTTCTTCCTTCTGCGGAACTTATATCCCGTCTTGAATGCTACTGATGCGAAGGCCAGCAAGATCCTCTTGATCTTGGTTGTTGTGCTACATGCGGCACTGGCTACTGCTATCAAGGTGCTTTTCTTTGCGTAAGTTGTTTCCTTGTCTAACGGTCCAATTGATCTTGAACTGACGTATCTACTAGCCATGGGAGCCCCGTGTCAAAGAAGAACAAGGACACGGATCACGACGAAAAGAAGATTGACGACAACAAAGGGATGATGTTCCGGGCATAGGCGGGGAAAGAAGGACCATCGGCTTTAATCTGGAATACTGGCCATTCCATCCATTCTTGCTCAGGTAGCAAGGTTGACAGCTCAAGTTTTCTAGTCGTGCTATTGAACACATGCATGTATTGTACTCTGTATTTATCGCAGATGGAATTTGAAGATGTGAAAGAATTCGACTTTTTGAATTTTACACATTTCATTTCATGGAGTGCAACTTGGTCGTCGAGAGGAGCCAACTAGAAAAAGTATGACTGTGGCTGCATTGATTTTATCATCAGATCTAACGCCATTTGTAATCCTCTCCATGTAGCAGTCCAGCCAATCCCCATCCCTGGAATCTGCACCACAGCACGCCGAGCACAAGACCGAGGAGCGAGTTGTCTATTTGAGCTTCTTCTTGGGGCGGAGCTGGTTGGTGTGTCCGCACTTCTTCTTGCGGCAGTTGGTGGCACGGGGAGGAAGACGAGCCTGTAGTTGGTTCGAGTTAGTGCATGTGTTGACGTAATTGATGACCTTGTCACAAAAGGTGGTTTTTTTGACGAGCATCGGGCGCAGACGGAGAGGCGGGGGTAAACGTACGTAGCACTTGCGGCAGATGGCCTTGTCGCAGTTGAACTTGGAGGCAAGGGCCTTGAGGGAAGGCTCAATGATACCACCACGGAGACGCAGGACAAGGTGAAGGGTGGACTCCTATAACGAGTTGATATCGCATGTTAGCGAATGTTCCACCATGTCGCAGACCATGACCGTGACGTGAAGCGATCATTCTTCCTCTTGCGTATCCGTAGGCAGAGTTATCTCCAGACAAAGAACATGTCGGATGATCCGATCCACCCGGAATACCACAACGCCCCCACTTCTGGCACAAATCACAAAGGTTGAAGGTCGATCCCTACCTTCTGGATGTTGTAGTCGCTCAGGGTGCGGCCATCCTCGAGCTGCTTGCCGGCGAAGATCAGGCGCTGCTGGTCAGGAGGAATTCCCTCCTTATCCTGGATCTTGGTCTTGACGTTGTCGATGGTGTCGCTCGACTCGACATCGAGGGTAATGGTCTTACCCGTCAGGGTCTTGACGAAACTATATCGAGCCGCATTAGTCCACATTCAATTTTCCTCCGTGAAATTGGGTCGTATCGGCCATGGATCGGGATTGTGGTTCGCGATGACATTCGGGGGGTTCAGAAAGACCTACATCTGCACTGAAACGGCGCGGAAAAAAACGATGTTAGCTCACTGAATCCATGAAGATGCATAGACGCTGCTGCAGGGGGTTTATGGGACGTACTGGTTGCGAGTTTTCGTTGTTGTCGGCTGTCGGTCGCTGTGTACCAGGCGGAGCTGTCGATTGTCAATTTGAGGATTTCGCTCGCTTAGCAAAGGTGGACCGGTCGGGGTACCCTAAGCCCTAGTTGCTGCCCGTTTTCGTCGCACCTTATATAATCAACCCCAGCCGACTTAGCCAATGATACCTTAGCAGTGCATCTACCTACGTCAGGTATGCCAGCCAGATGTTCTGCTAAAAATAAACGAAGCATGTTTTCTACTTTCAATAGTAATTCCTAGTCATATACGACCTATCTTCCGATCATCGACTCAGCCATGAATACTAATACGTTGAGAAAAGATAACAAGAGTTCACTGTAACCTTGGTGATTCGAATAATTGAACTAACTATATGGTTAAAAGGTTGTACAGAGGTAAACGCCAAATACATGATCCCAAAGCCCCAACGCCATGCATATGATACAATGGACTTCCTCATCGACCTCTAGATGGTCGACCACATCTTTGAAGTGGACATGAAATCATCGTCGTCCATATCTTCAGACTCCGCATCATACATGTCCTCTTCAAAATCAGCTATTCCATACGAGTGGTCTTCATCGCTTTCGTCGGTATCCATTCCTTCTGTTCCCAAACTAGCGAAGTACTCTCTGTTCTGTCGCTCTTCATCTTGCTGTGCGATCCTAAACTCAACAACTGTGACAGCACGGACAAGAGTTTTCAATGGGACTGCAGCAAGCTGTGCTGCTAGCTCATAAAAAGTCCGTGCGGGGCCGCTGAGATGTGATTCCCATCGATACCGGTGATACCACTCGCCGGGACGCCTGTGGTCGGCTTCTTCATCTTCAGGGATGACCCTTCTGGTTCTAAGGGTTTGCATGACTGTTTGTAGCAAAAGGTCGAGCTTTTCTCGAGTTGTATCAGGAGGGGCAGGGGCAGGGGCAGGAGCAGGAGCAGGAGCAGGAGCAGGAGCAGGAGCAGGAGCAGAGGATGTTTCCGAGGCAAGGGGTGTAAGAGGGGGAAGGGGAGGGGCTGGATCAACTGGGACAGAAGTAGATGATGGTTCCGGGGCAGCAGTAGAGATTGGTTGGAGATCTTGCTCTGCCCGGCTGATGGGAAACATTTCGGCGATGCGACTAGGTTCCTTAGAAGTATCCAGCCAATTGCTTTCGTACCAGTCCATGTAATGGTCCAGCTGGGCAGACGTCATGTTCAACACATCTTGGTCTGTGATTTGAATGGCAGTCTTTTTCCCAATTTTCCCCCCAAACAGCTGATCATGATCAAAATTGTTCTGGGCGCGTGCCCAGAGGGTCCAATCCATAACCTGCACAGCGGGCTCTTTAGCTGTAGTGGGATACCTTTTCAAACCATCGATTGGGAAAAGTAGTTTTGTAGAAATGACGATAAGCACCATTAATTGCAAGTCGGGAAGCAGAAGTGCCGTTTTTCGGCCATTATATGAAGTTGTTTTCGGATACTGGAATGTGAAGCCCAGTAGATCTTGCAGGATCTTAGTTGCATCATATACCTCAACTAAAATCGTTAGCTTAGATGGACTGCACAACTAGGCGGCGGTTGTTTTTCATACTTGGCAAAGCTAATCTCTTAATGTGACGAAAAAGAACCATGGGCGAATTTAATGGAGGAAGCTCCAATTCAAAGCGGCGCTGATAGAACAGCACTATCGCCAGAACGCCACGGTGGAACCGCTCGGCATTGGGTATTGTCTTTGTCAAAATTAGTCAAGGCTAACCCGGGAAAGGTTCGGAGTCAGATTACACTCACATTGACTTCAAGTATCGCGGTCAGCTCCGGCGGAAGCCTATCCCTCATATCCCGAGGGATGGTTGCCAGGACCCGGGCGTAGGGGATCTCCTGCCGCAGTATCATGCTATACAATGTGAGTATTTATTGCCCGTCCTACAAGCAAACGCCCAGGCTTGCATCGAGAAGATGATGTACATACCCATGAAAATCAATGACACTGACAGGAAGCCGCATTAAGAACGCTGCGAGATAACACATAGCAACAGAATCGATCAGACGAGGCCATTCGAGATACCTCGAGTTTGGTCTAAATCCATCACGGGATCCATCTTTTCCCGCAGGCTGTGAGCTGAACAGCTCAGATTCGGTGTCATCATCGTCATCTTCAGCCGAATCAGTGAGCCTCATTTCGAAATCCTGCAGACGAAGAGCCCAGAGATCGCGAACAACAACCTATTGTATAATGAGCTTTAATTCTTTAACGCTTGAAGCAACACACGCGCATACCTCAAGTTCCTCTGGGAAACCATGATCATGAACCAAGGCATGACATTGTTTCCAAAGGACAAGCTGATAAATGTGCAAGAAAAGTGTGTAGGCCGGACGGCCCCGAAGTGCTTTTGGCAAATGTCAGCGAAGAGAACAAGTTCCAAACTGTCAATTACATACTCTTGCTGGTTTTCTCCCTTATTTCTTTCTTCAGGCGATGTGTTTTGCCTAGATTACCGAAATCGTCGGCATCTTCTGCAATTTGAACACCCTACGCATGTCGTAAATCAAGATTAGCTGTGTACTTCTTTTGACATTTGCGGTGATAAGACAAAGGTTGAGAAAGCGTCATACCTCCTGCAAATGACCGCGTCGACAATACCAAAGTCCATTGTCAAGATAGTATCGGGTCTCACGGCAACTTTCTTGACCGCAGACCCCTCGGGTGACGTAGTCCATCCCCAATGAATTTGTTCATGCTTGTTTGACAAAGAAGGGTTGGTATACCGAGATGGCGGGACTTTTTTTCTGCCTCCATCTCAGTGACCGCCGATTTTGTCACTCCACCTGTCCCGCAATGCGCGCTATGATTGATCCGTTGACTATCTCATAAGATTCAATTCCAAGGCTTTTTACCTTTATGGTCCTTTTTATTTTCTCTTGGACCTATGTACAACATAGTTGTTGCGGGTTGGGCGTTGTGGAATAATTGAGCTCGAAATCCACACATCTACAGATTATTTTATAGGATCCATCAACGTAGTCAAGCAAGATTTGAGTATTTATTCATTCATCACACTATCATGAGATGCTGAGACTCAGAACTGTTCGGACAACACATATCATGCCAACCAAAGCAATTCTCGGTCCAGCCCACATCCAAGGTTATGTGGGGGACAGATCTTGAAGCAATGGGCATTATCGTTCAAAGAATCGTATCCTCCTTTGAACCATTGAAAGATAAAAATTTTTGGCGGGCTTTGTGCCCTCGTGGAACATAAAGGTTGGCATAACAGGTAATAAATCCAGATATTAAAATTTAACCAGACTTGGGAGCCTCCTTGCACTCCATGGCAGCCTCCTCGCCCATGGCACTCAGGACAACGATGTCTAGTGGCACCATATTAGTAGTAATTCCATATTATGGTTGGTCATAGTTGTAACTTACTGCACTCCTTCTCCTCGGTAAGGAACATCTGGTTGATCTTCTCACCAACCTCGTTGTCGGGGACCTTGACATCATCCTTGGTGTCACCGTTGTCGGTCATGAGGGACATGAAGCCATCCTCAGTGATATCGAGCTAAAGTTGGTCAATGAAAACAGCTCAGATTTTCATGGCATCAGGGATACTAACGAGCTGGTACTCCTTGCGGACCACGTTGGGAACGTCCATGTTGTGGGTGGAGGGGGAGAGATCCTCAAGCTTCTTGCCGGTGAAGATGTCGGTGGCGACCAAGTGAACCTTGGCGTGACCGTGCTTTCCAGTCTTGGAGGTAGACATGTCAATGATCTTGCAAGGGCGGTTCTTGATCACAACGTGGCCGTTCTTGCGCAGAGCAGAACACTGCATGGGGTAGGTGAGCGAAGCTCCGGCATCAGCCGAATCGAAAGTGACATCGTGCTATAGTGAATCTTGTTAGCATGCACTTCAAAATTTGCCAATATGGCGGGGTTGAGAGTCCAATATGGCCTCGTGTCCTCGAGAAGAGAAGAGGAGGGGAGCCGCATGCGGGGCTGGGCAGGAAATCCTCAAGGCAGCCATTGGGAGATCTCAAATTTGTAAAAGCAAGTACATACCTCCTCGGCAGACATGGTGAATAGATTTAGAGGGGTTGAAAGAGGGGGGGGATTTCAAAAAATTTGGGGAGGGAAAAAGTGAAGAGAAGAGGAGAGAGAAAATCAAACTAAAATCTATCGTGGGCGACGCTGTGGCGGGGTCGCTTACTGGACGCTGATTGGTCATCGGGGGCTGTCCACCTTGTTGGGTTTAGTGTATATAGGAATGTCCGAGTGTCCTGAAACAACCTAGCCACTACAACCGTTCTACCTGATTGTTGAGCTTACTTGGTGGACTTGCCGAGTATACTCATGAATGGATTGATTTTCTTTTGCATTTCCATGCCGTTCATCCTATTACACAATGTGGCGCGACCGCATTTCAGTCCAGTCAACTCCCTCCGGAGCCAATAGCCGCAACCTTTCTCCTCTACCGCGACAATCATCCTCCCAGCTATCTCCAAGTCCCTATAATAGCCGCCCTGGTGTAAGATCTAGAACTTCATCAACATCTCTTCTCGTGACCCCCAACGACTCTACAGCATCTCTCCCGGGAACTGCACGGGCAACCAATGGCTCTCCTTCAAGGCAGACAAGTATTCGACGACCTCGACCGGTCAATATTCCGGATCCGCTGGAAGTATTGAATAAAATAATCGGGAAGGAAACTCAAACGGATAAGCATGTCCCGCAGCTATCATCAGTGCTGCAACGGCCAGAGCTGTTGGTGGAAGCCATCCACTTCGACGGGCTGAGTCTCGAAGACTTTCTGAAAAAGGAGGATCCAGAACCAAGAAAAAGGACCCGCGAAAGTGATGTAAATGCGCAAACTGTTCAGCAATTTGAACGACAACGAGATAAATTCCAAGAGTTGCATATATCCATTACTGGATGTGATGAGGTGTCCAAGTCAGTTGAGCTGTACTTGAATGACTTTCAGAATGAACTGGGTGCCGTATCGGCGGAGATTGAAAATTTACAATCTCGCTCAACACAGTTGAACGCGATGCTAGAGAACAGGCGCAACGTGGAACGGTTGCTAGGACCTGCTGTGGAGGAGATCAGCATCTCCCCCAAGGCTGTGCGGACAATTGTCGATGGCCCAATCGATGAGAATTGGGTGCGCGCACTAAACGAGATCGATTCTCGAACAACAAATATCGAAGCCAAGGCCGCCGCTTCCTCCAACGGCTATAAAGCCGTTGAGGATGTACGACCCCTATTAGCCGACGTAAAGACCAAAGTGAGTATGCTGCACTCAAATTATCTAGAGCTGCATTAACATCTTCACAGGCAGTTCAGAGGATCAGAGACTACTTTGTATCACAAATTCGTGCTATGCGTTCACCAAACATCAACTCCCAGATTATTCAACAGCAGCGACTAGTGAAGTTTAAAGATCTATACAGTTATCTCTCAAAGATCCACCCAAAGCTGGCAGGAGAGATATCACAGGCATACATCAACACCATGCGCTGGTACTACACATCTCATTTCACGCGCTATCTTCAAGCACTCGACAAGGTCAAAGTTTATCCTCCTGACCGAAATGAGGTGCTTGGAGGTGATCCATCCACACATCGATCAGGTATGAGCTCTGCTTCTCTGGTACTGTCTATTTACTGATAATTTCAGGGAACATGATGCCTGGCGGCCGAGCTGGCTCTGCTGTCCATGACCCTTTTTCCCTGGGCAGACGTATTGATGTCCTCCGAACTGGCAATCTCCAGGCTTTATCCTCATACCTGGCTGAAGAGGACAATAATTACCATGGAATCGAGGTTCCGTTCCGAAACTTCAATCTCGCATTGGTGGATAATGTTTGCGCCGAGTACTCTTTCCTGACAGAATTTTTCTCTCCAAAGACCTTCCATGAAATCTCTCGCACTGCCTTGGAAATCTTCCAGCAGGTCTTTACCCTTGGCCAGAACCAGACCAAGAAATTAATCGAACACACCACTGATTCTCTGGGTGTCCTCATTTGTGTTCGCCTCAATCAACATTCGGCATTCGAGCTTCAGCGCCGAAAGGTGCCCGTCGCCGACTCATATGTTAATGGAACCAACATGCAGCTCTGGCCGCGCTTTCAGGTGATCATGGATTGCCACGGCGACTCGCTCAAGCGAGTTGGATCCAATACTGGGCGCAGTGCTGTCTCCGCTCTTTCGATTGCAGGCGGAGATGATCTGAAGCAGTCTTCGGCGCCTCACTTTTTGACTCAACGATTTGGGCAGCTTCTTCATGGAATCCTTGTTCTCAGCAGTGATGCTGGTGATGATGAGCCGGTATCTAATAGCTTGGCCCGGTTGACTGCTGATTTCGATTCTCTTTTGGTGAAATTGAGCCGTAACGGCACAGATGCAAAGCGAAGAGAGCGATTCCTCTTCAACAACTATTCATTGATTTTAACCATCATTAGCGTATGTTGCTGCCTCTGTGGTTTAGGAAAAACGCGCTAACCGGAAACAGGATACCCAAGGCAAACTAGCAGTTGAGCAGAAGCAGGTGAGCATTTGAGTCGTGTCTTATCCTAGTTCCTTTGACTAACTTGGTTTCTAGCATTTGGAAGAGATGCTTAAGAACAGCACCAGCGCCAAGCGGTAGAAAGCGATTGCACACACTGGACAGATGCATATCCCAGGTGGATTCATAACTTGATGCATTTCGATATCCGTTTACGTACAAACATCCTAATTAATGTCTATTCTTATAGAGACACGTGTACGACTCTTGTCTGCACACCCGGAAATTCATCTAACCACGTAAAAAGAGGAAGCCATCCTAGAAAGAATTAGGCTTAGGTCACTAGTAGATTCAAGCTCTTGGATTGGAAATAAGGCATCTACTAACTTTCCAAAACAAAACCGTCCTTTCGCGTTAGAATGTGAATGTACACCTTTGGTATCTGCCCTTGGATAAATTACCATGTGCCACTATACCTGGGCCAAATATTTCAAAGCAGAAGAATTTATTTCCTATTGGCACCGGATACTGGGAGTGCGGTGCGTTTCGACTATTGTCGAGTCATGACCGCCAGGCAACCTCCGCGGATGACCCACAAACAGACGTACGTCCTTTTCTTTGCATCTAACGATGAATGTATAAACCTGGAAGCCCCATTCTAGCGATACGAACACATCCTAGGCATCCTATGTCTGCCAATTGTCCGATTGATTAACAACCAGACCTAGATCATCGTCTCACACGACATGGCAAGATGGCAACCACCATGAGAATCCCTCTGACTACTCCAAAAGATGGCTCACTTTTAATGGAATCTGAGCTGGGGTTCATGCTGGCTATGCCATTCGAATCCCACAGTGTGCTTTATGGATCAGGAAGATGACAAGGTCCCGTTGAGCAACTCAGGGCTTCACAAGCTGTTTGACGAGTTTGTCAATCAGCATCAAAAGATGGGGCTGGAAAGATAAGTCGATTGGGATTTAGTATTTCCGAGATATTGGTGTTGACAGGTACCCAGTGTTTTGGATGTCTAGGTGGTGAGTGAGGCCAGTTGCAAGATGTCCAAGACATCCATTGAAGCAATTTGAGTGATAGTCGCCATTACAATGACACATTGAAGGCCAATCAAGACTAGTCAAGATCTGTATAAGATCCATAACTGGTGAAGGAGGGCGTCCGAATATCGCATGGGGCGATTTGGGTAAGACGGTTTGAGAAGAGCCCCCCCCCCCCCCCTCTTTCATAAGCTGTTGATATTGCTTTGATCATCTTGCTTCTCCCTCTTTCCATTCTAAAAGCTTTTGGCCTCTGATCAGCCTTTCTCTTCTCTTTTCTCATGACAAATTGATCATGGCCACCTCCATTCCCAGGACCATGCGTGCTCTGCAGTACTCAGAGCCCAATCTTCACAAGATCGTGGAGGTCCCGTGCCTGGAATCTGCGCGAACGACGTTCTGGTACAAAAGGATCCACCGAATTCGCGGGACAGCGGACTGACGAAAGCCTCTTCAGATCAAGGTCAAGGTGTGTGGTGTCTGTGGCACCGACCTGCACATCCCCGAGGGTGAATTCATTACCAAGGTATGGTATCTCAACCATATCAAGCACTCATCATGCATTGATGTAGTGACCGGTCTATAGTTCCCTCTGATTCCCGGCCATGAGACCGTCGGCGTGGTCGCCGCCATTGGGCCCAAGGTCAAAAAGACTTCGAGATCGGCGAGCGAGTCATCGCTGATAACTCCGAGCTGTGCGGAATATGCTTCTACTGCTGCCATGGCGATGAGCTGTTTTGTGAGCATTTCGAAGCCCACGGTGTGACGATGAACGGCGGTTTCGCTTGTTACTGCGCCTACCCTGGTAAGTAGAGCATCTCAATCTCCTGCTGGTCTCTCGAGGCTGATTTGAGATTTCTTTTCTGCTGGCAGAGTCTTCAAGATCAAAAACCTTTCCGACATCGACGCAACTCCTCTCGAGCCCGCCTCTTGTACCGCCCACGGTTTGGACAAGATCGCCCCGAAGATGGGCTCGTCCGTGTTGATCTTCGGCGCTGGTCCTACTGGTCTGGTGTTGGCTCCGATGCTGCGTCAGAACGGGTGTTGCAATGCCATGGTCGTTGCTCCTGGGGGACTGAGAATGGAAATGGTTCGGAAACTTGATGCTGGCGATAAGTACATTGAGCTGTTTCGTGGCAGTTCTCAGGCTCAACTCAATGCTCTCAAGGCTGAGAACCCGTATTGATTCGATATTGTTGTTGAGGCTACTAGTAGTCAGAAGATTCTTGAGGATTCGATTAACTATGTTCGACGTGGCGGTAAGCTGGTGGTGTACGGCGTGTATTCCAAAGATATTCGGGTGTCGTAGTCGCCGGCCAAGATCTGTGAGTTTTCTTGTTCGCTTTCTCTTGAGTTTGGGTGATTTGCTGACTTTCTACACAGTTGGCGATGAAATCACTACCCTTGGTAGTTCCTCTGAGACCTACAAGTTCCCTGCTGCTATTGACTATCTTGACCCGGGCAAGGTAAAGGTCGATGGCATTGTGGGCAAGGTGCACAGGATTGATCAGTGAAAGGAGTGTCTTGAGGCGAGGCGTAACAAGTCTGCTATCAAGGCTGCCATTGCCTTTCGATTAGATGTGAATTTTACTGTGAAGTCCATCTTGCAAAGTGGATGTTCACAGAGAATGGTGGATAGACTTGGTTCTCTTCCTGGAACAGTAGGCTTCTTTCTTTTATAGGTTGTTGAAAGTGAGGACCTTGATAGACCACCAAAGGTACTTTTGAGATCAATTGATCTCAAATCTGACCAGTGATATCACATAATGAGATACCCAAAGAACATGAAAATCAAGAAAAGTCCAGATACGGACGGACTCCGTCAGCCAAGCCAAGCCTCTCCCGCCGCAACCTCTCCACCGAAGCTCCAACAACCACCCAAAACTAATCACCATGGTGAAACCCCTAACATTTAAAGGCGACAAGCCAAAGAAACGCAAGACGCGCACTACTGACAACGAAGCCCCAACCGCTAAATCGCGCAAAACCGACCCCGAACCAGAAGACAACCCAGAAGACCAAAGCTGGGTCTCCGCCGACTCCCCAAGCGACATCGCCGGCCCAGTAGTCCTAGTCCTGCCCTCAGACGACCCAACCTGCGTTGCCAGCGACGCCAACGGCCAGGTCTTCGCTAGCAAACTCGAGAACCTCATCGACGGAGACCCAAGCACGGCAGAACCGCACGATGTGCGACAGGTGTGGGTTGCGTCGCGGGTGGCGGGGACGGAGTCGTTTAGTTTCAAGGGACATCATGGGAAGTAAGTACTCCATACATTAGACTGTGTTTTGTCGCGCATATCCACATTGTCACAAGTCCTATTCCTATTCCTATTCCTATTCCTATTTCCATTCCCATTCTCTGTCTTTTGAAATTTTTTTTTAAAAAAATCCAACTCAACTAACCACCCCCTCCAACCAGATACCTCTCCTCAGACACACACGGCCTCTTCACTGCAACCGCCTCGGCAGTCAGCCACTATGAATCCTTCCTCGTGATCCCCTCCCCCGAAGTCTCGGGTACATTCTCACTCCAGACACACGGCGGCGACGGCGAGTCTTTCCTCTCGATAAAAGAGAATTCTAAAGCCGCTTCTGGCGTTGAGATCCGCGGAGACGCGAATACGATTTCTTTTGAGACGACGGTGCGCGTGCGCATGCAGGCGAGGTTCAAACCGAAGCTGCGTGCGTCGAAGGAGAGTAAGGCGTACGAAAAGATTAGTAAGAAGGAGCTTGAGGGGATTGTTGGGAGAGGTTTAGATGAGGAGGAGGTGAGGAAGTTGAGGAAGGGCAGGAGGGAGGGGAATTTCCATGAAGTTTTGTTGGATGTAAAGGTTCGTGGGAAACATGATAAGTGGGCGTGAGGGCTCCAGGTGAGTCCCCATTCGTTTTCCCCCTGGATTTGGTGTGGTGTTGATTGTGGTAGTATCTCTATCCTGAAGCATGTCGGACTTTGGTTCTGTTTGCTATTCGAGCGTTGCTAGCTGCGGGGAGTAGGTGGTCGGGTCATGCCGAGGCTTTCCCATGTTCTCGCCTGTTGTCGGTCTAGCCTGTCGGCATCTACGATTACTGGCAGCTCGGGTGGTGGAAATGCATCGTGCGAGCTCAGTCCTGATTGGGAGAAACCTCAAGATACCGGTCCGTGGTTATCGATTCAGGTCCCAGTAAGAGAACTATGTACGTGATACATGCCGTCTCTGCAAGCCATCGAGGGTCGCAGTGAAGGGAGAATATCCAACGGCCCTTGATATCAGCCTAGATGGCTATTCCTTCTTCAAACTGTGTTCGCATCTCATTCTAGACAACGTACGAAGGAGAAAGCGAAGTACAAGAAAGAAGACCCCAAATCTCCCCGTCGGAGCTGTATGGAACTCATATTTATATTTTTACTATCTGTTAACCGAAAGCTTCAACCCCTCCCAACCTGTGTACAACTTTTATTTGATAAGAAATTATCAACGCAGGAAAAAAAAACAAAGACTCGAGAATCTCAAACCAAGGATTCAACTTAACTTCAGTTAAAACGAACAACGCAGACATTCATTTGTAGATAGAGATAGTTCTGATTATGGAAGACATAATTCGTCACGCAGAAACAGATCTATGACGAGACAGAGGCGGTAACGACAGAATGGGGGGGGGGGGAGAGGGGGGGTGTTTCCAGTAGAGCAGCAAGCCCTGGGTATGAATTCTAACAACAGTAGTACAAGGGAACAAGACCTCAGAAACCCAAGCAAAAGTGAGGAATGGGACCATGATAAAAGTATGATGAAACAGAGCTCAGGGTCAACATAACAGAGAGAACCCCCTCCCCCCCCCACCAACCGCGTCCACATGGCGGAAAGTGTTCTTGGAGAAAAAGGGAAAAAATTTAAAGAAAAAGGAGAAATTAACAAAGTATCTGGGTTGGAAAAGAGAAAAGGAGAAAAAAGCAAAGCTGGTCAAATCTAGGTTCATAGGGACTCTCTTTCCCCACAAAGATAAGCCCCGAGTCATGGGACAGGACGCAAATAGGCAATAGGAGGGCAGAGGCAGACGAGTGTACAGAGATAGGTGAGGAGGAGTAGGGGTATTGAAGGTGAAGGGATGAAAGGGAATTTAGGAGTTGAGCGATAGGCCCTGGAACCTGTTGATCCATTCGCCTTGCGCTGAGTGTACACGGGCAGAGCCATTAGAGCCGCCGATGTTGCCGGAACATTCGAATGAATCTGCATGCCCGAAGCTTGATGGCTGCGGGGCAAAGAAATCCGAATGAGCGGGCCCTTCTAAGTGACGGGATGTCTGAGAAAAGGGCTGGTAGGACTCTCCGTAGGATGTGTGAAGCATGCCCACGGGGGTTGGCATCTCTCGTCCTGAGTCCACAGTCTCTCGCGATCCGGCATAAGACCTGCTCTCAAGTTGGTGGCGACGATCTGCTTCCTGGCCATAAAGGGGGTTGGGCATGGTGCCAGGACCTGACAGGCCAGCGGTAGGGGGCGTGACAAACGAGGCTGGGTTGATAGCTGACATCCAGATGCGAGTTTTGTAGATCTTGAACAGGTCAGTTACAAGTGAGTTGAAGTTGATGTACGAATCAGCAAAGTAGTAGAAAGTGAGTTTTTTCCAGTCCCTGCATAACAGTCAGTTCAACCAACACGGACAGCAATCGGAACCAAGTAGATTTACATTTGGAATTCGGCATCGAGGATCTCCATATTAAGCCGATGCTCAACCACTTTCTGCTGGCAGACCCGCTTGGCTTTAGCCTCATTTCCTTCCTTATCGTGCAAAGTTAGAACTTCATGTTGCTGTGCCAACCGCTTGATGAGCTTTGGTTTGATGTCTGTCGCAGGTTCCTGCGCACTGTGAGGACCATGGGGACCCATGCCACCTGTGGTACTTCGAGTGTTCAAGCCCGAGTTGGGGTTGGCGAGGGTGGACCCCTCAGGCTGGCCGTGTCTAGAGAAAATCATCAGGGTTTTGTAGTGCTCTTCTGCATAATGCTGCTTTAACTCCCGTGCCTGTTGGAGCGATATGTTTGCATGAATGACGGTACCCAGATCTGTTCCTCGATCCGCCTCCACAATGACTAGATCACCGGTTTTCACTTGAAGACCGGTGTCTTCTTGGATGTAGAACACGTCTGCACGGCTGCATTTGAAGGCGACAATGTACAAAAGCTGATTTTGATGAGCGTGGGACAATGCGGATGGCTGACGACCATATGCATTCGACATGGCATATTGGCTGAGAGATTGCGGGATACCCGAGGAGCCATCTCCACGCAAGGTCTGTTCACGGGAGTAGTAAGGTTCTGCAGAAGGTATTAGCTTTAAGAGACAGCAAAAGGATGTTGCAAGTAAATAGACTCACGGTTGGAATAGTCACTAAGGTTACCATAGCCGTCATCACGATCCCCCATACTTGCGCGAGGAGTAGCGGTCGAGTGCGAGTCCACAGAACTGATTGAGCCATAACGCATCGGAATCTCGGCAAAAGAGTGTCGGCGACTTTGAGGCATGTCAGGCATACCGCCGAAGCCTAGAGACGTTTGCCAATGAGCCTTGCGGACGTTCTCTAGAGCACGATTTTCCAGCGGGGAGGCGAAGGACGAAAATTGCGCTTCCGGATGCGCCAAATGCTCAGAGAAGCGGCGACGAGAATTGCCACGCATGTTGTTGTACCCGGTAATATCACGCAATTCATTTAGATCCTCCCCAGCCAGATCTCCCCCTGGAACACCACCTCGGATGCGATGCAGTGAATGACCACCTCCTATTGATGCAGCTGATCCAGCACGCTCACGGTATCTATTATCCATTTGACCTGCCGCTGCTGCTTGCCGTAAGAGTGCGTTCTCGCGCGCCAACTGCTCGATCTGCCGAGCCTGACTCGCCGAGTAGCTCATGTCGCTCTCCGAGTCGTTGAAACTCTCGTCACCATCATCATCCTCGCGAACTCGACCGAGCATTGCAGTATCGTATCCTAATTCACCGAGCATACTAGGACGTGATGCTCGAGGCTGAACAGCAGACATTTGGCCCGGGCCGCGAGAGCGACTTCCTGGGTAATGTGCACCGGTAGCAGGACCTGCACCGGGCTTGCTAGTCGCGAGGCCGAGGAACTCAGGGTCCATCTGGCCCACAGAATATGACTGAGAGCGGTACGTTTTGAGGGTTGGTTGTAATGGAATGGAGAATGGGATAGCGGATTCACCAGAGATGGTACGGGTGATTGGGCTCAACATTTCGTCTGACATGTTGCCCCCCAAAGGAAGGGGATTGGTCATAGTCGGAGAAGACACCATTTCTGCCAAGCGAGAAGGTGGTTCCTTACGGGATTCAGTGTTCCAGATCCCTGTGCCTGTGCCCCAAGAAAAGGCACTTCCTCCGGGTTGATTCCAATTGAAAGATCCGGCAAGACCTGAGCTCGCCGTCGTTGCCCATGGCGCTTGATCATTAGCAGGGCTTGTAGGGTTTGATGGGGCGGAAGAAAGGTGACCTCCAGGCAGCGAATGTTTACGCTGAGCGGAAAGAGGCACTTCGTTCAACCACGAGGTGCGACGGACGGGTGGCCTGGTGGTAGGGGGGATAATGTTCTGGGCTTGTGTTCCATGCTCTCCATCATCATCAGAGGAGGCCAATGCATCCGAGTCTGGGGTGGAACGGCGCACGCCTGGGTGAGTCTTCTCGAAGATGGCAGACGCTGCCGCCGCAGCGGGTGGGGTAGATGCCTGAGCCATCGAGGTTGGTTTGTTAGATGGCGCTGCCATTCTGGTGAAAGAAACACTGTAGCGAGGTTAGTATGGGATTCCCAGTGTAATACGTGTAACAAACGTGATCATTCCCTGCAGACTGTGTCACCATGAGCACCACTTGACACCCAGTAAAGCAACACAACCAGAGCGGGGCTATCTGATCAAGGAATAGCCCGAAGCCATGGAGGAATGAGCTGTAATTCACTGACCTGTAAGATCTTTGTTAATGGCAAATCTGTACTGTAAAAATCTCTCTTGGTTCAAAAAATAATTGAACACATGCGACAAAGCACCTGTCTTTGTTACACGCGCTCGATGAGGTTGGGGTAAAGGGTTGATCTCTTGTCTTGAGAGGGATGACGGATGACCAGGTGTATGCGCTATGTTCAATTCCGGCTATGTTGAAGTCAGCGGTTGTTCACATCTTGAAGCCAGATAGTAAAATAGAGGGGGAAAGGCACAAGTCAAGGAGAATATAAGCACATGTAGGTGTGGCATGACCAAGAGCTGTAGGATGAAAGCGGAGAGTGTGCAGATATGCATGTCCTCGGCCCCTCTTGCGAGAGGGTCCAGAAGTGGGGATAGTAAAATCCCCCCCTCAGCCAAGAGAAAAGCTGTGCGCAACTCCGAGGGACGTGGATGTGAAGTACGGTTGCAAGGGAAGTAAGGGAAGAGTGAGAGATGCCCACATAGAAGAGAAAATTGGAAATAACATGTAGGCAAATAGCGCCATGGAGGAGCAATTGTCCAAGATGTAGGGAAAGTAAAGCGACCGAGAACTAGTGGACTTGTACGTACCTCAGGTTGGCGTCAAATACTTGAACGAATCTTTTTTTTAGCTGGCTTCGCTGGCGCGCGTAGATCACCAGGCACCTTTCAAGCAAAAAAAAAAGTGTTCACGAAGAAAAAGTGAGTCGAAAATCAAATGCAGTCGCGTGATCGCAATTGTGTCTGGAGAATTATCCAGGTATCAGCCCAGTCGCGTTCAGGACGAGGAAAACTCGACAGAAAATTTGCGCTACTCACCACTCTAATCTTTCCTCTCCAAATGTCTATTTGCAAGCGGGTGCGCACGGTGATCGTGGGTCTCGTCAACAATTTTGAGGAAGTTCTGTGCCCGAATTGCACAGGCGAGATTTCGAGGTGAACGGAGGAACGAGGGCGATGGAACAGGTCAGGTAGACAGAACTAGCGAAGAGTAGAAGTGCCTTATTTGAGGAGATAAGACGACCCGCGTGTCAAAGATGCTGAATCTGTTTGATTCTATTGAGAGATGGAATGCGCTCGGAGAGTTTGCACGATCGAAGCTGTGACCACTGATGACGTTGAGCAAGCCGAGGGACTATGCTGATCCCGTTAAGGGTGGCGCATCTTGCGATGGAAGAAGAGTGTGTTTAGATAGGAAGAGAAGAAGGGAGGAGAATGTAAAAAGATGAGGGGAATGCAAAGAGCCTGGGGTAACTTCTGCTACGGATCTGGCAACGTTGCCCCGGAGGACACGGACCACTATGGTTTGATCGAATTTTAGTCGAATTTTTAGTTCTTGTTTAGTCATTTTTTAGGGGCTTGTAGGGCTTCGTAGGTTTTTAGTGAGGGTTTTATGAGACATACCAGTTCTTTCCAACTTATGAAGACGAAATCAGGAATATGCTTCATGGAGATGTAAAAAAAAATAAAGATCAGGATTATGGAGCTCTGTAGGCAAGGTGGCGTAGACCCAGAACAGGCGGGTCCCTTGGAGAAATAGGCCGATCATCTGGGGTTGACGGTTGCCTTACAAGTTAGAAAACAATACCATATGCTCCGTACTATCGAAGATGTATAATATCTCTCACCCTCTGTACTTCTGCAAAAGAAAAGAAAAAAAAAAAAAGCTCTCGCACGGCCCTCGCACACTTGCGGGGCAATAAGCTCAGACTCTTTCACTTTACCCCGGATTGATATGCATTTTCTGACATTTCACCCCTCCAACGTAAAATGACCTTCTTGTCCCCCTTTTAATGGGGATTCCTATCCTTCCCGGCTAGGACATAAATATCTCCTCTCCATCCTCGGATGCGCCTAGACCGTTGAACAGCTCTGTGCGACACAGAGGTAGCACAAATGATATTGTCAACGCGACTCTTTTGCTCCTCAACCCCTCAGTGGATCCCCGTGTGCAATAGAGAAGTTCAAAAGATGAAACGAACTTGGGGAGTCAAGAATTCACTAGGGTTCATCTGCAATATAATTTCTGACGAATGATATGGTGCCCCGGAACTCCGACCAGGTTTATTCCACAACAGCCGTTGGGCTAATTTGGTTTGCCAATGTACGCGCTATTCTAGGGATGTTCTGTGTTTGGAGTCCTTTCCTAGCCCTTGAATTCACCGCCGCAATTTGACTCCTAGGAGCTATCTAGGTAAATGATGACTGTGGATATTGCCGGCCATACAAGGCGATGTGTCTACTTGCCGAAACTAGTGTCATCACCAAAGATGTACAATCTACACCCTCTTACTAACTGGTGGTGCAAAGCCAAGGGGGGTGTGTGCATTGAACCACACCTCCCAATTCAACCACATCTAACCCACCCGGGAGACTTCGGAGCTTGTCTAATCGCGACGGTTGCCGTTATGCTGGATGCTGCCTCTGCAGAAAATTTCCACACATTCGCCTGGACTCATGGTGATTCTCTGGACAAATATGCAGTTTCCTATTGAACCGACTCCGTGCGCGAAAGACAATATCAACGTCCACACTTTCCTACCCGCAAGATAGATGACATAAGCCGAAGATCTAGCCCATCCCAGTAACTAACTAACTAATTACCAGCTGATGAAAGACGTTGAAGACCCAGACAGAAAGCAACCCGGAGGATACCGTCCTCTACAGGTTGAGGATGAGTCAGAGAATTCCCGCTATCGAGTAATTGATAAAGCTTAGGTATAGAGGATCCTCGACACCAGATGGCTAGCCCGCGATCTACAAAAGACCTGACAGATGGCAGAGAAGGTGACCACTGCGATTGCTAGTGGCTACACGTAAGAGGCTAGCCTTTTATCTTCTCTTGTAAAGGCGCTATTTAGATCTAGAAGAGGAGTTATCCCACGCCTTATCGACCAATTTTAAGTTGCCATCCTAATGGCAAGCATGAATGCTTTGTCCCCCCACCTACACGGAAAAGCTTCGTTAATGCTAAAAGAGGCTTCCATCTCCGGGTGACCTCCCAAAAAATGAAGTACAACGATTCCTGGAAGTTGTGTGTAGATCGACTTGTTGTAAATTCGTTTCCCTTCTCAAACATAAACATAATGTACAAGGAATGTGCTCCAAATGACCTTTTTTACGGCGCACTGTCCAAAGGCGCACTAGCCGTAGCAGTAGCACCCTTCTGCTGGCGCAGCTTCTCCTCAAACTTGGAGAACTCATGCATGGAAATAATCTCCTCCTCATCCATAGCCTGCTCAACACCCTTGACTTCCTCAATCTATAAGGCAAAGTGAGCAAAAAGCCTTTGTATCAAAACCAAAAGGAACGGGAAAGCGGAGAGAGACATACGTAGTGCATGAGCATGGACTCAATACCATTCTTCAGCGTGACAGTGCTGGAATCGCAGGTGCGGCAAGCACCACGCAGCTTCAGCATGACAATACCATCCTCAAACCCTTTAAATTCGATATCACCACCATCTTCTTGGATAGCAGGACGAATGCGAGTCTCGAGCAATTCCTTGATCATGCTGACGACCTCGTCATCGTCTTCATTGAAAGAAAGCGAGTCCTCTCCACTCTCCTGCTTGTTGCCGATGGCACCCTCGACCGTCGTCACGATCGTCTCGCCAGACGTCACAGCTTGCGTGATGATGCTGAAGACTTCTGGCTTGATGTGCGCCCAGTTAGCATCGCTGCCTTTCGTCACTGTGATGAAGTCTGTCCCGTAGAAGACGGATGTGACGCCTTCGACATCGAGCAGTTTCGCCGCGAGCGGGGATGGGTGTGGCGGCGCAACGGTTGATCGTGGTGACAGATACTCGAGGAATGTACTGGGGAAGTCCTCCGGGAGGACGCGGTGATTGGGGATGAACTTCAAGGCCTAGATGATCGGGGACGAAAAGCAAGGGTTGGTTTCTTTTGTCGAGATCAGATAATTGAGCCTTAGAAACTTACATCGGGGTTGGGGGTGTTCTCGGTCTGGATGAAGATGGTGCGCTTGCTAGTTGGTGAAAGACCGTTTACTCCACCCTGCGATGCAGGCTGCTGGTGCGGTCGCACTGTTGGTCGGCGACGAGTCTCTGATGCTGTGATGGTTGGGAGTCGAGCTGCGCTGGAGACATATCTGTAGCGCGCAATTGCCGGCATGATTGATCGGATAGAGCACTCGACAGGAGTGGCCAGACGGCTGTTTAGCAGAGCGCGACGGAACATTGTGGTAGATGGAGTGCTTAAAGACATTTTAATAAAGGGAATGTGCAAAGAGGGTTGGTAACAGGTGCATTGTAGAAAGAACACCCGAGGGTCTCTTTAGCTGCCGCTCTGACGCAATTTGTTTACACGTGATCCTAGATCATAGCCGGATGACAAATGAAGGCACTTTCTCGGCCAATGAGAAGAAATGTTTTGCACAATCACAACTATGGACATGCCGGCTGTCGGAGGTTGAGGAAGCAGTAGTCAAAAGTCTCCTGCACAAAGTACGCTTTTAAAACCGCCTTCATGTTTAAAATCGAATTTCAAAAACCAGCTCAAAAGACCTTGCAAGGCCGCGCAAGGGGCCGACCACCCTTGTCCGTAGTCAATTGTCATCCTAAATCATACGTCGAAACGAATTTACTGATTCATGGCACACTCAGATATGTTGTAGAGCACCATAATCGATTACAACTTTGCTCACAAATAAAATCTGGGGAAGTAGGCATAGAACATATATGTTGTGTCAGCCTCATACTAGATAGAGGCTATCTGAAAACGTTAAAAGTCCGACCACCCGTCACCGAAGAACACGAGCATGAAATTCGCCTCACAACTTGTCAGAATTCGCTCGCCAATTCGCAAGGAAAGTCGTCCGGTAAAGCCGGTGTGGTCCAGATCTGTCTCATGAAGGAAACCCACCATTATCCGAACACAACACTTGACGCTTGACCTATGCAATAATAGAGCTTAATCTAAGAGAGAAACTGATTGAGAAAAGACCACGCTGTAGCACGTTATATCAGGCCTATCTCGTATTTTACAAATACAGGGCTGTATCAATCCTCCAAGGAGAGCTAACAATACAACAACTGCTCTTCCGTGGACCGGTCATGCCCTGGGAATTATCTCTTTTCCAGAGTTGATAGATACACTTGAATTCACAGGTCAGAATCCCCGAGAGCAGCAGTAGGCGCCGAATTAGTGATTGCAATCCTGATTCGACCTTGAAATGGACGATGGCTCCAGAGAAGTAGCTGCCTTGTCGAAGACAAGTTGCAGTGGTGCCTATATGGTACTTGCAGTGATAGGATGGTATAGAGGGAATAGAATAAGAAGAGCCGTCAACACTTCCCTGATGAGTTGGATCCAGTAAGCTGCGCTAGCTTAAGGAGGATAGTGAGAGAAGCTAGGTATCTGGCCAATCCCCTACCCTCCATTTAAAAGAAGCAACATTGTGCAGCAATCACATGTTGCATATGTGTGGGCTAAGTGGCATCAAATTACTAGAATAGCTCGCAAATTGGACCAAAGTGTTGTGTCTTCCAGATAGGCGCAAACATGAGTGTGACAAGTCATGAGTGAACCCCGGGACACATCAGCCGAAAAAATGGCAGTTTGTGACAAACCGTAATAGCATGCCGGGGGATTCATCGAATCGAGGGAAATCAGGATCCACCTAGTATGCCCGGGTGGCCGGGTTAATGTCCTCGCAAGTGATTGTCTTGGCCGTTGTGCGAATATCATGTTTTCTTTCCTCAAATGGTGGATGCAGACACAATCCCTTCTGTATCCTGTGCAAGCATGGCCGTTCATGTATCGCGTGCATTCAAGCCTTGTTTTCATCACACTAAACTGGGGTTATTTAGATTTTGGACATGGGCGACCAGGGCGACCAGGTTCCAACTACGTCTCGGGAGAAAATTCCAACACCCGCTTTGCGGGGTTTACATAGATTGCGTGGCCTTTCAATCTAAAATACATCGTGCCTTGTGCACTTGGGCATTTTCTTGTCACGCGTGTGCCCGCATGCACCTGCTGCCTAAGGCAGACATAATTGACCCGAGCTTCTTAGATTTTCGTGCAGATTATGCAGATCGGGCAACTCAACTTCCCTGGCCTGATCCTCATCCTCAAGCAGGACATGGACCAGTGAAAAGTGATGGAGCAAGTTTGATCGCTGTGCAGCTGATGGATTCATTGGGAAATCGACACAATGCCTGGTTCCTGTGAGGTTTGCTCTTTAGAGCCCTCAAAATATCGCTGTCCCACATGCGCACTGATGAGGTACTGATACGATTCTGATTCCATCCCTCAAGATCCGTGGTCCAGTCGCTAATAGTTACGGATTTAGTTGCTCACTTGCATGTACCCAGTCACATAAGATTTACTGTGCTCCGAAAGCACCATCGAACGAGGAACCGAGTAACACCCCGGCGCCGAAGGTCAATCCCACACCTGAGAACAACACCAACGGCCCTAAATCTACAGAGTCACCTAGCACCAGTGCTCCCACAATGACACCTGCCGCCGTGGCGGCATCCGCGGATATGAAAGAGCTTCTCAGCCAGCACCCCGAACTCCGCAGTCAGCTACAAGATATGTACAAGTCGACGCTGGAAGAAGAATGGGTGGAATCGTACACAGCCCCCGCACGAGGACGTGGGCGTGGGCGTGGGCGAGGCCGTGGAGGGTCCGCTCCTCGTAGCCGTGGTCCATGGACGTCCGAGAAAGGTTTCAACCGTGGCCTGGGTAGAGTCCGCAAGCTAAGGCAGGATTGTGAGGAAGGGTCGGAGACAGTTCAGGCCGCCGAGGCTTTCATGCGGTTTATGGCGCTTATCAAGTATGGCCAGGAATCAGACTCAGTTTGAGACATTTGGCACCTATACCTTGATTGCACCACTGGCGAGTCCGTGCAAGTGAGACATGCAGATTCTACAACAGAGTGGCGCTTTTTGATCTCCCTTCCCTGTTTCAATAGAGTCGCTGTCAGATTTGACTTCAGCTTTTTTTTCAGCCTCATGCAACTAACACATCTTTGGCCTCTGTGGGTTTCTTAATGAATTTTAAATGCGTCTTGGTTCTTAGCACTACCGCCAAGCACTAGTAGATCAAAGCGCTGGGCACTGTGGCTTTAGGGTCTTCAGGGCTTACAAGGTGCAAGATTGCACCACATGAGTACGGAGGATCGAATATGAATACCCATATGGATACGGAGTATTCCGTACTCCGTACAACGTTCGCATACGAGCCAAGACCAGCAGCCCAAGTCCTAGTGTCAAACTAGCGGCCCTGTTAGCCCCCAGAAAGCGGAGCATCTACGAAGGGCCCAGAACTTCAAAGACCAAAATTTCGGTGAAAAAAGTACCAAAAGTGCTGAAAACTGACTAGTCACATGGAGCATCCCGTGACATAATTAGATGAGAGAACTTGTACTCCGTACTTCGTACTCCAGGGCTACTTGGACATAGACAACCCTTTGTTTCCGAGAGCAGGGATTGACACGGCAGCTGAATTTCTAGTATAGTAATTTCAATTGGTTGGAATATAAATACGTAGACCTTGTCGACTAAGTGGGATTATTAGCCTTGGTTCTGGCCACTCATTTCGAGACCTTGGAAATTACCGAGTTCAGCTGAGCCGCTTTCATAAACACGGAGATCTCTTAGGCTTCCAATGAAATACGAGAATCCCTTGATTTAAAAAAAAAGATGACCTCAACCCCGATTTCATCTTCCCTGATCTTTGTGATCTGTCCATAGTATCTGTTTGCTTTTTATCAATCCTTTTCCCTGTTGCCAAGACCAAGAGATTCGACGCAGCCCCGGCTAATCAGGGTAGTCATCAAGTGCAATTCAATCCACGGCAATTTCGATCAAACTTCTCGGATGGCTGCCTCGCTGCTCTACCGAACTTGAACTGTCCCAATGATGGATGCGCTGCAGTGCTAGTTTTCTGAACTTCCACAGTAGTCAGATTATCCCACTGGTCCATTCCGTGGCCCCAGAATTGCCGACCGCGTCCGCGTCCGCCATGATCTTGGAGCAATCTTGCCGAGAGAGAGCTCACAGCGATAAAGCTCAAACAATGACCGCTACAGCTTCACAACGACCGGGCATTGGAGGTCGAACTTCTTCAGCCCCGGCCGGGGGCCTTGATAAACTCGATGTGGTGCGGAAGACAGCATCGGGGACACAAGTTGAACACACATTGCTGGAGGAGGATGAGCGGACGCCAATCACAGACGAGGCGATCAAGCACACGCGATTCAGTCAGCAGGGGGGAGTACGTCTTGAATTGACCCAGAACTCGAAGCGGTCCATTGCTACGGTGTACAACGTTCAGAGAGCTTCACTTGCTGACGGTTCCTTTCACCTTCTTCTGTAGGAATCCACCAAGAGCGGTTTCCCCGAAGTGATCATTGCAGTAGCTGGCGAAGAAAATGCCGGCAAGTCCAGCTTTGTCAAATGCGCCCTGGATCTGAAAACCTTGCCTGCCTCCCCTATGAACAAGAAGAAAATGTCATTGAACGGATCGGTCTACATTGTACATCTGATGGAATTCGACTTGATCCAGGTTCATTTTGATCAGGAAAAGAAGATCATCTGGCCGCGTGTCGGGCGCGACAAATCTTCGCCAGACGTTGACGGGGTTCTGGTTCTACATGATGCCACCAAGCCGGATCGACTGTCTTTAACAACGAACCTCATTGGTAGGGTTTTGTCTAAACTATCTGGGATGTACCTGGCCTGGGGGCTGACTTTTCCGGAACTTAGACTCATTGGCTGCCTCGGATCTTCCTTTCTTGCAGGTTGCTTGCAAATGTGATGTCAACCCGGAACCTTTGGAAGACATCGAGGTGGATGCGATCCATGATCAATACGAGATTTATCGAACCTCGTTTTCGTCGCCGCGATCTCAACGCATGTGTATTGCGTTGGTTTTGGAGGCAGTGATTTCTACTCGAGAAGGTGAATTCTCCCCCCTCCCCCCCCCGTCTTATGTTATTTCTTTTGCACAAAACCACTGTCGAGTTGAAGTGTGCCTTGACCCCCCAGGAGGAAGCGGGCCAAGGTGGGTCGCGGTGGGAGCGTTCGCTACCTTGTGATTCCCCATAGAACTTGTCTTTTTCGGTTTTCCCCTTCTAACCCCTCTCTTCCTAAATAGATCTCTCCAACAATTCTAACATTCCTCTTGATTCTCCGGCAACCAAATCTTCTCACGATTGGCGTCCTACCCGTGCCAACTCTGAAAACCCCTTAGCCGTGTTCCCAGCCGGCGGACCACAAGCCTCGGATCAATGTGTCGAAGGGGATGGTGACAATCCTCTCGCAACCGATGGAAACCACTTGCAGCAGACGTCTACTTCCCACCGTTATGCCCGCAGTAACTCGCAATCGGTGCGACCCCAAACTCCGCCAACCGGATCGCGTTTAAATTCCCGCAGACAGTCGGTACAAGAATCAAACTCTCCCGATCACGATAACCGTCAGCAACGATTACACAACGCCTGGCGAGACAGTGGAGGATCAGACGTGTTCAACAGCTTCTTAAACATGGATGACGAGGGGGACGATGGGCAGCCCCCGAGCCCCTGCTCAGTTGTGCGACCCAAGCCAAGCAGCGAGAGCAACTCGAGTGCAGAGACGGGCCTATCGTTCGATGAGCTAGTTGATCGTTTGATTTCCTTGCCGATGTCGAAACAAGACCAGAAGTTCCGTTCTACATTCCTATGCCTGTACCGAAAATTCTCCGCTCCTGCAAGTCTTCTAAGTGCCTTGATAAGCCGATTCGAGCGAAATGAGATGGGCAACGAGGATCAACTGGCCCGTATGGCAGATCAGCTACGACTACTCGATGTCATGGCTCAATGGGCCTCGGACTATCCGGGAGATTTCGCTCATCCCAAACTTCACCAACGGATCATTGACTTTGTCGCCGTGCTCGAAAAGAGCCATTTTTACATGTTTGCTGCCAAGGAGATCGGGTCTCAACTAGACTCGAATGTAGAAGACGATGATGTTGGCTGGGCATATGGGGGTGACAGTGATTCCGAGGAGCCCCAGCTGGCCGAGACATTCTTCGACCACTCCGGCCGAAGCTCCCCAGCAGCGGTTTTTCTCACTAGGGCTGACTCTGACACTTACACTTACGACACCGAGGAAGAACAAGACCCCATCTATAGTATGAGTGCACTGGATCTCAGTAGTGGACCGCATGATTCGACATCACGACTCTCGGGCACTCTTTCAGTCTCCTCGAATCCCGACAAAGCGAACAGCATTACCAGCCAGTCATTCACATTTTTGAGCCTTGATGCGGCTCAAAAAGAGGCTTTGCGTCTTGAACTAACACACAAGACTTTACTTGGAAAACTCCAGTGGCGAATTTTCATGGATATACCAGAAGAGGAGTTCGCACGAGAACTGACGCGGGTTGACTGGATCATGTACAACTCATTCCGGCCGCGCGATCTGGTGCGTCATGTCAGCCTTTCGGGTGTCGACAAGGACAAAGTCAAGAGCTTGACGAACGTTAATCGGATGATCACGCAATTCAATCATCTGGCTTTCTTCGTAGCCAGCCTGATCCTCTTGCGCGATAAGCCTAAGCATAGAGCGCAGGCGCTAGAGAAGTTCATGAATATCGCAGTGGTGTGTTTTCCCAATACAGATGCTACAAGGTCAGCAGCCACTAATCCGTCTTCCCAGAAACTCCGACGCCAAAACAACTACAACTCCTTGGGTGCTGTAATTGCTGCCATCAACGGCACCCCTGTCCACCGCCTCACGCAAACTAAAGACCTGATCCCCATCCCAGCGCAGAAAGAGTTTATGCGCTTGGTTATCCTCATGAGCACCCAACGAAGCCACTTTGCCTACCGCCTGGCCTGGGAAAATTCCTTCTCAGAGCGAATTCCATTCCTACCTCTCCACCGTCGTGACCTTGTCTCCGCCGAAGAAGGCAACAAGACATTTATCGGCGAGAATAAATCTCGCATCAACTGGAAGAAATTCGAGGTCATGGGTGAGGTTGTTCTTGGCATCCAACGAAGCCAGAAGACCCCTCATCCCCAGGCTCAGAAGTTCGAAGATGTCGAGCGTCTGATCCTTGACTCGAAGCTCTCTGGAGACGAAGAGGTAAGGTCTTTGTTATCGTGGATCAAGGGTTCTCTCATTAACGTTGCCTAGGACTTGTATGCTCGTAGCTTGTACGTCGAACCGTCCACGGGAGCCGAAGGACGAAGGAAGTTCAGCTGGTTTCGCTCTTAACCCAATCGCTTTATCGACTAGGTCTCTGGCATCTGGCAACCCTGGACACTCATCTCCCATCAGCCTCAACACGAATTGAGGCTTCTCTCACGCACAAACATCTCATCAAACACCTTTACTCCTGCCTCCCTATTTATCCTTCCTACCCTACCTACCCTGCCTTGCCCTTCCCTCCTCTACTTCTCCTTTCTCATGTCGCTACGCCCATATATGATTGACAAATCCTCTTGTTGTCCTTTGCCTTCTTTTCGTTGTGAACTTGGCCCCCGTGGGGGTTTATATGACGCTTGTAACGGTGATGCATCTTTAAAAAAAAAGCTCCGTTGCGACATCTTGTACATATGCGTGCTGAGGTGTGGGTGGTGACAGTCATTGACTGTCTTACAGATAGCAGAATCCTACCCAGTATATATAGACACTTTACGTATTTCGTTCCTTGTATACTTCATCTATCAGGTAGATTGGCAGCCATATAACAACAAGGAACCCTTGTTCAACGGAGACAGCGTGGAAGCTCGTAGCGCCATAAATTCAAAGTCACGTGAACCCATCATCCACCCGACCAGCTTCAAGACCAAATACAGATGCACCTCCAAATCCCCGGTGCACCAGGGCCTCAAAACAACCCCAATCAAACCCATACACCAATTGCAACCCCCATTCCCTCCCACGCATTCAAGATGTCCACAACCCTCCAAGCGCGCACAACCTACCGCGCCCTCCTCCGCGAACTCCCACGCCGCTCCCTCAAAACCCCATCCCCACTCCACCAACGCCTACGCACACTCTTCCGCTCAGTGCCAGCCACATCATCATTGCAATCGGAATCGCAATCCAACGCCCTCCCCTTTTCAATCCCCAAAACAGAGGAAGAACGCATCCTCCGCGTCCAAGAAGCAGATCAATTCGCTCGGTATGCCCGCGCCCAGCGCGTCTACTCTGAGCTCCTTGAGCGCTATAACCCGGGTATGAGTATGGATGAGGAGGAGAAGATTCGTCTTACGGCGAGACGGGTTGGCTTTGATTTGCCTGAGTTGCATGTTCCTAGAAAAGAGTAACTGGGCGTTGGGGGGGGGGGGGGTGGCTTGTGATGTTCCAAGCTGTTTTGGTTTAGCTGAGCTGAGCAGGGTGGTTGGTATTGCTTCGCTGATATCTGATAACTTGGCTTTGCTTGGTTCGTCTGGTTCTGTTGGATGGACCTAGGAGATGATCCTTCTGATTCGGAAGAGGCGGATTGCGAGGGATTTGGAAGTTGTCTGTGCAGATAGTGTGATTTTGCTGGGATACATGTATTCCAAGGAAAGGCGTTGGTACTGTTGAATTTTGGGATTTGTATACTACGGTTTTTGTGTATAAAATAAAATAAAATAGAGAGAGCATTGCCAAGGAGCATGAACTATTTCTTTCTGAAACTCTCTGTATGCTATGCATTCACTCTGGAAAAAGATGCAATGGGACTGATGTTAACAGTCGTAGATTGGGGTATCTGATTTTGAGATCCTCCTGGATCTGAAATTTTGTTTATTGCGAACCACATGGGTTGCCGCACGGTGCTTTGGGCACCGAGAATGGACACCTGATGTTGACACTGGGTGTGATTGTGTTGCAGAGGTGACGGACAGCCTAGCCAAAGGGTCATGGTGAAAATGCCCCAGGACCTCGAGGACGCTGGCGCTGAATGTCGGGCTTTTGAATAGACGTGCTTCCCTAATTGACTCTTCAGGTAGCACTGAGCTGGACGCGCTCCATCTGTCTCATCAAAGTCGAACCGAACTGCTTTCTTCATCTTCCATGTCAACCCCAACTTCGATCGCGGTCTTGGGTCGATTGCGGTTGAGGCCATCTAGCAGCGTGCACGCTTTGCAAATCCGCTGACTGGAAATGTAGTTACAACGCTCGCAATGTTTGATCGTCTGCGCCTTGACTGCCTTACCCGTCGGACCGCGATTCGGCTTCACACGTCCACTAGGAAGCTTGATTTCGGTCTCGAGCGACTCAGCCGCGTCGTTTTCAGCGAGCTGCTTCTCCATTGCAGCCATCTCCCCTCCACTGGTTCGGCCATTTTGACTACCACAGCCACCGGTTGATTCCTCCTCCGCACCAGACAGCTTAGATTTGCCGGAACCTCGGACTTCAACAGGTACAAGCGCGGCCATGTCCTCGCCACTCTTGACGATATCGAGGATCGAACTGGGACGAATCTTTTCCAGGTCTTTGATCAGAGTACGAGCACTGCCACGGAACGCCTCAGGCGAGTAGATACATTCTGTAGTGAAGTAGTCGAGCTGACGGTGGTGGGCGTAGAGTACGATCTCCTTTTCGTAAGCGTATTTGAGAGGCTTGCTGCGCTTGATATCCGAAGCGTCGGAGCTGGTGACGATACTAGTACCGCGCGACAGACGGGGCAGATCACCACGCAGGAGATTCATCATGACAGTCTCGGCAACGTCGTCCGCATTGTGGCCCGTGACGACGTGCTTGATGCCCAAGCGGGCAGCGCCTCGATCGAGCGCCTGTCGACGGAAAACCCCGCAGTACGTGCAGTTGCCCTTCTTGCCCACTTGCTCCACGACCTGATCCATCGTCCAACCGTAGAGCTCGCTGTATCCAAGGATATCAAGTGGCATGTCGTATTGCACGGCGTTGCGCTTCACGGTCTCGAGACTGTCATCGCGATAGCCACGGATGCCCTCGTCGATCGACAGTAGACATAGCTTTAGTCCGTAATTGTATCGCTCGTTGAGTGTTTTAAGTACGGCCGCGAGTACTGTGCTGTCTTTGCCGCCGCTGGCTCCGATTGCCACTCGCTCGCCGGGGTGAAAGAGGTTGGTGCCGATGATGGTTTCGTGTACTTCGGTCTCGAAAACCTTGATGAAACAGGCTCGGCAGAGTTTATGCCTGTTCTTAGGTCGGATGATGACGGCTCGCGCCTCTTTGCAGTCGAAACACGCCGTCGGAGCCATGGTGAGTTGGTAAGGCCTGGGACTTGGTGGCGGAGAGAAGAGATTAATTTTTCCCCCGCGGCCGATCAAGTGGTCCGTGCACGGGGCAGATCTATATCACCGGGTTGTACTTGATCTTTAGTTTTAGAGAAAAGGAGTTAGTCTGAAGACTTGAATGAGTTTGAGATATCTGATTTGTACGGCGAATGGTCTGGTCACTTACCTGGAAAATCCGTCTAAGTCCACGCGAGTTGACTGTACCCCGTATTGATCATCAACGATCCCAAACCACCATCTCTCATAGAGAGACCAGAACGACAAAAGCCAAGCTTTGTTCCTTCGACTTCTTAAGCCTTTTCTCCGCCTTTTTCGTGGTCCATCTGTGAATCTGAGAAGGGCAAACTGTCTGTATGCAAGACATACAAGACATCCAAACCTGATAAGCTTAGTGCTATCAGTGAGTAGATTCGGATCCCGAGTGTATTATTCAGATTCCCGAACGAATTCAGCCAGTCTGCTCACAGAGGGTCTAAATTAGTTCCTTGCAATTAGTTCCTTTCGAGAGCACCATTGGAGATTTATAATCAATAGGAAAGGAAGGTTATTAATTCCGCTAGAAGAGAGCTGTGCTGTGCACAGCCCCAAGATATCCATGTTCAAGCCTTTCCCTTCTTATGTTTTGTGGGCCACAGGTCTTCCTTTCCGACAAAGGAGACCGGCAGAGCACAGAGGCCACTTTTTCTTCTTGGCCACTTCAACAGCGTGATGATGAATCTGATGCCGTCGCAAATGCAGAGAGTATGGTTTCGACCGATCAGCAAACAACTGAAGATTCTTCTTCTCCTCGGCGCTTAGCTTCTCGGTAGCCCTCAATGTCCGTTCCTGTGAGAACGCAAACGAAGTACCAATAATCTTGAACCGCCGAGCCACAAAGTGGAGATTGGGAGAATGCCAGTCATCAGATGTCCAAGACGGCTTCGCATTCCATGGCAGCCGTCTCTCTTTCTGAACCGCACACCACCATTCCTCAGTCGATAACCGGCCCTGCTCCCCACTCACTGCATGGACACACCCACTCGTCCCCAGCGCCACATGGACCAGTGTTCGATCCACCACAACATCAACCGGGACCTCATCGATCGTGGACTCTTGATGTGGTTTCTCACATCGCGTTGAGAGTTTGATTCGCCGACCTGCATGTAGCAAGTACGCTGCTGCACAGGCTGTCGAAGGGGCTCCATGTAAGGTCGCAAAACCGGGGAATGGGAATTTATCGGCTGGTCCGAGGACAGACGGTCTGATGACTAGGACCTTGTCCATCTTGTTGCGCTCACCTGCCTTTTGTAAGACGAGTCGTTCGGCGAGGTGCTTGGCGTATGCATATGGCCATGGGAAATCGTGGGCGTTGTATTCTTCGGATGAGCCGGTTTTCTGTACTGCATTCCATGCCTCTAGTGCGATCCTGTAATAATCTTCCTCCTCCCTGCCGAGGGGATATATCCTCTCGTCAACTGAGACGTCTGTTGATTCCTGGGCTTTCCATAGATGGGCGTTGGCGTAGGCAGTTGAGAAAAATACGAAGCGCTCAAGGTTCGGGAATTTTAGGGCATAAGTTGTGAGACATATGCTTGGTGCTAGCACAGTGTGTGCTAACTCTGGTAGAGTCTTGTGTAGCTGCGCTGATGTTGCGGCGTGAAAGACAATCTGTACTGTCCTTTTCAGCATCTGCAGTGTCTCTTCGGACAAAGTCATCGTCGTGGTATTTCCCAATTCGCCGTCAAGGAAAGTGATCCGTTCGTCTGTGATGAGGGTTTGTGCCGTGGAAGAAGGAAGCATGTCGGACCATTTTATTTTCGCTTTGCTGGTCATTCAAATTAAGTGATCCGGTGATCTACATTTGGTTTGATCACTTACTCGAAGCCACCCCAGCATAGCACATATACTCGTTTCGGAGATGACTGACTCAAAAGTCGGCATAGAAGTGCAGTTCCAACGAAGCCCGTACCCCCGGTGATGAACAAAGTCTTGCCATTGAAATAGTCCCATATCATGATGGATCATGCGATTTGAATCCACTCTTCGCTTTCACAGGTAACACGGAAATCTGCAGAATGAGTTGGCATCTGTAATGCTATAAATGGGCCCATGGGCGGCCTTCCAGGGAGATTAAAAAGGTTGAAATGGTTGTTGGATCTTTTGTCTGGAATCTCGATGACAGCAGTGAATTCTGATTTCGGGCGCATATAGATCTGCAGACAAGGTGGATCCAGCTGTGTGACCCATCACACCAGGAGAAACCTCAGGGAGAGTTATTTAGGAAGAGCCAAGCTACAGGTACTTCTTATAGACAGAGAGAAACTGAGTGAGATGGATCTTGAGTTCCTTCTGGCCGATAGGGGAAATGTAGTGCAGGCGCCATGTACTACATACTCGATTAAACTACAATCATCTGTTGTACATATGGGAGGAAAATGTCGACTGCTTCTAGCCAACTCTCGAAACAATAATGGACGAACCTCGCTTAGTATGGATTTACCGACACAAGGGGTGAGATTCATGTAAATAAATGCACGCCGCTCCATGCAGTATCTAGCCAACGAGACAATTTAGCAACTCGAATTCCCATGCGTCTACTTCGTATAGACTGAAAATTCACTAGATCACCCAATATATTGAATTTTGTTCTTCGAGCTCTAGATTTGATCTCATACCGAATGGATCGCGATCACATCTGCTTTCCGGATATCATTGCTCTTCTGAACCAAAGAAAAAAAACAAGTTGAAGCTTCCTGTGATGCAATCCCATTCGACGCTAACAGTTTCCAGCCTTAGTATAGTCCGACTCACAATCAAATTGTTCCATCGGGCAGTTGAAATAAGAACTCGATTTGGAGCGCCGTCAAATCCAAGTTGGGCTGCTCATACTCTGGCCCCAATGTATCCCGTTAGGTACTAACTTGTAAGAATTTGAAAAAGCCTTGTATGTCATTGAAGGCTTCTATCAATCTCCCTACACACCATCAATTAACTCGCTGTCAAGCCAGATTCTAAGTCCTGCCAGGCGCAGCGACTCCGTCGTACCAACGAGTGTCTTGATGCCTTGTATCACTGATGGGTTAGCGAGTGTGCCAACAGCGTTTGGCTCACAAGAACAAGAGTTCAACATCCTCACTCTCGTTGCGACAAGCTGGAATTCGTGCCTTGCAGTCAGATAGGAAATGGTCGGAAGATTTCCACAAGCATCGACTACACGCCTGCAATTGGTGTAGAACTACCCTCCGGGCACATTTCGAATCTCCTTTATCAAGACCGCTGCGGATTTTGGGCAATTGTGAGCGACAGGGAAGCCGGTGTGAGGCCAAATGTATGATCCAACATTCCAGGGGCGTCTCTGCCATGGTGTAGAATTCCCACTTGAGTGTGTCAGGAAGCTCATTCGAGGAGATTCACAAGGCCTGCATTCCAGAGGGCAATTATGTGGGGAGGGAGGTTAAAAGTTGGGATGAAATACAGATGACATGTTTATTTTCCTCCCGGCCTTCCCCGGTCGACTTTTGTTCCTAATATAACCTTGTAGGTAGATTCCATAGAGTGCATCGTGTAGCTTGTTCTATCTTACTGTGCTCGATAGAGTCCCTCCAAATTATCACTCCTTTCTTTCAATATGAAACCAGGTCCACTCGATATGGGCTATGGCCGACTTCTCGAGTTCACTCTGTCAATCGTCGTGAAGACCAATCCTAGCCCTCTCGACTTTCAATTCGCTGCCGATACTCTTGTCTCACAATGGCCTGTATTGAACCTGCGAATGGACCCGTTGGTCGGTAGTTAGGAACATCAACCGTCGCGCAAAGTCTAACATTGAACAGAAAACGAAATTCTTGGATCCCAAAGAACTCGGTGACCTGGCCGAGGTATGGGAAGGAAGAACCCTTAAACAAGAACTCAGCGACATTCTCCAAGTTTCTCCTGAACCGAACTCACCACAACTGATTGACTCCGAGTCACTTGACAAGGCATTAGACTTCGGCTATGGAATCCTGCACGCATGGAAGCAGCGAGTCTTTTCCATACGAACGGTATTCTTGCTCGATGCCTGTATTATAGGATTCAAGTTTCTACAACCCCTCTGCGATGCAAATGGTAGTGGACGTCCCCGAAAGCACCCATGCAGTAGCACTGACCATGTGATTCTAGGCGCCTATCAAATCATCCAGGCTTATTGCAGCTTGCTCCGGGGAGAGCGCATTACCCATACCATCCCTGGTCGCCCACCCCTGTCGCTGAAGCCAGAAGTATTAGAAACATGCATTGAGAAGATCGAGTGTTATCAGATCGCAGACCTCCACAAAAGTTCGATGCGTCGAACTTGGGGTAGCCGGAATGAGGGCTCTCGGGAAGCAAATCGGGCGAGATATCTGCTACCCGTCTGCGAGACGTGTCGGCAGGACCTTGTTCATTCCCCGAAGACAAATCCTGAACTGGCTGGATGAGGCTGAAAGTTTTAAGGCCAAGGTGACTGAGCATGATCTCGTGTTGGCTTTTATCTACAGTGTGAGTAATCCCACCTTCCAGTCAGTTAACCCGAAATGAAACAAGTTCACTGAGATTACCCTCCCACACAGGCTGCTTTACATTCCCCTACGGCCCACAGCTTTGGCTTAGTTCTTGATATTTCCAAAACGCTCCAGTCCGAGGCAAGCCTGCACAATACCTGGTACATGATGCCTATACCGGATCCAATCCCAACGAGTGAATACAACACTCCTTCACTAGTTCGACTCGCAACACACATCCGTCGTGCAGTTCACGAGGGCCAGCAGCCAGAGTGCATTGGAGAGATCGTCGATCAGCACAAGGGCCGGAAGAAGAGCCCCATGGTGCCAAAATCATATGGTAGCCGAGCGGCTCAACCGCGTATCGCGTCTTGGAAAAGTTTACCGCTTTATGATCTCAATATCCAAGGTGAAACTCCCTTATTTATACAAGGTAGTACTGATTACTGTGGAATTCTGCGGGAGACTAACACTCGCTTGGATGATTTGTTGGTGACGTGGAAAGCGTGTGGCCTGGATGGGGAGGATGGTGGTTACTGGATTCATGGGAGACTGCCCGAAGCTGTTTGGAGGCACATTGCGGATGATTTGGACTGCTGAGGTGGATTTGGATTTGGATATTAATGTATTTTTTTTCCGCCTGTATGACTGGAGCGTGTCGTGGTTATTTTGTCAAGCATCTCTTTAATGAAAGGGAGGTGATGTTCTCCCACATGTTACAGACTGGTCTTCTAAAGATGACGTGGTTCAGGATTGACACGCTTGACAGGGCCCTCACCTTCTCTCTCCCAGAAGAAAGAATTGCTGAGACGGGTGTTGTAGAAATCAAATATTCCCAACGCTCACGAGACTGCCGTAAGGCTTTTAGTATGGGTTTCTCTTAGCTTCTGATCTGCAGTGGAGAAATGATCGACTACTATTTGTTATGTTGATAGGAGCCCTAAGCAAGGAACGACCGAGTCCGATTGTATAATCTCTTCCCTGCTCAGTTTCGACTCACTATCTACCGTCCAATATCGTCCTTCTTTTGCTCTAGGGCATCTGTGCCGGGATCATTGCTCGGACCCACGAGGTCACGCTCATTGGGTCTGCAACAAAGATCTCCATCCGCAAGCTACGTAGACCCGGGAATCTTTTTGGATACTCACTCGTGGCAGTCACTAAATGGCCCAATTGTGCAGTTCACTTTTGTGGTCATCCTGGCGTGGAGGATCTTCAACCTTGCGGGGATTTGCATGGAGGTCGAGTGTAAAAATGAGCATCAGGCATTCCAGAGAGAGGAATGTTAGCAGATAGAGATAGGCAGGAATCTCGAGCCAGGCGCTAAAAGCGGCAATCTGCGGTGTTGGCAAGTGTATCCCCGCAAAAGATTGGCGCTTGTGCGAAATAGTCAAGTCCACCCGACCTTATCGTCGGTTTATTTGGAAGTCCTCACATTGATGCTTTCAAGGTTCAAGGTGGGAGATGTGAGGGATTCATCCTCAGAAACACATCCCGTTGAGCCCCGAGATCAGTTAAATTACAATTGGGATACCTGCCACCGAATTCGCTGCGGTAAACCACTTCCAAACAACCGACGATGTCTCCACCCACCCCCAAACGAGCCTGCGATCAATGTCACACCCTGAAAGAAAAATGCCGACGAACAACTGCAGCATCATGCGAGCGATGTGGCCGATTAAAGAAAATTTGCAAAACGACCCGAAATGTCGCAAAACTCGGACGAAAACCACGCGTTTCCAGAAAAGTATCTTATATCCTTCCCTCCGGCTTCAGCTCGGGCACTCGCAACACAAAGAACCTCGACCTGTCTCCACCTCAAATGGCCTCCCATTGCGATTCCTACATCCCCTTCGACAAAGGCCTATACAGCAACCCGGCCTTATTTCCCGAACTAGACCGGTGGGAAAGACACTTCCTCAACCTGATGAAAGACATCGTCGCACCATCCCCACTAGACAAATTTCTAATCGGATCAAGCTTCCACGAATCGCACCACCGTTGTTTCATTCAGAACCTTCTCCAACCCGGCCCCACGTCTATCTTGAAAGACGCCACAGTCGCCTGTGCCGCCGTACTCCTCGGAGACCAGTACACGCAGTACACCAAGACAAGTGTCGAAGTCGGGCACCGGCGAGCTGCACTGGCGGTTTCGGGACTCCGGTCGTTGCAGATATCCGAAAAACAGGATTTGATTACTGCGCTCGTGCTCGGTGTGGCCATAGTGACGTTCGCTTTGCATGTTGTCGATGGCCAGCCGTTTCTTATATCGCATTGCACGCTGGCGCTTGTCAAGCCGGTTTATCAGAATCTCTTGGCGATGAATCATGGCGTTATGGATATGTTGATGTGCTTGGTTAGTACGGAGACGTTTGAATGTCTGATTCGGTCCGAGGTGCCGACTATCCGCATCGGTGAACGTGATCGTTGCGGTGTGGTTGATCGGTACCTTGGGCTTAGCTCGTCGCTTTTTGCTTATTTATATGATCTCTGTGAGGCTGGCCATTTGATGAAGGTTTCTGGCGGTAGAGTGGATGCTGATGTGGTTAAACGGTTGGAGACGGTACGGGGTTCTCTGGGGCAATGGAAACCCTCGCCACCACCGGACTTGGTTGAACGATTTACTCGGTCTGAGGTTGTAGGGATGCTTGCTCAGGCGAAAGTCCTCCGTCTTTCGGCTTTGCTGATTCTACATCGGCTGCGCTATCCCTACGGGCAACACGACAAGGAAGCACTGCAGCTGTCTCGCGCTATTACCGCGGAGATCGGTATAGCCTTGCGCTCGACAGGGCGCTCAATACCATGCACAGCACTTCCATATACGATCGCGGGCTTTGAGATCACCGAGGCTGAAACGCGAGCCGCAGTCGTTGACAAGATCGATGATGTTGTGACTTTTTCCAGGCAATCGCAGCTTCAAGTTCGACGCTTATTGTCCTCAGTATGGGACGCAAGGGATGGCGGGGACCAGATCCACTGGTTCGATATAGGTGATTATGTGCGCCAGACGCCTTCCACGTGGGCAGACGCACAGGGTACAACGTAGCTAATCTAAAAGTTGCATTGTTTCAACATTGGGCCACAACGCAGCCGAACCGGCGTGGCGAAACCCTCAAACGGGAATTACTTATGCCCCATCATTGCAGCCCATGTGATCCGAGTCTGCTCATCATAAATCTCGGGCTTTTCAATAAACAGAAAGTTCTTCCCGGAAACGTGAACAGCCCGGGAATGCATCTCATCGCCCGCGACGCGCGTCCCTCTGGCATCAGTCATAGCCTCCCCAGACAGCAGCTGTAATACTACACCCGTTACAACGGCCATAGGAATTAAGATTTCCCGTGAGAAAAGCGCGTAGAACTCCTCAACAGCTAAAAGAGGCGTTTCCACTACTCCAGGGCACAGAGCATTGACCCGTACGCCCTCTTCCCAGAGCCGTTCTCCAACAGAGCGCGTGAATCCAATGATCGCATCTAACAATAGATTAGCCATGCTTGATGGCGAAATCAACTTGATCTCCACTCACGTTTAGTGCCAGAGTATACCGGGGTTAACATGCAGGGGTATAAACCCCCAACACTCGATGTAAGGATCAAATTCCTATGCCCTTTTGTGGACTCCGGAGAGCGACGAAAATAGTGCATCGCGAGATAACTGGTATAAAGAGCGCCATTCAGGTTGATATCAACTATTTCGGAACCCGGTTGAGGCGGGATGTCGGTCTCGGACTGGGCAAAGAAATCGATGTACTCTGCTTTCCCGGCATTGGCGAAAACAAAGTCTAGTCGACCAGTGACATTGAAGATCTTGTCAAATACACTAGCTAGTTGCTGGTAGTTTCGCACATCGGCTTGATAGAATGTGACGCCGGAAAGGGAAGCCACTGCTTCTTGGCCTCGTTCCTTGTTGCTACCGATGATGCTGACCTGCCAGCTGCCGGTCTGGACCAGGTCCTGGGCTACGGCAAGCCCGATTCCACTGGCTGTGTATTTTAAACTTTTAGTCAATTAATGATCGACAGTCCGTGAGATGACTGTAAATGATACATACTGCCACCGGTGATGAGAGCGACCTTGGCCATTTTCACGTAGAGTTTGCGATGTCGAATGATGATATTTCAGCGAAAGAACTTTGACGAATTATTTTTGGTTGAGGGAGGGGGGATGATTTGATCGATCGAGTGGCTTAGCGCTAATCGTCGACGGCATGCATCTCAAGCATCGCATTTCTTTGATTGGACAGGTCCATGCTCGAGCATCAGATTCAACAATTGGGCCGGAAGGAGATCGATGCACTTCCAAGGTTCGCCGTAGGTCCACAGTGGAGCCGGAAGGAGCAACATGAAATGATACGATATGATTGGGCGCGGGGAAAGAGTCGGGGGAGGGGGGAAGGGTGGATCATCCGGAGTCCAAAGTGCATTGGAGATGAGATACGGCACTCAAAAGTCAGCAATGCCGTCGGCTTTGTGGAAATCCACAAGGCTAGAATCAGAATCGCTGTTGTTACAAATGTATGGCGCACGTTTGAGGTGAATATTGTCCGGAGGAATTTGGGCATTGAATGGTCTTGCCAGGGGTGGTTGAAAAACCGGGCATTTTAACACCGGAAAATCTATGGGCCGACATCTGGTGGATACATACCAGCGCCTTTTGAGATTGATCAGATTGTCCAATGGAACCTTCATCAAGATCCAGACCGCAATAGTCTTATTAGACGACGATTTGCCATAACGACCACTTCAGAAGAGTACACGAAGACCCGCCTTCCTGTCAATTATTGGTCGATCACGGCGTTTTGGCTACCTTGCGGGTAGTGGAGATAGCTGTCAGTGAATGGAGGCATTGCGATTCTCCAGACAAAGTTTTTGCATCTATTTCTGATCATGTGCCAAGTGTACGGGAAATTGTACCTCGGTTTAGCTAAGGTCAAAATGGCGTGCGGTTTTTTTTCCTGTTCATTTCTTGCTTCTTGCTTGAGAAGAGGGACACGTTTTCGAAATTTCGTTGCTTAATCCTCCGAGGTGAGATCTTGACTGCGGAGAAATGACCCATCCTACTTAGCTGTATAATTTCAATAGTTGTCTCCATCGTTCATTCAGTAATGAGCCAGCCCATTCTGCCATACCGCTCAACACAAAGTAGAACCCATCCACTGAGTTTTCGGGGGAAAAGTCTTGCAACAAAGTGGATCTAATATGTGTCAGGTCCAAATCTGATATATCCACTTTCCCAAGATGATATATCAGGAAAGAGCTCCGATATCTCAGTATGATTGGTGACATCTATGTTGTACACGGCCATGGCACACAACACCTTGACAATTTTTGATCTGACGGGCCGTTGATTAGAATCACCGTGGATTTTTTTTTCCAGGCAAAAATAGTTCCGCAACACAGCCATGTAGTCGTTCGCACTATCTAGACCATGTCTAGGGTGAAAAGCCATCTGCAACTAGTAGATATCCTGTCATTGATGTGATCGGTAACCCTTTCATAGGATTTTCGCGTTCTTGTCTTAAAGCAAGAAAGATATGATGCATACATGGAGCGGTTGTCCCCCATTCCTCGTATCCCTGAAGTATATTTAAGACCCCAAATCGCAGTCTTGAATGATATTCCAAATCCTTCAAGCCAACAACTGTCCCTCGTTTAGTTTCAGCTCGTTGTTGGAGTCGATCCACTAGACCTGCCTGTCATGTCTTCCACAGAATACCCCTCCACTCCCACGTGGACACCGGGAGACTTCAAGCACCCAAACCAGGACCTGCGTCGGTCGATGATTATTGCGCTGGTCTTTGCTTACACTTTGTCGACTCTCGCCGTTGCTTTGAGGATCCTGGCGAGGAAGGTGACCGGGAGCAAGCTTTTCATCGATGACTATTTGATTATGGCTGCTCTGTTCTTCAAATATGCATGCTCCAGTGGAGTTGTTGTTCGTAAGTGATAACAGCATACCCCATTCCAGCCAACTTGAAACTAACATTACGATCAGTTCTGTTCAACGGAATGGGGTCCCACATCACCATGATCCCAGCCAAGAATCGTCGGGTCTACTTTCAAGTATGTATAAATGAAACACAAGATCAGAGACACGAATTGACCCCCCGGTAGGTCGGATTCGCCAACCCCTTTATCTACACCGCCTGCATCGCCCTGATTAAATTCTCTATTCTGGCGCTGTACAAGCGACTCTTTGCAGTCCGACACATGACAATTGCCGTGAACGTCATGTTTGGGTTTGTCAGTCTCTGGGTTGTGGGCGTTTACGTTTCTGGTGCTCTTCTCTGTATTCCTACCAAGAAGTTCTGGGACCAGTCCGTTGAAGGAGCCTGTCTTGACCCAGCCAAATTCTACTATGGCATACAAATACCCAACATCCTCTCCGATGTCATCCTCTTGATCATGCCCATGAAAGTAGTGTGGATTTTGCCGATTTCAAAGTCGCAGAAAGCTCTTCTTTCTGGAATCTTCCTCGTCGGCGGGTTGTATGTTTCTTGATTCTCTTTCGTGCTGTTGTGGAAGGATGCTAACGCTTCGTGTCTAGAACTTTGGTCTTCAGTTGTTTCCGCCTCAGTGCCATGATTCGACTCGTTGATCTAGGCCCTGATATTACCTGTGAGTATTGATGTGCTAGTGTTTCTTTCAATTTCCTGATTGATGTCACTCACCGTTTCTCCAGACAACCAAGTGCCCGTCATCGTGTGGACATGTATCGAAGCAGCAGTTGGAATCACAGCTGCTTGTCTCCCTAATCTCCGCCCTCTTTTCAAGTTGGGTCGTCACAATTTCTGGTCTCAAGTTCGTTCCGCCAACAACATATCCGAAAGGACTCTTATTGGCTCGAGCAATACGGGAGATGCTATCGCTTCCAATCATACGAAAAGCAATTCTTTTGCCGTTCGGCCAACTACTGAGGTGCCTCCGTATGAGGAATTCAAGGACGAGGAGGCAGTGGGGAGAGTTTAGCTCGGCGGTTTCAATTTCCAGGGGTGGAGAGGCTCCATCTTTAGTGCACAGGGGTATTCGGGGAGGAATCTTTGACACGTTCGTTTATTTCCTTTGTGATACTTTCACTACCCTGTACACCTTTATTACTTCATTTGACATACATTGATGAGCTTATCTCGAGATGCGATACCATTTCCTAATGTTACAGAACTACCTTTTCAACCAATACATTCAAGAGAGATCTAACATGTGGCACAAGTGGAGTTGAAGGAGGATGATATTTAAACAGTCCGATGGCTTAGCTGGTTTGCCGCCATTTTCCTATAACTCGGCGCCGTAGCAATCCTAGCCTTCTTACCCCAGATTAGAAGTGGGATAGGGAGCAACAGTATCACAAATGCAATAACTGCAATCAGGATATGCAAGTCTCGCATGCCCATCCTATTGACCCAAGGCGTTAACACAAAAAGTACAATCACCGAGAAGATGTTACGCATGAAGATCACTCCAACTAATGCGTCGCCAATAATCTAGGAGTTATCAAGTTAGAGTAGGAACCCAAGCCCTCAGATTGAAATAGATCCTTACGTCTTGATAACAATCCATGAGATACGAAAGCGTAATGCCGCCAACGGCAGCAAGTGAAAACCCAAAGAATCCAAATCCCACAGCAAGAAGAGCCCAATGCACACCCTAGATAGTGTTAGAAAAGTAGAGGTTTTTTTTTTGTTTTTTTTTCTTTTCGGTCATGCTCTCTGGATGCACACTACTCACATAGGTAAGACCCAACCCGAACATCAGTATTCCTGCCGGACTGACAATAGCAATAGGCAGAGCAAGCCAAAGTCGCATCTCCGGTTCATAAATACCACCATTGCGCTTGGACAACCACAAAATAGATTTATCACTCAAATGTCCACCAAAGGGGAAACCGAGAACGGATCCGACAAATGGAGCCACATTCATCAGCCCAACCCCAACAGCGTCGAAGTTATAAGGCGGTAGAATCATATAAGAGGCTTGCAGGGAAGTCATGATCGCAAACCAGCACAGCGTAGACCCATACGTGATAGCGGCATACGAAACCGCCGGGAAGGTAAAGAGCGCCACGATGGGTTGATAGAAGTGTGGCCACAGCGCTTCAGCGGTCGGGGTCACCAAGGCCATGCGCTGGAAATATGTCTTCAACTGAATGTCCGGGTTGGTATGCACGCGGCTAGCGAATGCCTCAGTAGCGCTCTTTGCGTCGACCACATCCCCGTCGATGCGTAATTTGGACGGTTCTTCGGTCACCTGTGGATGTGCGGTAGCGTCGCGACCGTCCAGAATGGGAACAAACTTCGATTCCTCGAATAGAAAAATCACACAGAGTAGGGTGACGCCGAAGAAAATTGCACACCACCACCATATCCACCTCCACCCTTGTGCCACCACGATGTATCCCGATGCCACGGGACCCAGAGATGCACCTGTAGACTGGATGACGAGAAACCATCCGTTCATCGTGGCGTGCTGGTGCACGAAGAAGATGTCAGCAATGGTGACCTGCACAACGATCTCGCTGATTGCGCCGCCGATGCCGGAGATCAGGCCGCTGCCCAATAGATCGCCGACGGTAGTTATCCTGGCTTGCCAGATGCACGAGGCGAACTGGAGGGCGACACTGAATATGTAGATTGGGCGTCGGCCGTACTTGTGGACTAGGGGCATGAAGAATATGCAGCCTACGGCGAGACCGCTATAGTTGATGGCTGTGTTGGCGTTTAGGATGTTGACTGAGAAGTTGAGCTCTTCTTGCATCTGGCCCCATGCTGTGAAGCTGATATCAATTTGGACAAAGGTCCATAGGACGAAGAAGCTGACTAGGGTGAAATTTAGGGCTTTGCGAGCTGTTGACCAATTGAGGGGATCGTTAGGGTCGGATGATGGGATGGGGAATAGGACTAATTGGTCTCTAGATTGATGGACTGACTTTGTAAATGATGATGCATATAGAATGTAATTTGGGTGAATCTTGACTACTTACCATCTTCTAGTCTCACTGTTCCTGGAGCCCAATTGGTCTCATCTTGATAAGTGTCCTCCATCGTTTGAGGGAGACTGAAAAGAAGGGATAAATTCGATCGAAAAAGGCGCGATAGCCTATCTATTTAAACAATCTATGAATTGGCACGATCTTCAACTGCAGCCTTATCAAGGGTGAATATAGACTGCGGGGGAACCCTCGATTATACTCTCCATATCTGATACCGACCACTCGGTCGAATCAGAATGTGCTAAACGTGCCGGCTTGGCGAGATTCGGGTTTGTCAGGAAGATTTCCCCGATCCTTTTTTATCTTTGAATTCACCGTCACTGCACTGTTATCTTTCAGGTCAAGTTAAAGCTTCTAGCTGCAAACCAAATTTTCACCGAGACTACTGATAAGAGAAAATCGGTAAACGAGAACTGGGACCTTTCCGTGGTCCACCTTTTAAAAAAGCCACAAAAAAAAAAAGCCTCAGTCAAAGCGACCAAATATAAGCACGAAACATCTCTCGACTTTGATCACTCCACGGGTAAACAGTAAGATTAAAGTCCGGCTGCAACATCCGCCGATCCCTTTCAGTCAATTGAAATTGACGCACATCAATACAACAAGAACATTCAGCCGTACAATGACCCCAGCCCTTTTTCCTCATCGGGTCAGGAGGAGTCTCACAACACTTGCACTCACGACCACAACACCCACCACGTCTTGCACAATCCTGACGTAGCCACTCACTCCGGAGATGCCACTGCGGCTGCTTTCGAATCCACATATATCCCTCCTTGATGGGCCCTACGGGACAACCCGCTAGGAGTGTGTCATATATCCGTTCGAGGCGCACATATTCGTGGTCCAGGGCTATCAAGTCTTCGATCAAATCCGGTAGAACAAACTTCCCTGCTTCGTTGGAGCCGTTGTGGAATGTATGGATCCACTTTTTGAGGAAGTTCTCACGTTGGGTGGTTTCGCGTAGACGTTGTTCCGTCTCGATGATCGATTGCGCCCAGCGGGACACCACGTCCCAGTCTGTCTCCCACCATATATGTCGCTTGCCTCGGATGATTTGCCAGTTGATCCATCGGCTGGAGGTTTCGGTGAAATCTTGTACGTATTCGATGAAATCCTCCAGCGCTGGGAAGCGCAGTTGCTTGACTGGGTTCTTCATCTTGGGTTGCTATGGGGGAAGTGCGTGCTTGGGGTTCGTAGAGTAGACAGGAGACTGACATCACTTTTGATCATCCAATCGGCTGATGTTGAGAAGATAGTTTGCGTATCCATGGTGCAACAAGGGCTTTGAGGCACAGTTGATTCCCGAGTATTCCGCGTCCACATGGAATCGGCCATGGATAAATCATGCTGTGTGAATCCAATGGGAGTGAAAACACCGTTTTCGCGCGCAATCAAGACTGGAAACGTCGAGGCTGCCATAATGCTTTTCGAACATGGTGCTATTGTGGACGCGGACGGCATGGTTATATCTTTGATGTGCAATACCGATGCTGATTGGACCAATTTGTTGCAACGCTTCCGTATCACCTAAGGGGAGAGATATCAATAGATCGACGGGTTTATCAATGTCAAATTATTCACGCGAAACGGTTCTAGATGAGGAAGTAATACTTGACTACATACATAACACGGTGATGTAAATGCTCTACGTTAGAAAAAAGGAAGGATTTGAGGGGTTTCCTTCCATTTGCAAAGTTATCCAGTGGTTTTGTTTTTTCTTTCTTTTCTCAATTCCAAGCAACAATCACCTTCCCACGAGCAGCCCTGTAAGCAAATGTGTAAAAACCAAAATCAAAAATCATTTTTTTTCTCCACCGAGGTCATCTCTTAGATGATGTTGACAATCTCATCCTGAATTGATGCAATGAGAGCCACAGGAAACCCCTGACTCTGCATCTTTGTTAACTCCAGTTGAACCCACTCGGAAGCTTTGGCATGCACAAGTTCCCAAACAGTCCTCGACGCCGAGTGCTTTTTCTGCAGCGATCCCATTGCAAGCAGAGTGGCGAGAACCGTAGCCTCGTCGCCATGCGGGAATCCATTTTCAACATTTCGATTGTCACTGTTGTACAGGGCGGCCAATCTGGTGATCGTTGCGTTCATGTTGCACCCCAACAGCTCGAAGAGTTCGCTCGACCAGATCCAGCTGCCATCAAAGGTTTGCAGTTGAATGAGGTCGTGCAGTCTCATCTGTGGAGTCTTGGTCAAAGTCGAGGTAGGAGGCATTTCAGCTGCTGTCATTTGGGCTTGCATCATGACACCAAACTTTGAAGCTGAAGGTAGCACAGGTGCTCCATACAGGGAATTTGAGCCTCCAAATCCCGTGGGTACAGTAGGTACATGTTCAGGATTGGAAACTTGGAATCCTCCCAAGTGCCCAGAAAACGCATGCATATGTTGGGGGCCGTGCTGACCACCATATGGAATGCTCTGGCCACCACCAGTGCATGCGGATCGAGCAACCGAGTACATTACAGGGGTTGAAACACTAGAGAATCCAACTGAATTTGAAATGGGAGAGATGTGCTCCACAGCATATTCCTTCGGGGTATGTTGTTTACCGTGTTGTTCCGAAGACGAAGAGCTGCACTCTTCCAAGGCCACGAACGAGCAGTATTTTCCAGTGACCTGGTATTTAATTCCCAGGCTCTGGCATTCATGTTCTACAAGTCGCTGCTTTATTCCGGTATGATACTGTTTGAATTTGTTTCCGTTCTCGTCTATAGCATGAGGGAGCCAGCCATGTCCCTCTTCGAGTTCGATGACAGCCTTACGCGAAGCGAGTTGATGGATTGTTTCGCCGGTTCCAATGTTGCAGACTGGAATTCGCAGCTCCAGTGGACCGTCGTTGGATGTTGCACTAAGTTTCAGGGACTTGGGGATCTTCTCAGATGGGTGCGGGTCCAGAAGGAGGAAGACGGTTGTCCTGACGAACGGGTACAGAGGTGGGATGTTGTAGGGAGCTTGGATCACCCTTGGAGGGCTAAGAGTGGGAAGTTTTTGACATGTTCTCTCTTTGGTACCGACATCGAGGTGGGGTTCCTGGAAGTTCTCGTCGAACAATGAGATCGGCTGCGATGAGCTGCGTGCTGTTTCTTCGATGGAAACATGTCCATCTCCATTCTTGTCTTTGACCTCAATCTCAGAGTCGGTCACTTCCTCAGTCTCGCTCACAAAGTCGAACTCTTGCTCCATTTCGGCGTCGTATTCAACTTCGAGCTTGTAGTCGTTGACATGAGGAGTCAGGGCACCCTTGAGCATACGGACGACCTTGCGATCAAGTTCTTCATACTCCGTAACCGATTGGCTGAATCCATTTCCCGCTCTTGCAATTCCTTCAATCAAAGAGTGAGATACTGCTTCGCCAATTCCCAAGGAGAAGAACCGGGCAGTATTGTCAGCGGCCTTTTCGCGGACGAAGTCGAACAAATCGTCCTGGTCGTATATCTGCCCATCAGTGAGAATCAAAACATCCAGATCCTTGGAGTTGAGTCTATTATTCACAGTGGCGATGACTGCTTGTTTCATCTCCGTGCCACCCATATTCGCATCGATGGTATCTACAAAGTCCAAAGCGTACTGAAGACCAAGTGCATCGTACACCTGACTTTTTTCCCACATGAAGCAATGGGTATGACCAAAAGAGCAGATGTTGAAGCAAATACCGACAGGCAAAGATTTTAAAAAAACTTGGAGTGCAGATCTCAAGGTTGGTATTGTCGACACCATACTCGCACTTCTGTCAATGACGAAGACCACCTCGGGACTAGCCGGTCGCAGGCTAAACTTTGGAACAAGTGTTGCCATTAGGGCCCGCTGGTTAGGGATAGTTGGGTGTCTTTCAAGCAATGCGCACGGTGTATCAAGGCCGTCTGCTTTGATGAGAACGACAAGGTCTTGTTCCAGAACCACAGATTTATGGTTCTGCTGGAGAACGGCAAAGGCAGATGCTTGCGAAGGTTCAAAGGTAGCGGATGTTACTGGTGTAGAAGACACGCGTCCAAGAGAGACTTTGATCCGATGGCTTGGAGATTCCAACTCTCGGATCACCGAACCCTTCTCCATTTGAACATCAACGGTGATAGACATTCTTTGGAGGTTTGCTGGCAGACCGAATGAATTTAAATGGGTTTGACTATAAGACATATCAGTTCCATAGCGAGGGGCGATGGTGCTTGGCAGTGTATAGCGAATGCCGTCTCTTTGGGAGTCTTGTTTCAACTCTCCCACAAAAGTGATGTCGACGGTGAGGTTTCCACGAGCGGGAACATTGCCGAGTCGAATGACAAAAACGTCACCCATTGAGGTGTGATCCATGACAGCTGCAGTTTGATGTTGAGCCACGGCATTTTGATAGTCCGCATTGGCTTGCGACTTGGTCTTCACCTTGCTGTGCAGGAGACGAGATCCAACCTTGCATTTGAACCCAACCACACTGATACCATCATAAAGAGGGAAGTGGTAGGATAGCTCTTCAATGACACTGTCAGATGGATTGACAAAAGTCTGGATCAAGGTTGTACGGGCTACAGATGACAGAATAGTTGCGTGGGCCTTGAGTGAGACCTGCGGGAGGCACTGAGGCTGCCAGTTACCCGGCTTACTCCAAAGGCATCCACAATAGCTTGTCATGATGGAATATCAAGCTTCAGTGAAATAAAAGCCAGAAGAATGAAGTGCTGATAAAGAAGTCCAAATAGATTACAGGCTAGGTGCAAGGAAAGTCGAAAGTAGTGTGGGACAGAATACGATCAGTGGAATATCGAATCTGAAAGATCAATGAAGGATAAAGAGAAGAAGAGATGTGCAAGCAAATTGCGTGTAGAGCTAGCTATTTATACATTCAGGCATCCAGCTCGGAGAGGGCCTGTTGCCTAGTCTGGCAAACAACGGACCTCAGACGTCCGTGATGCCTAACTTCGGCCTGATTTCAGTCTGAAGATTGACCATTTCTAGATATCAAATTATAGTACATTAGGTAGATAGGCCAAATACTCTGACTTCTCTGAACTAAAATGACCAAATCCGCTCCTTTTTCCAATCTATGCGGACAAAGCTGACTAAACATGCCATACAATTTTGCATGGACTGCGCCACCATTGCGGTCCGTGTGTTTTTCCGGGTACTCCACACTGTTTTCGTCCAACTATTGCATCATGGGGCTCGACAGCTTACAACATAAATGCGTTTTGGATGGGGTGTCCAGCTCGGCAGTGAAATACGACAGCAAGAATTAGTAGGACTACAGAGTCTTGATTCATCACTTCGAAGACCATACTTCAATTTCAGTTGTCAGCGTCGCAAAGGCAGCTCGACAACCTCAGCTGTTGATTTTATTATCAATGTGCTCGGTACTACCAATTAGGTATCCATAAACTTTTTACAACTGGAACGGCATATCGCCAGGTACCCAGCCATTTTCCATGTCATACATTCCACGTAGACCTCATGAATCCAACGGAAACTCTCCATGTCCGCAAATGCCAAATGGACATGCACAGTTACAGCTTATACTGCAACAAGTTGCCGACCATCTCACGAGCAGTAATGCGCGTGGTAGCCCACAATGTCGGGAAGTCCAGGGTGCTGGAGAAAGTATCGGCGTAACCGAAGAAGAGCATCGGAGGGATCCAACCACGGGCGTACTCGAGCGCGAAGCACGACTCATCCATCTTGTACTGCTTGACCTCGCCGCGGACCAGGTGGTGCACGCTGCCAGCCGGGTAGACCTCGGGTTTGAACTCGCCGGGGACGTAGGCGAGCTGGGTTCCCTGGAGAATGTTGAAGTAGTCGTCGGCGGTGTGACGGCCAGTATGTCCTTCAGTTCCGATGGCGGTACCTGCGGAAAATTAAATATGATTAGAAGGGGAAACGGAAATTGTGGTAGACTTTGTCGCGGGCGAAAAATTCACCGAAGATTATCAAGTACTCGGTGATACTGGCGTGAATCACGTACATGGCGCCCATGGCGCCGCCGGCGTTGTTGAATACCCACTCCTCCTGGGTGCTCAGGTACTTGGGACCGACTTTCTGCTCTAGCTCGGCTACAATAAAGTTGACAACAGAACGGGTGTCCTCGCCGTGGGCGCTGATGGCGCGCTGAGATACATCGTGGAGGTGTTCCGGGTCGAAGATGTAGAATTGCTCAAGGCGCGCATCGAGGTATCGGTAGACGGCGGAGAAGAAAGCCAGGAAAATGGCTAGGTAGCTGAGGGTCTTGAGAGAGAAGCAGCGACAGCGGCAGCTGGAGCTGGAGCTGGAGGACTTGGAGGATTTGGAAGGCATTTTGGGAGTTGGGGAAGGGTCCTGGAGTAAAATCATGAGGCAATCGAGCGTTTAAATTTAATTTCAGCCCCTGGCGAAAACCCCGGAGTTCCACCCGGTGGGGTATCAATAGCACAACAGATGATCGTTAAAAGCACCCTCGCTTTGGTTCAATTCACTGCTACGGTATATCAATCAGTTCCTTGCTCAAATTTGTCGCCCTTCTTTATTCAATACATGCACCTCCAATGTACAAGATATCCGATTTCTGGAGTGGTTGTACAGTTTCAGATAGTTTGTAAATGTGTTTGCTGTGTTTGTATTGTTTATCTTAGCTGACGCATCAACAGGCCATACCGGATGCTCGCCGTCCGAGTTGTCGATTCTTCGATTGGCCAATTTTTCTCGACATACTCTTTTATCAACAATGCTGCCTGTTGCTACATTGCACTGTGTCCAACATATGCTCCGTAGTGCGTCCCGAAATCGGTGCTACCACCTGTACGTACACTCTTCGACTGACCTCCACCAAAAAGACGCTAGACAGTGATAGGATATACACGGAAGATAATTATTCCTGCACCTATGCTAACCCAGGTGCAATGTACAAGGCCACGGGCCATTCAAGGCAATCACAAGGTTAGTCCAAGTCCAGTGCGGGTAGTTACACGTCAGTCCAGGGCTCACCACCCGTGGGCTTTCAGGAGCACGTAAGGTGGGAAAGAACATAGTTCTTTTCATAGCACGCAAAATTCTCAGTTGGACTTGGTCGGTTATTTGAAAGCTGCGAAAAGCTCAGTGCGTGTATGTGGTCCTGATAAAACCCATCAGAGACGAGGCTGTTGCAGCTTACTTGTCTCTGCAATTCTGAAAATATACTTGCCTTCACTTACTTCCCACGCTCTATTCCTTTTAAATGCCTCGGAACGACTTCGTAGGTGTAGCCAGTAAACCAACCATTGGACAAACCTCTTGTGACGAATATATACATCATAGGCCCCCAATCCTTATCACTCAATGCGTCCAATGGGTGAGTTTCTCTTTGAATTCCTGGACAACTAAGCACATGCCAACGCCCACGTACACCCCCGGCGTTGGTGGGCCCCAACAGATAACAAATTCTCACCGGATCACGAATTGCAAAATTAGGTATCTTTAATATAGAAACTACATACAAAAGATACTTTTGCAAAAAAAAAAATTGTGGCCCTAATTTTCACGAAAATCAAATTCAAATGTAGGTCAGTTTTTAGTTATCGATCTACCACTAAGACTAGTGCTAAAAAATTTTATGAACAACATCGCGGTGTAGGTAGCGTCTTGAAAAGCACTATTTGTTTAAAAACCCAAAAAAAAATTTTTTAATGAAAATCTTTAACCACTCTTTCTTCAAGTGTACAGCCAGCTTGATACTTAGTGATTAAGACTTCACCTACACCCTACCCTATACACCATCTGATATTCTCCCTAGCTAGTCTCATGGTTGATAAAACTGAGGCTACTAATAAATGGTGTTTAAACATCTTTTATATGGGGCTACCATCTAAAAGCTACTTGGTTTTGCAATTTGTGATCCGGTGAGAATTTGTTATCTGTTGGGGCCCACCACCACCGGTGTACATACTTTGTAGTTGTTGGTGTGGGCTTGCCACGATTGAATGAAAGAGTGAACTCTCCTGACTTGGGTATCTGTGAGGTCTACGCTATCGAGTTTGCTCCCGTACGTCTTCCGCGCCAATACGACGGTGTTTTTACCGTTCTATGTGTCCCAAACCCATGCCACTCTTTAGGACTCAGAGACATGCACCCTGATAATGAGATAATTTGGGCTAGGGACTGTTGGGAAATCCACATCTTCGATGGTGACTTAAGGTCTTGTGACACCCCGGCTTATTTAATTTTGACGGGGCTTAGTGTAATAGTGCAGTGCCTATCAAATCCGAAATGGCGGGGGGATTTACAAAAAGATCAGCAGCCAAATTTGAGATTAATTTGAGTTAGTTAGAAGGAAGCTCATGTTCGGTTTGAACTGATTTCCGAACACCGAATCCACCCCTGCCCAGGTGCTGAGATTCACATATGTTGTAGGTAGGTACCTTGTGGGCAAACATATCCAAAGTTGGTAATTAATCAAAAAAGACCTACCTCAAAGGTAACCTCAAAGATATGTTCAATTAGCAAATTCCCATTTTAATTTATGTTGAGATTATCAATAGCGGATCCTTAGACAAGTCCTGTAGGCTATAGAACTGGATGCCAAGATATGTCAAGCTCGATTCTGTTGTACGGAGTTTGCAACGGTCGACTCCTGTAGGATTCACCCACTTTCTCCTGTGGCGCAGGGATCTGCTTAATTTTCCCTACGAAGTCTTAGTCTCAAGCATTGAACCGTATATTTTTGTATTAAATGGAAGTAATTGAACTCCTTGGATTGCTTTCTTCGATATTGTTTCGTTTCATTCCCTAAATTTGCTTATACATCGTGTGGTAGCCAGAGGACGATATGCTTAGTGATGTTCGGACCCTACTATCTGTTAAGTGGTGGATTAAGAGACCGAAGTTCCAATTTTGAAGATCTGCATGAAATGTTGAATTTTGATACTGCGCTATTTCTGAGCTAAAAATGTGGGTGGAGGTGGGTGTATCCCACAGCTATACTACGTATACTGTGTTCCTCAAGTCTGCGAAGTATGTTGTACGGAGTACCCTGGAAGGATTCACCCACCCACTCTGAAAGCGGTCAACATGACGTTCACATCACTTCCTAATCAGTCACAGCTTTAGACTTTTGACTCATAAGGTATCACCAATCTGCGGAGTATTTCTCCACAGTGTAGCATATTTAAGGATGTTGCTTTTGAGTGTGTAATTTTTACACGAGATATACCATAATTCCCAGGCAATGTCACATGCCATACTGAATCTAGCATAAATTGTGGTTTTAACAGTCCTATTAAAAGGATTTCAGAGAATCAGAATGTTGTCATTTATTGGGATTATCACAATGTGCATAAAATAGGAGCTGAAATCTTGACACTAGTAGATCCACTGTGGAGGTGAATCTTTCTCGGGTAAAGACTGTTGTAGGGGCAGAGTTTATTCAATAGGGCCGCTACTGTTAGGAGCCCAGCTTGCAGCTCATTCTTTCCGATGTCATTGTTGAGTACCCTACTTTGTTTTCGACCACGGGGGAAATCTAGACGTGTTTCTCAGCTAGTAGGAAGCGCAAATTGCGCTGGGTCGTACGATTATGATCTATCCGAAAAGCGCTTCGCTTGGGTGGAATGCCAAGGTCTCTCCTTTATTCCCTGCGATTTGGGTGTGATGTGACAAGTGGGATCGGTGTCGATTTCGCCAGGGGTCGCATCTTTGCTCCTTATGTTGCATAATGGATTGGGTAAAGCGATCGGAATTCCTAGGACGCTTGAGCGTTGGATTCAGCGGGCTTGCGCATGACGGTCTGTTGGTGATAGGACGTGTGACTAGTATGACCGTTTTGGCCGATTTGATTGCAAGAATGGAGGTAAGAGAACGGTGCCCACTAGGGTGAGACATGAGCGTTCCCAAACTTGTGTGATGTGCCTGTTATCTAAGACCGTGCTGAGCAAACGGCATTAGACGGTAGTGCGAGATAGAATCTCAATTTGAGGTCATGATTGAGCCATATTCGTCATTTTCAGATGATTTACGACCAATTATTGAAAGATGTGATGAGATTTTGAAATTACGGTCGGTGGTTATGGGCTACGTAGGTATGTGTAATTTAGTTGGAAAGCAAGGCATTGGAGATATCTGACCTGGCCATCCATGCCTTTTGCCTTGGCTAGAAGTGTACTCCGTACCTAGTCCTCAGTCAAGTCCACTCACTGGGCACACTTTTATTTGGATATGTTGACGTTGTAGCTACTGGGCTAGCTGTTATATCATTTGCATAAAATCAATGTCGCTGGCACACTTGAAATATATTTTGCACCCACGTGTGCTTCCCTGATCAGATGCCTTCCATTTTGGTCAAATGTAGTCACCAGCCCTAGTTCCCCCGTTGCTTGAAGCCGCTATGAAGGTAAACCAATCCCGCTCCCCTTTTTTCTTTCTCTTTTTTGTCTGCTTCTTCACCCTCCCGATCCATATTGCACTTCGTGGTTTCTGGATGTTTAGTCTCGCAGGGTCTTTGCTTGCGGTTCAGGTTAGTCTGACACTAGATTAAGGCCTTGGCTCCGGTCTAACGGCACGAAGCACGTCGCGGCCCGGACTGATCCCCCTTGCGGCCTCTGTGGATACAGACTGTCCTTTCTTGTAGTCTCCGCTGACTTATGGGAAGCTGAGCACCGTACTCTTCGAGCCAAGTTTTGGAGCGCCCCCCCAACAGAGAGAACGCTCTGTTGCCCAAGGTTTTCTTCCCAAGGGCAGTTCTTTTCTTCGATGTTGCTGTTGTTGATAGTGTGGTTGCCTAAGACCTAGGTGTTTAGTTTAATCAATTTTCTCTTGCTTGTATGTCATGTTATCTATCGGTCATATCTTGTTCCTATTGCTTCGCCGGTTTGGTTCTAGCTAGTTGGATGTTGAGCATTACATTTCCCTTCTGCCTCACCATTGCCCCTTAGTCTTGCGTCATTTGTATACTTAACTCTTTAAAGACTAGTTGCCGCGCTCTTGGTAGGTTATAATATAGTTTTTTTTTCAACAAGGAAAGCGCTTGTCTGACATGTGGGATTTACTCCGCATAGAGTGAAATGTGCCTGTGTGAGACACTTTCTAAGGTTATTTTCGCTAGCTGACTGCCCAAGGAAATGCCGCGCACTCTGACATAGCCACCCTCAACACCACTGTGGGATTTACCCACTCACTTTCTCCTGTGGCGTAGAGATCTGCCTATGATTAACCAGAATTAGTCTGTAGTATTAGACCTGTATTTGGTATTATATAAAATTGGTTGAATTTCTGGAATTGTTTTCTTCAAAATTGGCAGGCATACTATGTCTGAATTTGCTCACTCATAGCATGCCAGTCAGATGATAGGCTTAGCGATGCTCAAAGGGGCCTGCTCTTTGTCTCATTGAGGGATAAGAGCCCCGTTGTCCAACTTTTAAGTCCATAGGAGTCGACAGGGAGTATAGAATACTGAAGTATATACTACGCTATTTCTGAGCTAAAAAAAACTAGGTGGAGGTAAGTGAATCCCACCGGTATAGACTGTAACACGGAGTACACAACGCCCTTTTTTATGTACAGAGCACGGAGTACGGCTAGCAATATTATCATACTCCACTCCTATGTTCTACGGCCCCATACTCCATGGATCCGTCAAAGATTGGACAAGAAATTTCCATAGAAAATCATACCTGCGAACAAAGTTGAAATATCAAATGAAAATGCTTCCATCGACAGCCATTCGGTGTATCTAAATATCTCAGACAGATTTTCTTGCGTCATGCGCTCACGGAACTAGGCGGCTTCGTTTTGGTACGTGCACAAGGTTTTGTCTTGTTCCAGCTGATGAATCGAGGGTGGTTCGTGCTTATTACCTTCTGCCACCAGCAACAGGCCATGGTCGACCGCCATTAAGGATATGGAGCCAGTAGGCTACAGACGGGCTAATTATAACGATTGAATAGAAATCCCATCGGATCATGATTACTGGGCATCCATGCCTGAGCTACTCCGTACGGGACTTGCCGTCCAAGGCGATCTCCCAACCATGGTAGTAACCATCTGACCCCTGTAGTGATAGATGCATTTTAAGGTCAAACAAGCCGATCATGACCGGTTGAGAAACGGTCGGGATTCCGTAATCCCGTGGCACAAATATTCAGCCAACTTCTCGTGGCATTCCAGAGTTTAAGATGATTAGGTTATGGGGCACGTGCAGATTTAGGAAGAACCTGATTGGTCTCTTTGCAGTAGGACCATGTGTTTGGACATGGTGGATCACAAATGGAGCCCCTAAGCCCATTGGACACAGAAAAGCAAGTCTTATTGCTCCGTCCTCTCGGAGAAATTTCGCAAATTTCATGCCACTTTATTCAGGGGAACCTTGGAATCCCGGGATTTTGGACCAAAGCGGAGACCCTTCCCATAATCTCCGATTTGACCGTTCTAGAAGCAACCCTCCACACTCTGCGGTACCGTCACATTTGCTAACAGAGAGCTTCTCGACTCTACAGGGAAACGAATGAAATACGAATACGCAGAGAACGGAGAAAGCCTTGCATGTCCGGAATCAAGGGTCTATGGCTAAAAGACACAGGTTGTGTCACAATTTCTTTCCCGATACTCTGTAGTATGTTGTACCCAGTCGCCCCGGCCCCACGCAAGCTATTAAGGATCTGGTATAAGCCGGATGTTGTGGAGTCCAGCTCACAATCTCGTTGGATAGGAAATCGCACGCCCCAATATGAAATGTGAGACAGGACTACTCGGTTTTTTAATACGAAACGTGAGTCTATCGTTGGTCTAGAGTTCCTAAATAGGAAACCTCCGAATGGAAGCGATGTACAAACAGTATAAAAGCAAGCCGAAGAACCCGGCCTTGATGCTATCAGAACAAGTCTCCTTTTCACACGCAACCTCATTACATCCTGAACACCGGTTCCAACCGCAGCCATGAAGTCCTTCGCCCCTTTGTCTCTTGTCTCCCTGGCTCTGTCCGCCATGGCTGATGCCTCCACGATCCCGGCTAACGGTGCCCTCAACGCTCGCGGTGTCCAAACCTGCGACCAGTGGGGCACAACCACCACCGACAAGTTCATCCTCTACAACAACCTCTGGAACAAGGGCAAGGACCCCAACGGCTGGCAATGCACCACGCTCGACTGGAGCAACGGAAACGCCCTCGCGTGGCGCACCTCGTACTCGTGGGGCGGCAACTACAAGAACGAAGTGAAGAGCTACGCCAGTGCCTCGCTGAAGTTCACCCCTCAGGTTCTGAGCACTGTTAAGAGCATCAAGTCCGACTGGTCATGGAGGTAAGTTGTTCGACCCTGATGCGCGTGGTTGACTGTGGAAAGAACGTCTCCCGCTGACCCTGTCTGCAATAGCTACTCTCACAACAACATCGTCGCCGATGTCTCGTACGACATGTTCCTTACTCCCACTCCTGGCGGAAACGAGGAGTTCGAGATCATGGTGTGGCTTGCTGCCATCGGAGGTGCCGGCCCGATCTCCAGCACCGGAAGGCCCATTGCTACCGTCTCTCTCAACGGTGCCGAGTGGGATGTCTGGGTCGGTCCTAACGGTCAGATGACTGTGTACAGCTTCGTCGCCAAGTCGACCATCAACAAGTTCGGTGGTGACCTGTTGGACTTCTTCAAGTACCTTATTGAGCACCAAGGTCTGCCCAGCAACAAGTACTTGAAGTCCGTTCAGGCTGGCTCTGAACCCTTCATCGGTGCCGCCGACTTGACTGTTTCCAACTACTGGATTGAGCTTCTCTAAATTGTCAGACAAGCGGTTTCTGGCAAACGTGGATAATTGAGGCTTGGATTTCTTACTCTGCTGTTTACACGGCCAGTTGGGTGGTCTGAATGGGTGTGTGCTTGGGATGCGGCACTCGGTCGGAGTTGTCATCACTCAAAAAAACCACCAAGAATCAGAGCGACTGATACTCTGCATCTCTAATAATAGATAGAACTATAATTATCAAGACGACACATGGTCACATGAGGAACAAAGTGCTACTCCATATATCTACGGTCGCAGTGTCAGTATGCCATGCCAATACCACCCGTATGTTGTAGACCTGACCAACACCATCTCTAACCGCCGGCCCAACACTGAAACAATTCCTGAAACCGCCCCATCCAAGCGCCGATATCCACTCACCTCTTAGAGTCCCCACGGCCCCATAACACTGATGGAGCCTGGACCAGGGCCGTGGGAATATCCGTGCGAACACCTGTGGGAACATCAAAATCTGGTCCAAAAATATCAAGTCCTCCCAACCAACCGTCTATGCAAAAAAATCCAACAGCGACAAAAGAGCGAGACGCCCGATCCTGAACGAGGCGCAGTCCCCCACCAACGTTGCAAATCGCACAGTGATTCGGCCCCGGCGGAACGGCGGGTGACAACCCGCGCACCGGGTCTGGGGTAGAAAGACCGCAGGAGTAGCGCGCGTAGAGAAAACCTAAGAACCAACATACCACAAGAACAGATATAAAATTAGAAACGCCAGACGTCGTAGCGCTTCTATGATGTTGGGATTGTAAGCGCGTGGGGGGGGGGGGGGGGAGTGGGAAGGTGGAAATTACGCTGGAGGGGACGGGCGCTTATATAGATGCATGTGGATGCACATGCAGTGTGTTCTGTCCTTTTTTATATATATATATATATATACATATATTTCTTATTTTAGGCTATAGGCTACGGCGTGACTAACACGTTAAGAGTGCTATGCACGGAACATTGCATGCATCCCACTCGGTTTGCCGGGGAGAAACCAAAAAAAAAAAAGTGGTTGGGAAGAGGTTGGTAAATCGATAGATCCAACGGGAACCGAAAAAGCCATAAGGGAAATCGGGAATGATATGACCTGCCTTATGTGAGGTTCGGATCATAATCTAATGTTAAATATTTCTTCATGTTGGATCCCCCTCAAACACACTCAACTCGCGCGGTGACAGGGATCCAATTAAAAAGTACAAATGTACGGAGTAGAAAAAGGTTGAGCTGTACAGGAACAATTTGACAGGGATTTCAATTGTCTCACCCCACGCTGATCAGATCGGAAACTGACAGGTTTCGAGTGATTGGGCCATAACGCAAGTTCGCGGCGCCAACTTGAAATTGCCACCTTGTATATATATATATAAATTTTTTTTCAGCTGAGGATTGTTGATAATTAACTGGAATGGATTGTTGGTTTTCATTCAGTGGATTGGATTTAAAGATTAGGCAGTAGGGATCTTCTCAGGTATAGAGCCGATAGGACCTAGATCGACTCTTTGGGAACGGAGTACGCGTTCCAAGGAATGGAATGACCTGACATGAGACGATCGTGGGTGTCGTGAATAATTGGGTCAAACCTATGGCGATCCTGGAGCTGACTTGGTGGAGTCCCAACATGCCCCTTATTTTGGTTCATGTAGACTGGACAATAACCATCACACATAGAACCAAAATCAAGTTCAATCTTCCACGTTGGATCCAACCGTGAAAAATGAGACATACCCTCTATTGGATAAATCTAGGGATATTCACGCACAGGTACAATAATAGTCTATCAAGTGTACATCACCCGTTCTCTCTAAACAAATCAGGTCACTTTCCCTCGTCTCAAACGACGCGCGCCAAAAAGGTTGGAGCATCTAAGATCCAACTATGCAGGTTTGCTCTATTCTACCCCTGTGCTTGGCTTATCCTTCTGACTTCTAACTGGATGACTCGTCCTTGCAGGGTAATTACTGTATCTCTCTCCCCCCCCCCCTCCTCTCTCTACTCCCACTATGGCGCATACCAGATACTATAACTAGACCGGTATTCCGCCCAGATTCTTCACGAGATTCATCTACATGCTCAACGTCGTCACCCGGTCCTTTGATAAATTGTCTCTGTCTTCTGATCCGGTCACCTTTTCTACAATCATTTGGACTAGAGACACGATATTCAATCTATTGCCTACGTGCAGTGAACTGTGGATTGTGTCTCGAAAAAAAATTAGATAATCCCCGGGTCTCAGTTGAAGTTCTCAGTTAGGGCTATCGATAGGCGTTGACACGACAACCCCAACTATCCCATCCTTACTGCAACATTCTTTTTTTCAAAGAAAGTACTTCATCTGAAAGGTATCCTGCTGGTCAGGAAAATTCCCTTTTCTCAGTCCGACATTGTGTTTGGTCTTGGATCTGATTTTCGCTTTTGCATCACATTGTGTCGACTCTGATACCCTCGCAAACACAAAGACCTTTGTCGTGTTGTTCATCCAAAGATCCTTGAAGTAGATTGTCCGAGACAATTCCGTGCCTTGAACAAGATCTTGGATCTCTGCCTGTTTGTCGACATACTTAATTCCCATCCGCGACCACTCTCCTCCTCCGTCCGACCTCTTTCCCCATCCTTCTATCGCAACATGGATTCGTTGACACTCAACCGAGCGGCTCTTGATGAGTTTGTCAGTACCCGAGTGACTCGCGAAATGGTGTCATACTTGGCGCAACAAGCAGCCCAGGTCATCCGCTGTGAGGCGCATGTGATCAACACCGTCAACCAGAATGGCCAACCTACACCACCATCAACCCCTCCAATGGAACCTGCTACCCTGCCGGCCCTCCCCTCAATCGAAGCTTTCATCAGCTCGCTCGTCGCTCGGTCGCAGGTGCAGGTGCCCACTCTCATGAGCTGTCTCGTCTACCTCGGTCGACTTCGATCCCGTCTGCCGCCAGTCGCAAAAGGCATGCGCTGCACTGTTCATCGCATCTTCCTCGCCTCGCTCATACTCGCCGCTAAGAATCTCAATGACTCGAGCCCCAAGAACAAACATTGGGCCCGGTTTACTGCAGTAAAGGGATTCGAGAGCTTCGGCTTTTCTCTCCCCGAGGTTAACCTCATGGAACGTCAGCTGCTCTTCCTGCTGGATTGGGACCTGCGCATCACCGAACAGGACCTCTTCACCTACCTAGAGCCTTTCCTCGTTCCCCACCGCCAGCGTCTCATCGCCCAAGAGCAAGAACGCCTCGCCGAAGAGGAATACCGTCACAAACAACAACAACATCGCGAATGGTATGTTATCCCATCCTACAGCTTAATCTCCTGACCCCGACTAACCCCCCCTCGAGGCGCCGTCTCCATGCATCAGCAGATCTGCTGGCCAGTCGCCTCCGCCGCCAAAAGCTCGAGGCCCGTGGGGAGACCCGCCGCGCGAACGACGGCTCCATTCGCCGTCTGCCTAGTCACGTCTCCTGTCCAACCATGCACAACACCCACCACACAGCACAGAATGTCGCCGAAATTGACCGCTACAACCCTTACCAGCGTCAGCGCGCATCCCCCAACCGCATCAACCGCTCTGTGTCCCCACCATCCGTCCGCGACGTGCCAGCCCTCTCCCACGCCGAGACCTTCAACTCTCTGTGCTCGCGCTCCTCCAGCGTCGCCCCAAGCTCAAGTGGCACCCCGGCTTCCATCAGCACGGTTTCCTCCCAGGGCGCCGATGACCTCCTGCTCATGGACCCCACTCGCAGCCCGTCTTCTCTCTCTCTCAACTATGGCTATGTGACTGTCGCCAACCTCGAAACGAAGAAGTCGTTCGAGCCTGTCCGCCAGCCATCCAAGAAACAGAAGACCAGCAGTGACGCGCACAGCGGTGGCTTTGTCGCTCGCTTCCTCGCCTCCGCAACTGGCTCCTACATGGGTGGCCGTCGGTCTCACTAATCGAGCCGGTTCTCGATTTCTTTCTCTTGATTTTTTTTTTCAAGCTATAGCAATCTGCCTTTTACTTAATCACCGATGCTATTCACGCACCTCTCAATTTTTTTTTCCCTATCTATCTGACTGTTGATTTTCCCACACATTCCCATATGACTTTTATTTCCTTTTCTCATTTCCATATTCCAGCTTTTGAAAAAAGCTGTTCCCCCGTTGATACGCAATACCCCTCGCTCATTCTTGTCATTTGATGTCCCCATACGTCATCTACCATCATGTATGAGCTTGATCTCCCTCCGAGTGATCCGCTCCGCTTTCCTTCTGTCTTTTCCCCATTCCACTCGCTTCTGCATGTATCTCGTGCACTACTTCGGCATTAGTACGTCTAGTATTTCTCATGCTTGCGGTCTTACAATTCACTCGTTTCACCCTCTGGATGCTATCCCAGAATTTCATGTTCAGACTTTTGCTCGTGCCCGCGCTCGATGTGTGTTTGACTTATCTACCTCCCACTTGGATAATGAAACTTACTCCTCCCCTTGGGTGTTGTATACGACTGTAAACTGTTTTGTAGAAGCTTCGTTGCAGTCATAGTATGAATAGGGAACCTGCTCTTTCCATCCCTTGCGCATCTATTCAGGGTCCGACATTGCATCCCCCTACACAGCCGGAACCCCTTGTTTCCTCTCCCCTTACCAATAACCCGTGTCCTGATCCTTGGCCTCAAGTCTAGGCTCAACTTCTTCCCTCCCCTTAGAAAATTCCACGGCTTTACCCGAGTACGCCTTTCCGAGGATGATAACTCTCATGTGAGATTGGCTCTTACCAGGCACCCTCCGAGTAGGTCGATGAGTCGGATGGATCTCTGGAGACAGGAACTAAAACCTAGATGGTCGATTCGGGGTATTCGAGAGGTTGATCTCAGGGCTGAAGTGACCAAGGCCGTGACCGCCTGTCGGAACATTTTCCTTGACATTTCCATGATCGGCCCTGAAGTTCCCCCAATTCTGTCTGCGGGCCGGCATGCCGAAAGTGACCTGCTGCGCTTTCTTCTTTCGCACCATATACGATAGATTCTTCAGGAAATTAACCAAATCCATGGCATTATTCATCACGGAGACAGATATCGGAGCATTTGTTGGCGGTTGTGCCAAGTGATCTTGATCGTATAGGACAATCGTTACGGGTTATTTGGGGGGAGGACTGCTTTTCATCTACAGGTTGCGTGGAGAGCCTCGTGCGGGTTAGGGCGTCCCTGTTTGTAAGCAGTTATGTTGATCTCGGCACTTGGAAATGAGCACATCTATAGAAATGTAGCACTGGGGACAGATCGCCGCTCGTCTGGGAGGATTGAAAAAGCTAGAAAGATCTTCGACAACTGCAATAGTCGAAGATCTCCAAACATTTGGGCAGTCAGGTTTGATATCTAGACCTTTCCCGCGCTGTCATGGTGCATTCGTCAGGATTTAAATCCAACGGAGCAACCGAGAATACATGGCTTCAAAGAACCTGCTCTGCGTAGAATCTCCAGTCTTGTCATCTATGTTCGACGGCAGCTCTCAAGAGACCCAAGAACAAACGGCGACCCTACAAGAAATCGAAGGCGCATTGTCTGTCCAGAGTTTTGAAGCCCGTCTTCGAAAGCTCTACCTTTGCACCATCCACGTCAATGACAGATTTGAGCAATCAGGCATCGAAGCCGCCACCGAGCTCGCCAGACTTGCGGAGATGTAAGGAGTCACCCGCCGAGAATTCCCAATCGCCCAGTACACCAAAGGACATCCACGCTCCAAGTGGCCAGCTCACTGATTCACGCTGCAGGTATATTCTGCCGGATCATGAGGACCAATTTGTTGGAACAGTTTTTTTTACGTGAGGACCATCCAGTACGCCGTGTCATGGCTCAAGCCATCATTCTATGGTATCTCCAATGGGAAAAGGATCGTAGAGACCCCGATGACATGATGACCCAGGAATGTCCTATCTTCGCCGCCGACCTTCCCTACGAATTGAGGGAAACACTGGACACTTGAAGCTTCCGTATCAGGGCTACTGTCGTAGAGCCGATTACTGGGAGAAGAAGGTTTCTGGTGAGGGACGACGAGCGGACCCGCGGGATCTATGAGTTTTCGAAATGGAAGGGATTTACTGGCAGTTGTGCTAAGGCACTAATCATGGCGGGTTGTTTGAGTAGCAGTCTATGCGTCTGCACGTCTCGTTCAGGGGCTAAGATGGGGAAGGAGCGGTCGTTTCGTTTGAGATAAGCCGCCCGTGGGAGATGGCCAATGCAAATGTTTCAAGCAGGTCAAAAATGACAAGAAATTTCAAAAATCCAGGCAATGCTAGCTGTTTCGTAACTCGTGATCGTCTCGATGCAAATCGCAACCATGGCAGCTCTATAGGGCCGGGCTTTCCCAGTACTCGCGCTTGATCCTCATTATAGCAGAGTGCTTGTGCGGGAAGCTGACCTCGCCTTCTTTGTAGAAGCCCGCTTCTTGGAGGTAATTAATGAGTCTGCGAGGAGTTAGCAGGTCTGTTTTCCTCTTCTTTCCCCCGCCATAGCAGTGATGCCGACCACTCACTTAATGTTATCGATCCGCGGCTCCAAGACCACAGATTCAGTTCGCATATCCGACAAGAAGCAGAAATGCACCAATGCACTCAACCAAACTGCAACCCGATGCGCACCCCGGAACTCCTGCTCCCCAACAAGCAAATGAATGCCCCGATCATAATTATCCACATGGTCCACGAGTCGACCCAGCCGATCTTCCTTGACCCAGTAGATCTCAAAATACCCAAACGGCTTTCCATCCCAGCACCCGATAACAGGGAAACTGTGTCGGCTAGTCAGACTAGCCAGCAGGAACTTCTCCTGCACAGACTTCTCCCCGCCTTCACCCCACATTGCCTCCACCCGCGGGACATTCATCCACCGGTGCAGCGTATCCAAATCCGAGCAGATATTCTCAGTAAGATGATGAGCAATGCTCGTCACGGACGCAGTGACAGGCGTCCCGGGTCGACTATCACTAGCTCCCTGCGCCGTCATCGGCACAAATGCCACACGGAACGAGAGATACTGACTCATGCTGGTGATGTAGCGTACGTAGAAGACCTCGCCCTGGTGCGGCGGTTTCGGGCGCACGGGGTGTCGCACTCCGTTCGTGGAGGTGAACTGCAATGGTGGCGGCGGGTAATAAGTGGGTAGATGACTACCAGACGTGAACGGTCCTACCGAAGTGAATGGGCCCATATTCGCCGTGTGGAAGGTTGCTTCCATGGGCGCTAGCGCCGGCGGCGTTGCGACGGGTGAGCCCCCGTCGGGCACGGGCGACACATTCTGCGACCGGTAGGGGGGTGTTGATGGACGGCCTCGACTCGGCGTGAGAGTGAAGAGGAACAGACGTGGGTCAAGCTGCCAGAAGCTGCGTCGACTGACAAACATCGTGGACCAGCTGGTTGAGTCGCGGGTTTCCATGGGTTGGAGGCCGACAGAGGAGTCTTCAGTCGCTATGAGGCCCATCCGCTCGAGCTTCTGGAGCAGATTGCGGCCTTTGAAGATTCCTTCGCGCTTGATGTTTATACGCCACACGCCTTTTGGTCGGCCGTCGCGCGGGGTCATGCTGGAAGCGGCGGTCTCCACATGCATGTCTGGTTCGGGCTCGTGGAAGTACCACCATAGAGTTACCCACAGCATCATGGCAATATGGCGTGTGGGTGAGGTTACGGGTTTGAAGTCGCTTGTTGGTGGGTTGACGATGTACGAGATGTAGAGGGAGTCGCGAGTCAAGGTGGGGGTCGTGAAACGAGTGAAACTATCTTCATCATCGCGGGGTTTCTCTGGTTCTGGTTCATCCTTCTGCTGGTCTGTCTTGGGAAGCTTCTCGGTGTGAATTATGATTGTCCAACCGGGGGGGAATGTGGGGTTCTGCTGGATGTTGAAATCGGCGGATTTGAAGGTGACTCCACCAAAAACGGGCGAGACGTTGAAGGTGAGGCCATTGGGTAAGTAGCAGGCAGTGTTCCTCATGGCGAGGATGTATTGGAGGTGTTCTGGAGAATCGCAAGTCCTCTGATAGGAAAGCAGACTTTTTTATCTCTGCTTTGGCCCCTCACTGTGCGGGGAAGGGATAAATTGTGTACCAACAGCAGCAGCTAGTGCAGCTAAACAAAGATATCCAATACCAGTAGCTGGGTTGGTAATGCGAAGCTGGCGATTGATCAGAAGAAAAAAACAGAGATGGAAGATTTTCGGAGAGGTCACATAGCCGATGACGCAGACCATCAGCCCACTATGACCTACCGATGGAGGTTGTGCAAGCCTTTTAATCTATCTTCTTTCTTTTTCTTGGCTCTAGCTGTAGAATGCTGCAATCTGATCAAGGCAACAGCTGTATTATTTCATATGATTTCACATTATCTCAAGTATCTCTTAATTTAAAGATTTGTGGCTCTCGGGCAGATCTCTGTTGATCTTTGAAATTTCCCTGGAACAAGACAAGTCCCAAGATCAGCCAATAGAAAGCAAAGGGGGAGGGGGAAAAAACGCAAAAAAGCCATCGAATCAAAAGTCAAAGCCCACGAAACTCCTCAGAAGTCCTCCACTGTGGTCCCCAACTTCCGCTCCCGTGCCAAGCGCACCAAATCTCCGCCAGTCACGAGATCCATTAGTCCAAGCCCAACCGATTTGTAGATGACATTCCCCCGTTGTGACCATTCACGCAGGCTCTTTTCTTCATCCACAGTGGCGGCATCACGGGTGACATCACGGACCATGAGTAGCTCGCCTAACTCCACAACCTGTTTCGGCTTGATTCCGGCTTGAATAATCTCGCCGGCCTCTTTCATGGCTGCGTCTAGACTATCCACTACAATCACACCACTACGGTGGATATGCTTGTTCCAATGACGATGCGCAGGCTGCACATGGACCTCATCTCGGAGGATATCCGGGTGAATCTCGGCCACTGTGTGCCTTGTATGATCCAATGGCACAAATCAACCGGCCCTTCTGACGGCCTTCGCCTGAAGTGAGGTACTCTGCAGGGAAGAGAGGTTCTACAGAGGGAGTACAACAGAAGATCGCGTCGGCCTTGCGCACATGTTCTTTCAAAATGCGACTGTACTCGCCGAAATCGGTGCTGACGGCGGAGAACTTGACGTCCCCGCGCCATTCGATGTTTTCGGGCTGGTAAATTTCCTGCAAAAGCTTGGCAGCGCGCTCGAATGAACGATTCACGATGTACACCCGGCGGATATCCTCGCCACGGAGAATCAGCGCCAAGCGGATATGCCAGTAAGCCTGGGTACCTGCTCCGAATACGAGGATGGTGCGCACCTTCTTGCGCCTGTTGAACATCATCAGCGAAGCCAATGCTGTGCGGAATGCCGTCAACTCATGTGCGTTGATCAAGGCGAAGGGCAAACTTTCGCCATCTAGGAGTGTCACACTGCCGCGCGGCGATGTGTCACGAGTTCCTGCGCCCGGCCAAGCGCCAAGAGTTCCAGAAAGGTTCGAGGTGACATTTTGTTGATTGACACAACCAGTGAGGAGTGTGGAACTATCCGTGCTTGATCCTGCTACACTGCTATCATTTGTGGTGGTCACGGGACTGATCGAGTTACTGTCCTCTCTGTCTTCTGAGCCCACGGACAAATCACTCAAGTCGGAGGAGATGGAAGCCACCGAGTTCCGGAAAGAGCCTCGTCTGCGTGAGGAAATTTGTTCTTTCTCCTGCATATCCACGGTGTCTCGTTCAATAGCACAGCCGGCATCGGCCCCGTCCTGCAGGGAAATCATCTTGATGCCGATGGTCTGGCCCGTGCTGGCAGGCATGAAGATGGTGGTGGTGCCATTTTGACGAGTTATGGCAGTTCGCTGGGGCTGGTAAGTTGCTGAGCAACCTTTCTCCTGAGATCCACTGGAGTATTCTCGTAGAGCTTCGGCGAGATTGCGTTGCAGATTGATGATCTCGTCGCGAGAGAGCGCATGTAGCAATTCACGGAGCTGGGCTCGAGAGAGGACGGTAAGAGGCATGTAGGCGGTTCGTGCTGGAAATACCAGAGAGAGGTGTAACCGATTAATGGTGGATGATGGGAAGAGAAAGTCTGAGCTCGAAGAAGGTCTAGTTAGCCGAGTCTAAACCGCGCCTCTGCCAAGATAAGAGTTAAACAACTCACAGCCTATCATAGTACACACAGGTCATCCCACGCCAAGTCCTAATGGAGTAAAAGAAAGAGGGGACTATCGACCAAAATACCTCCGCCGGAAGTAGCAAACTCGCCTTCTCCGTTGATGACGACAACTGCGACCTAGGAGGTGGGGAGAAGAGCGGGGGCGATCAGCGAATTGATGAGACAACAGCTGTTCTTAATTCAATGACTTCAACTCATATGAAGGCTCAGATTTTGACAAGCATAGAAGGACTCTGCAGTCAAAAGAGGGAAATCTGAACTGACAGACCGAAGATGATAGCGGACATCCCTGCTGCATTCGGGGTGAAGCCAAGCCCAATCCGGAAATCTGTTATACGCCACCTGTAGGGCGGGCTTGGTGCCTGAGGCAAGTTTCAGATGTCAACAAACGAGTTGATGTGTTCGTATTCGTTTGGAATGAAATGAATGGTTCATGTTCCAGGCAGTTGAAAGAAATCATGAGAGGGCTTCTCTGCAATGAACTCGTACGGTCTGGATGATGGAAGTATATCCCGTATTCACCGAGAGACATGAGAAAAAAGAAGCATGCAGATCATTCGGCAAGGTCGATTGGCGTATCATCTTAAAAATAGCGTCGGAAGAAGATTCAGACTATACTCTGAATTCTAGTGAAAGATCATAAAATGAACAAATCTCGGCATCGGTTGCCGCCAACGTCGGACACCTCACCCGAGATCCATATGAGTCAAAAGAGATAATCAAACCCCTCAACTCAGAGCCTAATTGACCTTCTCTATCGTTTGGCATCTAGAACATCATGGCTTCAGGACAGACTCTCGGATTCATCGGGTGTGGTAAGACAACACACCCACCCATCAATAGTAAACCACTACTAACAAACTCTCCTAGGTTATATGGGAGGCGCCGTCCTACAGGGCCTCCTAAACAGCGCATTCTCAACCAAATCCGCTGAAACCACACCGAAGCCAATACTCCACTTCATCGCGTGCACAAAGACAGCCAAATCCGCAGCCCGCCTACAGACCACAATCGCACCGGAACACAAAGAACTCATTAAAATCGTCTCCGACCGAACCGTCCAAACAATGCAAGAATCTCATATTATAATCCTCAGCTGCAAGCCCTTCATGGCAGAAGCCGTATTCTAAGCGAAGAAGGCGTCCGCAATGCCCTGTCCGGCAAACTCGTCATCAGCATGCTGGCAGGTCCGTCATGCTCAATCCTCACCCACCTCATCAATCCAGATCCCGACGCCGCAGATCAACCGCATCTCATGAAAGCTATCCCAAACATGGGTGCGCAGTTTGGGCAGTCGATGACAATCATTGAGACTCCCGCATCGACGATCCCGGACTCCCATGGTTGCGGCTCCGGAGTGGATTTTCAAACATGTTGGCGCGGTGAAGTACCTAGATTCTGAACAAATTGGACTAGCAACTGTGCTTGTAGGGGCTACGATGGCGACGTTAACGCTGCCGATTGAGGGGTTGTTGGATGTGTTGCCGAGGGATTTAAGCGGGCGGATGCGATGGAGATGGGTTTGCAGGGGATTCGCGGGTTATCGGCTGTTTTGGAGTCTGGGCAGCATCCTGCGCTTGTTAGGGAGAGTATTTCTTCGCCGAGGGGGTGTACTATTCAGACGCTATTAAGTCTTGAGAAGGCGGGACGAGGTCGGATTTTGCGGAGGCTATTGTTCGGGGGAATACGCATTTGAAGGAGAAGATGTAGATGCAGATACTAGATCAAGAGGGGGATACGGGCTAGGCTTAAAACACAGTCAGTGTATGTATGTGTGAAGATTTCCATGTAGATATATAACAAAAACAACCCAATTAAATTCATTTCCCATCCTGAACTATCATCCCCAGAGATCATCATCATCCTTGACCAAATCATCTTCGTTCAAGACTTGTAATCCATTCCCCCGCTCCTCCCGCTTCCGTTGTCGCTTTGTCACTATGCGCCCGGGGGTAAAGGGTGTGACAGGAGTGAACGGCATGTACGGACTATACGGCGTAGCCATGCCTGTAACTATACCCGCCCTGCTCTTCATTGGCCGTTCCAAGATAGTGGTCTTGGTAGCCGGGGCACTTTGCGGTGGGTACGCCTCGCGGAAAGGTAGGTTAGATGGGACAGAGGAAGAAGGCGAGGAAGTTGACAAGGTTAGAGGCGCCGGTGGACGGGCACGCCCCGGAGCGGGCCTGATTGCCTCGCTCGCCCGCAGTCGCGGCACCACTGGAGGAGGACCGGGGTTATAGATCCGCGGGGAAAGAGGCGGGTTTTCGGGTATATAAGCCTGGGGGGTAACCACTACTGGCGAGGCTAGTGGAGAGGAGATGGGCATTTTGCGGATAGCCAGACGCGGCGAGCGCACTTTGCTCGGGTCTGGATTAGCCCGGGAGCCCGAGTTGAAGAGCTTGGATAAGCGGGAGCTGTTGAAACCCTTGGTGGGGGACTTCAATGGTGCCAGTGAGTTGTCTGAGACGTGAGAGCCACGGTCAGTGAATGGATTTGTGAGTTGACTGTCCGGTGATTGTGCTTGGAGGTCTGGTTCACGGACAGACAGATCAACCCCGGAAGCCTTCTGGGCATCATGTTCCATAACTGCCGCATAGAGCATCTCCATATCATGCTGGGCACGTTCTCGGTCGTTCGCAACAATGGACTCGTCGATAGTCACCATGCTGCCGTTCATGGATGGTTGGGAGGGCCTGGTACTCCTGTTGAATGATCCCCAGGACTTGAATCCACTGGACTTCGGACTGGGGAGATTGTGTGACATTGGAGAGACTGGGCTAGGATCCATGCTGACAGGAGGTCTAGCAGGCTTCAGAATTTCCATGTGCAGTGAATAGTTGGAGGATTGAACCGTCCGACGCAGGCGACGTCCAACGAAGATCAGAAGAGCTAGGAGGACAGCGACAAAGATCAAATAGGCTCCCACAATGCTTCCAATTTGGATTGCTAACAACTGTTTATCCACTGTGGGGGGTGCAGCCGACTTAGATTCACGTTGGGTGTTCTGGGCTTGAACCGGAGCACTATGTGCACTCAAGAGAGTGAAAAGGACCGACAAAAAGAAGACTACCGGGGCAGTCATTTCCGGCGCCTAAGTTAAGAAAGAGATAGGAGAAAAAAATTCATCATTCAAAAGTAGGTCTGGTCATTGATCGACATTTCGAAACGTCGAATCTCCCACGAGGATTGGGGGTGATACATGTTCCAAAGGTGACGGTGGCGGCAGGGGGAGGGGTCACGTATAAAAAAAGCAAGCGTAGAATGTGATGAAGTGAAGAGAAAGTCAAATGCAGGACACTATATTCTCATTAGCCTGTCGTTGGTCACAAATACGCGCCCTTATGCACGATCGTCACTTGGCAGTGACCATTCACAGGGGAGAACCCTAACTCCCCGCCAAAGGTCGTTTGGACCTATTTTAGAACATTTTCAACTTGTGGTTTGGGTGTGGAGTAGATATTGCATGAGCATCGTCCCAAATACACTTCAATAGTTCTTAAAAAATTTTCTGTAGTACAGTCTCATTTGAATGTAAAAGCCTAGTATAGCCCAAGTGTAGCCATGGTGAATATCAGTTCATGTCAGATACTCCGTATAATGACGAGCACCTCTGAGAGGGGAGATTATGAGGGTCCTAAATATGAGTGACCCCATTCCAAATCGTGATTTACCAGATATGATACAATGTTGTGAGGCATTTCTTAGTCGAAAGAAGATGTCTTGTCCGCTGCATCCTATTTTCAAACCAGATGAGAGCAAATCCTTCCTGTTAAGCTCGGAGAGGAGACGCAAATCGCTGAGGTCGATGTATCAAGTCGAGAAGATACGTCTCTCTCGTTACAAAAGAAACACCCCAAAGCACCTTCCCTCATTTGCTCCTTCCAACTGATAATCCAGGATCACCTGCCCAGGTGGTCAACCGGGCAAGATTCCCGGTTAACTCATCATCACCACTCACCACTGTCTACCTTGTACAGTATCGTTTGAATTAGAAAGCATTCCTCGCTTGTAAGATCACAAAGCACATCAACCAATTTGTCCAAAAGGCCCAGATGGGCAACAAGATCTCCGCGGTACACGGCGTGAAGTCAGACCATTTCTACGACCAAGGAAACGCCGTCAACGAGATATGGGTGGGCGACGTTGAAGTCATTTCGCGTTTACCCTTCGGCGATTCCGACCTTGAGCAGGCCGGCTGGCCTAAGGGAGACTTCCCAAAGATCCCGTGGCATCATTTCATTATCCCAATGCAAAAGCGAGACGAAGCCAGCAACATGACTGCCAGTGTCCCCTCATGCGCTAAGACGATTACTTGTGATACTTGCCAAGACTGGCTACCAAAGCATGGGTACCTGGGCATGTACACGAGCATCTCCTCATCTGCTGCGTATTTCATCGGGGCGTTGTTCCTTATCGTCGCTTTCGGCACGTACCTGTATTTTATGTCGGGTGTCGTCACTTCTTTTTTCAATTGGCAATATCTACGGGAGGCGTCACATCTTTACCCAGATCCAGCCGCGATCAGGCGTATGGCTAAGCACAACCTTTGGGTTGACCTCGGCGAACTATTCATAGTGGGTGCTCTTTCTATCCTCTGTTTGGTGCTGGGCGTGCCTGCTGTCGCTGCTGGCACAAGCAAAATGAATGCTGCCGCATTCGTTTTGATGAATGGGCTTGCGAGTGGTATTGTTGGTGTCACCGGCCTCTTCGTGATCCCATTTGCCTTGCTGTGGTGGACAAAAAAGCCACGCAACGTGAATCCCATCGCTTCGTGAGACCTGAAGGGCCAAGTGGTGGTGTCGAGAAGATCGTCTTTGCCTGGTTTCTTTCGAGGGCTATTACTCGTCATTTCTTATGTCAGATCATTGTTGTATTATTATCACCGATGTGGCCCCACACAGGATGAACAAAATGAAAGAGTGGAGAGTTCTGTGTTGTCCTTGGTCGCCTTCAAGATTTAGTAAATAAATCACGCCACAGCTCTTTCATACCATATCCCTTTGACTGGTCTTCTTCGTGAACCCGTACAGACTGCGCCATGCCCAGTGACCCAAACTTGCTAGAGGAAACCGGCGGAACGATTGATGAAGGGCGTGCACGCTCTGTTGCTCGGCGTTTAATTTCCTCTGCCAGCTCAGGCGCTACCGCGGCATAGCATGCGTTGAGCTCTCGGTCAAGATTGATATATGGCTTGTGGGCGGAGGCTGGAGCTTGAAGGTTGTATGAACGTGCAAGAGTGTTGATTTGTTTCACGGCTAGTTCGTGATAAGAACGCTCGATTGCGAGGTAGCCGGGGTCTCGCAATGGTGGGAGATAACTTAGATCATCCGCGGCTTTCTCGCTGTCATTCTTAATTGCAGGTAATTGGGGTGGCTCCGACTTGGGGACTACCTGGCCATCACTGTTGATCTCCGAGACGGATGTATCTTCCGTAAATGAAGTCTCGAATTTTGCTTTGTCTGCCAAACGAGTCTCGGCGGCAGCATAGGCTTTTGCCCGTTTCATTTGTATGTCCAGAGACCCACCCTTGCTCGCAATCAACATTGCAGCATGTCTCCGCCAGTCCGCGCGGAGACGTTCGCGGAATCGATTGAGTTCCACGCCAAGCTGTTGTTGCTTCTCGATCCACGGCGGCACAATTTCCTGCTGCTGAATGATCTTATTCATAAAATATTCAGTTGTATCAATGAATGCGCTGTTCGCATTGTGATCCGTTTTTGTGTTTACGCCTTTGCCGCGGCGTATGTTTTTGAATTGTCCACGCGCAATCGCATCTTCGATTCGCTCATTTGCCAGGGATGAAAGACCAGAGATCGAGATTGGCATGGAGTGCGCCCCAGGTGTCAACTGCTCCCTCATCTTACGGCGCAGATTTTCGCGCTCCTCTTCGGAAACTCCAGGAGCTTGACTTAATGTGTATGAAGAAGTACGCTCCTTCGCTTCGGCAAGTCGTTCTCCACGAGACTTTTTGGGCTTGGGAGTAAGTTTGAGGTTCACGGGATCGGGGATTTTATAGGGCATTCGGATTGGTTTGCTCGCGTCATCTAGCATACGTAGTGTCGTGTCCTCAAGGCGCTCTGTTCCTGTCCATTTAGGAGCGGCAGCATTCTCTCGTGTGCCCTGTCCTGCGGCAGACTGCGACAAGGGAATGCGGGTTAGTGGTTGTAGGACAGTAGGGCATGACAAGGATCACATACGGGCATTTCGACTATGGAATGAGCAGCAGCATACTCACTCCTGAACGAGGAAGCAGCAATGCGCTCTGCGAGCTGATTTTTCAGTTCTTCTGAGAACCCTGCTTGCTCGATGTTGCGTTGCGCAGACCGTCCACCTTCTAGCATCGCATCTTCAGTCATCTGAGCCAGACGGCGTCCCATCGGACTCTCTTTTTCTTCTTGATTTGGTCCATCGTTGCCATCTTTATCCTCCGTCTTGGACGTAGACGAGGGCGATGTTTGATTCAGGTGGAATGCTGCGGAGAACCGCCTCGATGCGGGAGCTATCGGGGCTCCAAACGTGCATGTTGAAATAACACCACGAAGTTGTGTTGACAACTTGTATCTTCCAGGCATACTCAATAGTTTCGCGTTAGATTTAACGAGCTTGCGATATCAAAAAGGACGTACAGGACTTGTCCGGACGGTGGCAAGCCTTCGAGGTAGACAAAGAGGGCCGGGGGCGCGACTAAGATTAGTCATCCACCTCCGCGGAGTCGAAACTTCGGATTTTGTTTGTCGAAGATCCCTCGCCGGCGCCAGTAACCTCATCGTTAATCCCGCACACGGTCGTTTCAAGGCCTTTCGCCTTTTCTCGCTCCAATTGATACCTCTGTTGCCAGATTTAGGAACCGGATAATTGCCCATCATGGCACCCAAAGGCTCCCTCTCCACCCGGCTGAACCCGATGCGTCTCAACACCATCAACCACCTCCGTGTTCGCCGGCCGAATCAAAATGAGCAGAACCCCTGCGTGGTGGTGATGTCTTCGATGCTTAGTACGTATATTCTTTTATCGTGGCGACATTGACGCTGTTTATCTTCCCTCGCCCTGGCTTCGCTTTCTAGATGTCGGGTTTCTTGCATCTTGAAGTCTTGAGTGTGTTACTGACAACATTACGTTGCAAACAGACTGCTGGGCTTCCGCTGGATATGGCGCAGAGGGCTGTGCTGCTCTTGAGGCTCAATTGCGGAAGTGCATGGATGCACCGGTACGTTATAAACCACACTTGTTGTTTTCAAATGGCGTCGACATTTCTCTAACGAGCTACCCCCGCATATAGAAATCCCGGGAGCAGAAAAAGAACACAGTCAACTACCACCTCATGAGAATGTATCCCAAGGTTGTTGGGCCCCGGAAGAAGGATGGTGTTCTCGGTTAAAATGTTCATTGCACGACTGGATTGTTCGCAATTGTCTGTCCGGACTTAGCAGCACAAGCGAGTTGTCCTGGAGTTTGGGGTTTCTTTTTAATCCATTATTACGCGAATACTCGGGCCATTATCAGGGTCTGCTGATTTGGTTCACTTATTTTGCATCAGAAGTAAGGGAGTTGGCTTTTACTCATATGTACAGTATACAAATATGTGGGACATGGAGTTACTTGTCATGTCAACTGCTGAACTCTTCTTTCATTATATGCTCATGCATTAATAGATACCCCACGTAACAAGGAGACGGTGAATGGGAGACCAGAAATGCGAATGGTTTGCTTTCATTCAGTTTCTGTATCGAAAGTTTTCAAAGAAATTCAACTCGGAACAATCTGCCTGGAGCTTAGAGGGCCGGTTCCAACAGGCACAGTAGGCCTATCCCCACGCTTTGTCAACCAAGCTGAAAAAACCTTGACATTTTTTTCCAAACATCGTCAATGTTGGATAGACAGACAATTGCAAAGCGCAGTTCGGCTTGTATACAAACTCCATAACTACATCGAGCTTGGGAATCCCTAGTCGACCGACTTCAAGACCAGCGTTCTGCTGACTCGGCATCCCGAGCCTCACCGATAGACCTACCCACAGCGGAAGACCCCAATCCTCCCAGATTGGCTAATCCATCGGCCAAGCTTACACAAGCAACTGCCAATTTCTCAAAGCTAGCACTTCTACCGTGCCAGTTGGCTGACCTCCTTCTTAGTTAGAGCCATCAAAGCCTATTGGCAGGAAGCTGCCCGCAAAGAACTCTTCTCAAACCGCTCTGGCTAAGTTGGCCCTACCTCCACGGGACACAGTTCCTGCTTCCCCTACTAAGCAAGCTCCCCGCACAGTCTAAATCCGCACCGTCACCTGATCCAAGCTCTAACGTTGAGCAAGCTTGGAGAGTTTCAAGCGAGTCTTTGCCGCTGTCAGATTCAGCTGAAGCTACTGTTTCACCACAACCCAGTCTTGTCCAATTTGTGGTTGGTGACGAGACAGAGCAACAGGCAGACGCAGGGGACTACCAAGGTTGTGACTACTATGGTTCAGCCCAATGTTCCTGTTCGCGCTCAGCAAAGCACATGAGCGAAAACAAATGCCAGAACCAACACCACACCTAACACAAAAGCAAAACCTGCTCTCAAAAGGCTTGTACATATTCTATTCCTACCCACTGCCCCCAATTTTTCTTCAACAAGCTCCAGCCCCAATGCACCAAAGAGGTCCATACCGATGACCATCTACACAATGTCCTCGCGCTCACAGCTTGAATTTTCGTCCATGGATTACCTAACTCGTCCGCCGAAAGAGTGGTAGGAATACAGTCTGGAGCTGGGTGTGAATACGGGTCCGGAGGCTTCACCACGCTGGAACGCCTAGGTGTTCAATTTGGCTGGACATGAGCGCCCGGATGACGATGACTTTGCTAGTACTTCTTAGCTGAGGAATCAGCGCGCAGTTGCAGATCTTTGGTCTTGCATCGTGGCTACTGTGACGCATGCGGGTTGTAACTGTAGAGGGAAGTCTTTGGAGGAGTCAGGATGAGCAAGTTATGAAGTGTGGCAATTCTATTTTTGCATGTTATGGTGCTTTTGATAGACACTGATCGGGCTAAAAGAATTTTGTTTATATTGGTAGTTTACGTCTCTTTCCCACTTCACGGAGGATTGCAAAAACTTCAAGGGTTCGTCGATAACGGGTCCCAAACTTTGAATTGATGTATGCTAATGAGCAAAGGAAAGCAAATCTTGGGTCCAACAACCTTGTCCATAGCTCCGTGTACGCCGTGCTGAGTGAAATTGGTAAAATATGATGCGGGATATGAGAGCCCTATCTCTCCATATTCATCCATTGCAACGAACCTGAGTTGTACTGCAGTAATTGCAGCAACAAAAAGATAGCGATTCTCCCTCCAGCAAAGCGACATCCAAGACAAAAAGCCCAGTCTCGGGGGTCGTGTGTGGGTTTGGTGGCAAATTTTCTGATTAGATGCTGACGGTAGCCTGATATTATGGACTAGCCAATACGAGAGTGCCGCAGAAGAGTCGTCGTCGTTTAGTCCTCAAACTTGAAAGAGGTGGTGCAGGGGGCGATGTCGATGGGACCACCGCGGTAGGAACCACGCTTCTTCTTGTTCTTTTCTTTGGTAAAGCCCTTGCCACGAGTCACAGACAGGTCCTTCCAGGCGCGTTCCGCGTAGGCATACGAAATGTAGTCGTTCGAGGGGTGGTTATGAGGCAACTCGCTCAGGAGAGCCAGAGGGGTGGGGCGAGCTCCGGTGTGCTTCTTCTTGGCAGGTCCGTTGCCAGGAGCGGGGCTGGCGCTTGAGGAGGTGGTCAGCACGGCCTCCACAGCCTTCATAGTGGGCTTAGTCTCGGTCTCCGGGGAAGGAGCGAGGGTGTTGCTGCCGGATGAGGAAGATTCGGAGTCAGAAGAGGAGTCGGACTCGGGAAGAGGAGTCTTCTTTGCCTTCTTCAGGGCCTTCTTAGATTCCTTCTCAGACTCGGACTCGGACTCAGAGGAAGAGTCGGAGGAAGAGGAGTCGGAAGAGTCGGAAGAGTCGGAAGAAGAGTCAGACGAGGAATCAGAGGAATCAGAAGAAGAAGAGCTCGACGAGGAATCAGAGTCAGAGCTGGAAGAATCCGAAGACGAGGATGAAGATTCGGATGAAGAGGAAGAGGAAGATGCATCCTTCGGGGTTGGGGAGGTCTTGGCCTTCTTAGCCTTAGGGCTGTCATCTTCGGAGGAAGAGGAAGAGGAGTCGGAGGAGCTGCTAGACTCGCCACTAGATTCGGCCTTGCGCTTCACACCGGCAGACTTTTTGGCCGCGACGGGGGCGGGGGTGGGAGCCGCAGGGGGCTTATCGTCATCCTCATCATCCGCATCGCTGTCGGAGCTGGAAGAGGAAGACGAAGAGGAGGAGGAGGAGCGAGTGGCGTCGCCCATCTCAACATCCGAGTCGCTATCGGAGCTGCTGCTTGAGCTGGAAGAAGAACTGGGGCTAGTAGACTTCTTCACGCCAGATGCCTGCTCTGAAGCTTGGAAGAGTTCCAAGAGAGAGGGGACATTCTTCGCATCGCTCGTCTTGCCCGACTTTGCTTCCTTGGTGAAGGCGGCGCTAGTCTCTGGGAAATTCTCCGACAAGAAAGCCGCGACTGAGGCGATCATTTGAGGGGGGATGGACTTTGTGGTCTTGGAAGACTCGGTCTGATTAGGGCATGTCAGTTTGGTCCTCACTCTGGTCTATCTGTAGATCATGCCAATTCGACATGTCAATTGAAAATAGATGAAGCGTACCTTCTTAACCGAGGTCTTCTTGCTGGAAACCTTTGCCATAGTGACTGAGAGGTTTGTTTCGACGATAGCGAAAGGAAGAGAACCCGGGGCAAGGAGAGACTAATTAGAAATAATCTGCCAGGAACCAAAAAAAAAGAGAGAGGAAGAAAAATGTATATAAAAGGCGGTAGGCCAATTTGCTACGGTGATTGGCGGATGTTGATGAGAGTTGATTAGTGGAGAGAGGCGGTGATTGGCACGCGGCTCTTCCGGCACTATTAACACTTTGTCGCCCGATTGGTTAGAAACTCTCACCGCCCCATCCTGCTCAAACTGGATCCTCAAGTCTCCACCCTTGGCCTACTTCATCTTTACAACATATTGTCCCACCACACATGTGCCTTTTCATTCATTTAAGTGTTTGTCTAGCTTTCAGTTCTAAACCAAGAAGCGAAGCAAAATATCAGCCGATTATTGAAGTGATACTCACACACGAGGTATTCGGGATCAAACTTGCGTCGGTTTAACTCAGAGCTTCTCTATTTGAATGCAGATCACATGCTTATTTTCGAAGTCAACTATCCATCCATACAACATTCATCCCGATGCCATATATCTCCAGCACTTTTGAGGCTCCATGCAACAAAGTTTAGGCTGGATTACAGTCCAGTCATACATTATTATTCAGCCAGTCTTGCAATTTCTCCAGAGCTTTGCATCTCTCAGAAACCGTATTCTGTTTGTTTGAATTAGTTGCCAGTGGATTCACAAGGTGCTTATATGAATGAACTTACCTTGTATTCAAAACTCATTTCTGCATAGGTCTGGCCGTTGACCTCAAAGATGGGGTCACAAGCTGAAATAATATCAAAAACTAGTCTTCCCAGAGATCTGCTATAGGCGATTGAGAAACATACCAAATCCACCATCTCCCCTTTTATCGACAATCTTGCCTTCAGTACATGCCTGGAAAAGCTCAGGCTCAGATCCTGGGCCGGCGGAGAAGGCGAATGTGCACACGGCCGTGGCTGCTTTGTCGTCGTAAGCTGCAAGTAGTTTGCATAGGCCATCATTGCCTAAAGCAGAGTAGAAACATTTTCTGGGAGGTTATTAGAGAATGTGAATAACAAAAAAAAAAAGATCGGGCATACATATAGGGCCCAGGTAGCCCTTTGAGTGCCCTGAATTCAAGGGCACTATCCTCTGTCAAGACAGGGCCGTTGACCTTTAGAACAAACTATATTTAGCTTGACGAAGCCCTGGTAGCAGAAAAAGTTTCAAATTGACACACTGCTATAGCTGCTTTTCGACACTTGTCTCGTGCGATTTCTTCAATAGAGCCCTGGATTTCAGTGATCTCTATGCTTTGATTTGAAAGCTGCACCGAATCACCCAGGATGGCTCTCGCCTCGACAAGCTTGTTCTTATTCCCAGTGATGAAATTGATCGTGGTAGAGGACATGATGGGTCAGAAGAAGCGAAGGCAGTTGATATGATGAATGTAGTGATTGAAGATATGGTAGCACATTAACAGCTTCTCCCCTAAACAGCTTTCAGGCACCAGAGCTGGAGCTTGGACCTGGATGGATGACTAATTTTGTGCTGGCAATTACCTAGGTGAAAGCCAATAGGATCAAAGTCAAGGATGTCGCTATGCACTGCAATGATTCCTCACTATGCCAATATACCAAAAATGAAGCCATATGGTGGTACCTCAATTGGCAATTGTCACTACGCAGAATTTAACATTAACTTCTGACATTCCGCACGTTCGCTTACAGCAACCGCGGATCAATGCAATACTCCGCTCCAAGCTCTCCGCCTTCCAACCTTAGGCTCCGCCGAGACACGTTGATGAGCTAGTTCGAACTTCAGCGCTGGCCACTTGAGTTACTTTGGGACACAACCTATACTGCTTAATATTTTGTCACATTCTGCCGGCTAGCAAACGCATTGTCTCCCCACGGATTTCAATTTTCTTCCGCGCGTGGTGCGTAGTGGCGTCACCCAATCCCGACTCTCCCGACCATGTCCCCTTGATCTCGCGACTACCCACACCTGAGCTCTGCTTCCCCCGATACCATAATGAATAGCAGAGACCGTCCTCGCGGGCCTCCGCCAGGGCTACTCCCAAATCGTGGAGATCCGCAGTCTGATTCAGGCTCCAGCCCAAGCAAAATGACAAGAGGGGCCGCTTTTGAGGATGAGAAGAAGCGTATCATTCATAGCTGTTTCGCAAAAAAGGATGAAGATGGTCTCTGTACGTACACGATCAACGTGCTTCCTCGGCTTTGCTCTCCTACCCGAGCTTAGTCAATAATTTTGTGCTTTACAACACGTTGCGAAAGTGACCTACGGGGCCCAGACGGGATCGCAACGCGTTTGCTCCGTTGACATGTCATTTTGTCCGCGTACTCTGCTAACCTATCTTTTTGCTGCCAGTGCTTGAATCCTATATAACCCACGTCCGCATTACCGAGGATTCAGCGCACCCCTCCAGCCCTTTCCCACCGAACGGGTCACCGGAGAATAAGAAACCCCGCATCATCATCATATCCGTTCGAAAGTCAGGTAGAGTCCGCATACACAAGGCTCGAGAGAACAATGAGGGGACTTTCTCTATCGGCAAAACTTGGATGCTCGATGATTTAAGCGCAATTCAATCATTCGCCTCTTTTGTGCCGAGAACAACTGTGGAGCAGCAACAAAAAGAATGGGCAGGCAATGTAGGAATCACGGTCACTATTGGAAAGCCATACTATTGGCATGCCAGGACTTCCAAGGAAAAGGAGTTCTTCGTTGGGAGCTTGGTCAAGATCTACCGGAAGTACACTAATGGAAAAATCCCTAACCTCGTTGGTTTTGATGACAAGGAGCGACAAATGCTGGCAAGGCATGGACAATCTGCGCAACCAGCACAGCCGGCGCAACCAGCGCAACCAGGCGGTTCCTCAATCGCTCCACCGTCAAGGAAACCCCCTCCAATTCCTTCAACATCGGACAGCCCGGTGCCTGCTTCGCTACAGCCGTCCTACAGAGGTCGTGATGCCAGTCGCGATGCGCCTCGGGAAGTCAAAAGGAAGCCTTCCGATGACCCCACACTTCGCACTCAAAAGAGCCATGAGCAGATACCTCGGCCGTCGACCAGTTCTCGGCCGTCTACAGGACAAGGCAGGCCGGCGCCGTCCCCCTTTGATCTACATAAATCCCCTTCTCCGTCGCTCCTTTCTGGGTCATCTCTGGACCAACAACCGCCGCCACGTGCAGCCGAGCGTAGCGCAGCAAATACAAAACCCCCGAGCTCACCATCCGAGCCGAGGGGAACGGATAATCTGACTGTTGCAACACAAGCCAGCAGCTATGCTGGTATTCCAGAGTCACTTCGCCCATCTTCTGCCCCCAGACCACCACCTCTTGCTACCCAGCCAGTTCAGAATAAGGCTCCAGAATTCATGCTCGGCAATGATGCACTTCGTCCTACAACTTCTGGTTCTTTCAACAACGACAGTAGGGACGCATCCCAACGTCCCACACCCAGCTTTGGGCCAAAGTCGCCCCACCGTGGTGGCGGGGAGAGGATATTCACATTTAATCACCCCTCTCTTCCTCTAGAGAAAAGTGCATCAGATAGCTTGTTAGCTGGAACTTCCGCACTGCCCCGAGAACCGTCTTCATCACCGGCAATTGAGGGACTGGCTTCTGAGCCTGCTGCCATTATGGCTGCTAACATGCCCTCTCCAGAGCCTATTCAGCCTTCCAATGAAAAGCCCAAGACTCCTATCGAAATTGTTCCTGCCACGGACTCGCCATCTAAATCTTCCCCGGAGCAGGATGAAGAAGCCGGTGAATTTGAGCCGCATCGCCCGGGGCTCGGCCCTATGGTCAAGAAAAAGGAAGGCAAGGATATTGCAGGCGCCTGGAAAAAGGCTGCAAATGCTTATGCCGGTTTCAAGCCCAGGGCTGGTGGGGCTGGTGAGCGACTGCTGGCAGCCGCGAAGAAGTCACAGGCCGAGCTCGCGGGCCCTGATGGCATCACCAGCGTTGTTCCGGCGCCTTCCCTTTCCCGGTCGCTGACTGACCCCCCGCCGAGTCCAATGATAACAAATTCGGAACAAGAACTACAACTCCCCGCGCCCGCTGCAGAGCCGGAGACACCAACTGTCGAAATTACAGAGCCAGCACCCGAGGAGATCGCGGTTGCCCCTGTCCAAACTCCCGAGGTCTCACCGGAGAACCTCTCTAATGTTGTTATAAAAGTTGAAGATCACTCAAGATCGCCATCCCCAGCAACTCAAGGACGTCGTCGCAGACGCCGTGAAGACCACACTATCAAATATTGTCAAGCCCTTAAGATCGATCCCAGCATCCTTGACGGACGTGGTATTGCATTTGACGAAATTCTCACTGATTTGGGCTGGAACGGACGGTTGGCCGATGAACAGAAGATTGAGGATTTGGAAGCAGATGTTCGCCGTGAGATTGGCCGTGTCGAGGCCACCAGTTGGCTTGGCAATCTTGAACAACAGGAAGGAAAAGTGGAACAACTTGCGAGCTTGATCGATAGAACGATTGAGGAGTGTGATGAGCTAGATGGTCTTTTAACCCTTTACTCTCATGAACTGAACGTGAGTTTAGAAACAACGAAAACAAAATCGGGAATGATCTTCAGTCGGCTAACGAGACTACATCACAGACTCTTCACGAGGATGTCGCCTATATTGAAGCTCAAGGTCAAGGTTTGCAGGTGCACACAGCAAATCAGAAGCTCCTGCAAAACGAGCTGCAAACTCTTTTAAAGACACTTTCAATCTCTTCATCTGATCTCGGACCGCTTAAAGAGGCCTCCTTGAGCAACCCTGATGGATTGAGGGATACTGAAAGTGCTCTAGCTACTTTGTATAAAGCCATGCTCACGATAGACTCTGACATTGGGCAAAACAAGAAGCGTCAAGTCGATGCAAGTGTCGGTGTCTATGCTGATACAGAAATTGGCCAGATGCGTGCGATCAAGCAAAAGAAGGAAGAGTATCGCTCCACTGCAACCATGTTCCTCAACCGACTGCAGCAGTTCATGGCCCTTGCCTTCAAAATGGCAGAACAAAAACGCGTCGATTGGACCAATGCCGGAACCAAGGATGCGATGAAACTAGACTATGCTGCGCGAGGACACTTCCGTCAAGAGGTCTGGCGGTATCATCCCCTGATGGTATTTGCTAAGGAGATTAGTATGGCAGAGTGGCGTAGCCTTGTCAGCCTCTATGAGCAGCAGTCCAAGCCTTCGTACCAGGGCGACTTCCGCGAGAATAATCTGGCTTGGAAGAATACTGCGCACAAACCAACGGGAGATGAGCAGGAACTCCTCTTCACACACCAAGAGAAGGAGAAAGAGACCGAAGGTCTTACCATGGCTGCACGGAAACTGACTGTGCGACGAGGCAAGACGGTGCGGGCCGCCGCTGGGCTTCGACTGGCTTCGGGCGGTGGGAAGAAGCAAGGAAAGGCTGAGCCATATGAAGCATTTGTTGGGACCATGCGGGAGACACTGAACATGATGGCTCAGGAGCAGAACTTCATCATCCAGTTCTTCCATCTCAATTCTCTTGCCAGCGCCGATTTCCCCGACCTGGTGTCAGCGACCATTCCCGAAAATCGCTCTTGTCCCGATTTCTCTGCCAACCAGCCGCATGATCCTGATCGGGGAATTGCAAAGAGAGTCGAGCAGATCATGGATGAAGTGTACTCATTCTGGCCGAATGACATGCAGAGCATGGTGGACTGGGCGATGCAGGCTGATCCTCTGCAAGGAATTGGTATTCTCTATGCCTTGGAGACCGCCATGAATGACTTTGATGACACGAATCAAGAGTTTATTCTTCATGCACTGCAGAAAATTCATTCCCGCGTGATGGGACTGTTCAACCGATTTGTAGATGAGCAAATCCGAGGCATTGAAGACACCAAGGTGAAGGTAAACAAGCGGAAGGGAGTCATTTCCTTTATGCGGGTGTTCCCGAACTTCGCCAATGCGGTGGAAAGCATGCTATCATCCTCGTCCGGGTCCTTCTGTGACATTCGCGTTAGTGTCAATGGCGCGTACGACCGCATCAACCGTGCGATGTGGGAATCACTCAAGTTCATTGCCAAGGAAGCACCCGGTCAACCTCCAGGTGTCACTGCGGGTGCGGGAGATCCGGAAGACAAGGAGATCCTAAATTACCACATTCTCCTCATCGAGAACATGAACCACTACATCGAGGAAGTCGATGTACACAACATCCCCGCAGTTAAACGCTGGACTGATCGGGCCCACCAAGACTTCCAGGAGCACATGAAGCTCTACCTCGACGCCGTTATTCACCGCCCACTCGGCAAACTCATTGATTTCGTCCAATCAATTGAAAACCTCCTTGCTGCGGGCGGTAACCCGACCGATATTGTAGCCCGCGCCAGCCACTCCCGCATAGTGGCTAAAAAGGTAATCGCTTCCTATGACAATCGGGAAATCCGCCGTGGCATCGAAATGCTCAAGAAGCGTGTTGAGAAGCACTTTGGTGATGCCGATGACCCTGGTCTCAGTCGCAGTCTTGTTCTCAAGGTGCTCCGGGAGTGCGAGAATCGGTATGAGAATACCTATGACCGCTCCCGGAAGATCATTGAAGATGTCTATGAGGGTCAATTGGATCTGGACTGGCGCAAGGAAGAGACCCTTAGCATGTTCCGGAAATGAAATGTACTTCCTACTAACATTTAATTCTATTCCCCTTTGTTTTATTTCTGCTTTTTTTTCTCTTACTCTTGTTAGATCTCTCTCTTTTTTTTTATAATGTGTGTGAAGGCGGTACCAAGCCACTTTTTCCTCTATAATCTTTGACTTTGTAAAGCTCAGATTCCCTCTTCAGGGAAGTCTCCCAAACTGTCCGAGAACCCTTGGACTTTGGGATGCTTTGGTGCAACTGAGAACCGTAAGGTCTAGGTGCACGGTGAAACGTGAGCAGGGAGGTGAACTATTCAAGCAAAAAGCCCACCTAGGGATAAGACTACGAAACAATCACAAGCCCGATCTCGTCCTTTTATATCTTCTCGACTCAACTTGGATTTTCAATCTCACCACTGTCAGGAAACCATTTTGCCTCTGGGTTTAAAGAAATAAGGCACCGCCATCCCAACGATATAAGCTGAACTTCTGCCCTCGAGTTTCCTCTAAGTTCATCAACCCATTTCTTCTCGCTTGTAATGGAATCCAGGCCTCACACAATTGAGTAACAGTCACAGCCTCGACCAACCCCCCTCTTCGAGCGTAGTCGTGAACTAGCTCCTTGCGAAACTTGAAGGGAGCATCAAAAGAGGTAGAAGCCCTGCTCAGTCTCGCTATTCTCATGTTGAAGGGCTGGAAGTTTGGTCCCCGTACGGACATCGCTGTGTCTTTTGATCTGTGTTGAGTTCTTGAGATCTCTACTTCCACAGAGTCATCTTGCTTAATTTTAGAAGAAGATAGTAATCATGATACTCACCTAGATCTCGGTATCAAACTGGAGCGTGCCGCCATCTTTGTGTAAATTTGTATTCTCTCCACCTGTCTGTCTATCTGTTCCGTTCGTAAGGCTTCAGCATCCCATTGCTTTCGAGCCTCCGAAAGACTATCCTATGTGCCCTAGTTTGGCTTGATCGAGAGTTGAACTTCAAATGCTGTAGTACTTTTGGTTGCTAAAATTGTGCAATTAGAGAGGACCTTTACAAATATCTATGGATTCTAACCTAACTATGTAGCCTTGGACATGTATGTATACACGACACGTTCGATGTAGCCGTTACCTGAACGGGTTTAGGCGAAATTTAAGGTTCATCAAGTATAGCGATTCAGAATCCTCGAATTTAATTTTAATGTCTGAAACAAGTCTTTCCTTTTTTTGGGGGGGATCATGAGACTTCAGTCCGATCCCATGAGTGATCCTTTTGGACTATTGCTCTTTCTCAGTATTCTTGTAATTGTTATGGGTAAAGTAGCTGTTGCCGCGATAACTTTGCTGTGCTGCGTCGAGACCCAGGAAAGACGGTAAGAGCCTATCTTGATCTTGAAGGACCATGATGAAATCCTTAATATGAACAAATTTGAAATTGTCCCTTTGGTGCTTCAGCTCACTTTCCTCTTGATGGACCCCTCCCCTCCCCCCGAAGACCCAAATCGACTTGAGTTTAGTACTATGTTTGTGCGGGCGGGGGGTGAATTGGGTAAAACATTACTCCTATGCATGGTATCTAGAGCTTTGGAATCCTAATTCTATTGAAGTACATGCAGCCAACCACACCATGGGGGTTTGGCAGACCCCAAACAGCCCGGTGTGAGCTAATTCACTACCAATGCAGGACCGGCCAGAGACCCAGAAGATGATCCAGAAGATGACCCGGAAGAAGACCCGGATGGAAATGAGATGTTGCTCTTGAATCTGAATGTTTTGTTTTTGCTTTTTACTATGCATTCTCTTATAGGTTGTACCGGATTCAATCTTTTCATTGGCCATGTTGACCCACCGTTCACATTGTTTCAGGGGTATGGGGTGTTGCAGGTACGGAGTACAATGTATGAAGCGTGGTGTAGGATCTATCACATTTGGTAGATGTGGACTATACCAGGCGAATGGGAATAAACATCAAACGAGATTCAGCGTCAATCAGTGTTTCCAAACAGCTTGAATGTTAAGAGAAGCAATCCTGTGTTGCGTCCTTCAACCACAGAGGAAGCAAGGTAAAGGCAGTTATCCTCCGAAGTCCCCAGCCTGAGAGGTGGTGGTATGTGGGGGTGAATCTTCGATCTTCAATTTCAATCTTCTTTCTCCTTTCAAGCTCTCTCTGGGGATATTTCCATTCCCTGCATTTTCCTTTTTTCGATTTTCAACCCTGTGTGTTTTTTTTAAACGGTGAGTGTCTTCCCCACGCCTTGAAGTGGTGGTCTCCACCGAAATGTCGCTCAAGGGGGGGCACGGATACTCTCAATTGCAACACTTCAGACATTTGTGTCTTTTGCTGTAGAGAACTACTTTCTGTGTTCTCTTTCCTCGCTTTCCGACAGGGCGACGATTCCTTTGGTCCTGAGTGTACCACCCTAATCATGTCTCTTTAGATCATTACTTGTCGCATTCCTCGAATTTCCACATTCCTCTCGCTATTCACCCCCGGGACCCCAATTGGATTTACCACTACATGTGGCCTTCGATTGACCGAAACGAACATTCCTCGAACTGATCCACATCCCAAAGAATCCCTTCCCGCGAACCTTGCGATCGGAGACCCGTTTGCGGGGACTGGCACGCCTCGAACCGGGTGTCTCGAGCTCCAATCGCGTCGAGCGATTCACAACACAGCCATGCCCTGGCGGCCGCTGCCTCGCATCGCCTTTGCCGTGGCCATATACCCTTTCACCCCCTCCTCCCGGGCAGATCTACCCTTGGAGCTCGGCGATGAGCTCTACATAATTGAACAAGGAGGCACGGACGGTGAGTGGTGCCGAGGCTATCTGGTCGCGCCGCCGTCGCTGCTGGCTGGCTTGACAAGCACCAAGGGCCAGACTCTCGAAGCTCGTGTGTTCTCGGGTATCTTCCCACGAAATTGTGTTGAGATTAGAGAAGTGCTGGGCGACGGAGATGGATCCAAAGCACTGTTAAATGCCGATCGGAAAAGCATTGATCGACTGACTTTGTCTGGCTGGGATGGACAATGCCTGTCTCGAAATAGTCAAGACTACTCCACCAGTGACTTCCAGGCGGCTGGCGAGGTGTCGGAAGTTGTCTTTGCGAAAAAGGGGAAGCCTTCCCAGATCATTATTCACAAGGGTGATGGGTCAGACCAGGCAAGTCCGCGACAGCGGACAGGCTCGGTCCCGCATACACCTGTCTCCTTTGCTCCTCGCGACCCTGATGCGCCCAAACCTGCTGCCCCGGTCCCAATGCTCAAGATCGGTGATGAAACTCCGACCTCTCTCACAGAGCCACTAGTCGATGAGATCGCATCGTGTCTGCGCGAATGGCATTCGACCAATCTGCATGAACTACTATTGGAACGCCGGTACAACTTGTTGGAGGAAATGTCGAAAATTGTACAAGAGCTGGACTTTGCAAGACGACAATTACTACACAACGTTTTGACTGGAAAGGAGAAGGAAGCATTGCGGGACGAGACAGTCTGGAAACTGGTCAAGGCAAACAAAATGCTTAGCGGGGACGTGATTGTTCGCGATCCGGAGCATAGAGGCCGTTTGCTAACGGGTGACGACTCTGCCATCCAATTGGCAAAGCTGCAGTCCGAGATGAGTATGCTCGACTCCTGTCCCACTCAGACGTCCGATGCTACAGGCCTTCACCATTTACTGCTGGAAATCAACGCGGTATCGGGCAATTCGCCGGGACAAGTGACTCTTGGAATCCAGCTGTTTTCTCGATCAGACGTTGGTTCCCTCAGTCCATTATCCGAGACCTTTAGCTTAGATATTCCGTCTCCTGATAAGTTCGTCAACATGAGCCAGAGCAGTCGACTGAAGACACTGTTTACCGAGTTGGCCGCAACAGACATCGGAGATGGGTCCGCGAACGGGCGGCAGCTCTATCTAGTTGCTTGGGTCCGTGCTTCAGAGACCCGGTCCACAACTGATACCACACCTGTGTCAAGGCCATCTATCTCACGAGAAAATCCTACCCCAACCAAGGCTACAGCAAACGGGGGCATTCAGCCCTCGGCTAAGGGAAGCTTGAGAACGCGACGCAGCATGATGTGGCCGCCCAAGCAACGCAGACCAAGCTTGGATCATCCATCTAAGTCCACTACCCAAAGCATTCCACAAACATCGAGCAGTGCGTCCAGCGCCAAAGAGCCAACTAGCCCTCAGCCCGCTCCAACGAAGGAGGTCTCGGCGATCCGCACTGTTGGTGTTGGAATCTTGGAGATCTCGCCGATTCTCCGACAGGATAAGGACACTGAGCAAGTGATCAATATTTGGTCGCCCCGTCGAGATGGCGACGACGGCGAGGGGCTGACTGATGGCTTTGACAAGTTGATCCGCGCCTTGCTTCCGAGTCCCACTGGCCGGTATGTGCGTGCCGACCATGCAGCACGTTTACACCTTCATCTGCGCCCCTTTGCCAGTTCCGACGCCGAGTACCTGATCCGTCAGAACCCTACTATATTGCATGATGTCGTACAGACACAGCGCATTGGGTTCTCCAAGGCTCCTACAAAGCCAAGATCCGATATTTACGTGACGCTATCTCAGGCCGTGTTCCCTACAGACGCCCTCCTGTCTCACCCGCAAGCTGGCCAAATTCCTCTGCAGACGACCAGCGGACTCCACAATCTTCAACTTACTCTCGAAGTGCGTGATGCTAAAGGAGCACGGATAGAGAAATGTGTCTTTCCTTCGTCCTCCAATACTTCGAACACAGCATGGCGCACTACAATCGCCCAGCGCGGCACACCTTGGAACCAGACCATACGTCTCAAAATCCCCACAGAACAAATTCCTGGCTCACACATGGTGATGAGTATTGCAGATGCACCAGAATTTCCCTTTGCACTTGCCTGGATACCCCTTTGGGACCAGCAGGCTTTCATTAAAGATGGGCCACACTCTCTGCTGTTGCATGCTTATGACAAGCAGACATCTAGTATTGAAAATGGAAAGGGTGCTTATCTGAACCTCCCATGGAGTGCCCTCGGCAAGAATGAATCCGCCAAAGATGAAGCTCTGACGGGTCCATTGGCCACTTTGCACCTTGAGACCCATCTTTGCAGCACAGAGTACTCCCAGGATCAAGTCATTCTGAGTCTTCTCAACTGGCGAGAGCGGCCCGTGGGCGAGGTCTTAGATACCCTGAAGCGTTTACTCTTTGTCCCCGAAATCGAGATTGTCAAACAACTCAGTGGTGTCTTCGACGCGCTGTTTGGAATCCTGGTCGAGAATGCTGGTAATGAAGAATATGAGAACTTGATCTTCAACAACCTGATCACTGCTCTGGGAATTGTTCACGATCGACGTTTCAACCTAGGTCCGCTGGTCGACCGCTACGCCGTTGAGCAGTTCAACTTCCCATTCGTCACACCATGCCTTATTCGAAGCTACCTGCGCCTCTTGAATGCAGCGACCGATGTTGAGCAGTCTCGCAATCTTCGCGCCGCCTTCAAGGTGGGACGCCATCTGTTGAAGTTCATCATCAAGGCCCGCGAGCAGCAAAAGGCCAAGGAGGAGGGTATTGGCATTACTACAGTGCAATCTACCTTCAACAGAGACGTGCATACCATTTTTAAGTGTATGGAGACTTTGATGAAAAACTCCTCGCCGACTTTGGTTGGCAGCAAAACACTGGTGGTTCAGCATTTTCATACATGGCTACCCGAGCTCTCCAATGTCCTGAGCAAGGATGAAATGATTATGATGGCTCTGAGTTTCATGGATTCATGCAAGGATGTCACCGGCATGTTGATACTCTATAAGCTAGTTCTCATCCAGAACTATACCCTACTTGAGGTTTTCGCCTCTGGCGATGAGAGACGAACGTTGATCTCCAGCTGCATTGGCTGGTTGGCTCCATACTGGGGATCCACCTCAGACGTTTCGGATTTGTATCGTGATCAGGTGCGACTGAGCAGCTCAATCGTGGCTCAATTGCTCACCCAGTCGGATCCTCAGATTTATGGATTCATGCCAAGCATCGTCGCCTCTTACTGTGCCATCTCTTCTGAGGGAGTGGATGAGACGGAGTATCTGTCCTTGCTTTTCAGCAAGGCGTTCCCCTTCCAGATGAAGACTGCCAAGGTTCCTCAAAGCTTCGATGAGTCTTTGGTCGAACTGTCTGCGCTCATGGCTGCAATTGCCAAGATCCCATCTCCCAAGGTTCCCAGGATGAAAGAAATGGAGCTTGTACTATTTGTAACTCAGACCCTTGAAGCCCACAACTCCATCCTCGACTGTGAGGCTTATCCCGAGACCTGGTTCAGTATCCATGTGTACAATCACCGCGCTACCATCCAAAGTCTTGAACATATTGCAGTGTTGCTAATTGATAAATTCCTTCCGGCACCGGATGATGCCGACACATTCGACACCAAGTTGTGGGAGTCGTTCTTCACGACTCTATTAAAGGTGATATCTAGCGACGTCCTTGCGCTCGAGACATTCCCCGAGCAAAAGCGCCGCGCTGTTTGGAAGATCGCGGGCGATGTGCGCGAGCAAGGTGCAGAACTCTTGCGGTCTACCTGGGAAGCCATTGGCTGGGAGACCACGGACGATGAGAGGGAGCGCTTCAATTTAAAGAAGCTGGGCGGTTATCAGGTCCAGTACGTTCCCGGTCTGGTTCCTCCCATCATTGGTCTGTGTCTCAGTGTCCATGAGGGGCTGCGACATGTTGCCGTTCAGATATTGCAGACAATGATTCTGAGTGAATGGGATCTGAACGAAGATATCTCCATCCTTGAAACGGAGATCATCTCCAGCCTGGATGCTCTGTTCAAGTCCAAGCAGATGAATGAGAGTGTAAGCCAGAAGATTTTCATCGGCGAGCTGTTGGATCTGTTTGAGGGCGAGGCTATATCCGATGATCTATTATCGAATGCTGTCAAGAGTCTTGTCGGGACAGTCGATGAACTCTTGGATCTTTTGGTGGCTTCTCAGAGTGGTGCTTCAACCCAGAGTCTGCATGCTCTGAAACTTATGGAATATATGAAGGACATGGGTCGTGAGGATATTTTCATTCGTTACGTTCATGAACTTGCCGATGCTCAGGCTGCAGCAGGCAACTTCACTGAAGCAGGTCTTGCTCTTCAGTTCCATGCCGATCTCTATGAATGGGACCTCAATAGGCCTCTGCCGGGGCTGCTCAGACCCGCTTTCCCACCTCAAAGTGCCTTCGAGCGGAGAGAGGCACTGTACTTCTCCGTTATACAGAACTTTGAAAATGCCATGGCCTGGGGCCCCGCGTTAGCTTGTTACAAGGAGCTCGCGGCGCACTACGAACATACAACAATGGACTTCGCCAAGCTCTCGCGAGCCCAAAGCTCCATGGCGCGAATTTACGACTCCATCTCGAAGGGCAGCAAACAATTCCCGCGTTACTTCCGTGTGGCCTACAAGGGTCTCGGGTTTCCCCCGGGCCTCCGCGATAAAGAATTCATCTTCGAGGCATCCCCGACAGAACGCATGGCATCCTTCGTGGATCGCATGCAGCGGGAACATCCTACTGCACAGGTCATGTCTACTGGCGAGATTCCTGACTATGAGGGCCAATTCCTTCAGATCAGCGCGGTCAGCGCGTACCGCGATGTGTCTCATCCTGTCTACCAGCGCCCCAAGGTTCCATCCTCTGTACGCGAGCACCTACTTATCTCGGATCCGTCTCGTTTCTCTTCCACCTCGCGACGACACATAAGCAGCTCGGATGTCCGTGAGCAATTTGTTGAAAAGCTTGTTTTCACTGTCTCGGAAGCGTTTCCGAATATCCTCCGTCGTAGTGAAATTATTTCTGCTCAAGAGGTTTCTCTGTCGCCTCTGCAGACTGCCATTGAGCGCACGTGGCGCAAGACACAGGAGCTTCAGCTTATTGGCCGCCGCGCTGCGTCAGGTGAGGATTCCACTCTGTCTACTCTGACGGAAGCCTTGGAATCACTACTTGAGACCAGATCGTCAACCTCTAACTGTGTGGCATCATACCGTGTATTCCTATCCGATGCGGAGCTGGCAAGGAAAAGGCTACTTGAAGAATTTGACGAAGACGCTGAAGAGGCACAAGAAACAGAGCAGCCTGTGGACCCAATGGAGACTGCACTCTCCGTTGCACTCGTCGACCACGCCTTGGCCATCAAATACGCACTGTCTCTTTACCAGCGCCCTGCTCAGCAAGCTACCCAAGCCGAACTGCTTCAACGCTTTGAAGATGTCTTCGGGCCCGAGCTGGGTTCTCTCATCCCAGCTTCGCTGGAGCACTCATCATCAACAGCCACCCAGACAGCTCGCCATTCCCCCTCCTTGAGCGACAACCGCCGAATGGCACCTATCCAGCGAGTTGTCAGTCCGGAACAAGACCTAAACCGCGCAGCCCGCAGCAATGCCCACACGCGCAAACGCTCTGACAGACAATCCGTCAGTCACCGGATTAGCATAATCAACCCCTTCAAACGATCTCACGGAGCAACCAACTCCATCTTCACAATCCAGCAATCCGACAGCAAGGGCCAATCAGTGGGTGAACAAGACGAAAACATCGACGACGACACGGCCACAATCCACAGCCGCACAACTAGCCACTCCCGCGGCGGCCGAAGTGAGAAGCGCCGCACCTTCTTCAGCGGCGACAAGACACACAAGCACGGCTCCTCGCCGTCCGTCGCCCAGGAATCCCAAACCCCATTGGACGCGCACCATACCTCTCGTGACACGGCCGCCCAATCTCAAGACGGCCGCAGTCGTGCTGGCTCCCAGAACCACGGCCCTTCTGTCACTGGGGCAGCCACGGACCGGCCTGCGCCCGCTTCCAGTGGTGGGTGGTCGACCCTCCCGTCCACGCGCGATTATTCGCGGCCTGTCACACGCGAGAGTAATGCGATAACTCTGACGACTACCAATGGCACGGCCCCGTTGTCCCCGGTGCTCAATAACAATAATGCCGGGAAACGGGACTCTATGTTGCGTCGTTTCAGTATGCTTAAGGGTGTTGGTCGCAAGGGCAGTCGGATGGATTTTAAAGCTAATGGAGCACTGCCGGAGGAGTAATGATCATACCCACCCCCTCCTTTTCTTTTTTCCAATCTATCCTTTATACCTTTTTATTTTTGCTTTGTTTTGGTTTTTTTTTGTCTTAACCCTCCTTTTTTATTCTCTTTCTCTTTCAATTCCTGATGTGACTTACTACCCTGATGTATAATTCTTTGCTTTAACTTTCTTCTTTTATTATGTGGACTGGGTTTCTCCTTTTACTGGTGTTTAAAGACATATACCATGTGCTATATAGTTCCAATCTACATTTTTATTTTCTCTTACACAACCAACTTCCCCGATTACTAAAGTCTAATTCGTCAGCATCCAAGGATCTCCGAAACGCCTCGTCCGTGCACTGATTTTGGAATGTGGCAGTGCAGGGTCTTGGCCTTTAAGCTACAACCAATCATTGTGGTCCCTTGTCCAATATTGTGGAGTTCCAAGGCTAGCGGGTCGTCATTACGAAGCTCCCCTCCCCACTGACTGGGCCACACCTTGGCCACTCCACTTTTCTCTGCATTCCTCGAACAGCGAAAGGTTGTGCTAACCTTGATTTCCACGGAAATCTCTTATTACAATCGCCAAGAGACGAAAAGTGGCTTAAACCCAATATTTCTTTCCTCGACCTCTTCTGACGCTTGGTAGCAAACTATGTGTGGGTTGATATGCTTTTCCCCTTCTCCTTCTCCTTCTTCCATTCTTCTCATCCGCTCTTTTTCAACTTTCTGTGAAAGCTTCTCAAGTCTTATACCCACAAATCCGTTCAGGCAACGGATACATTAATTTTTCAAACTAACTCGAAATCCTTTTTTTTTAATTCAGCTCTCCCAAACTTCCGCTCCCACTTCCGAAGCCACACCTTCGGGCCACGGAAAATGAGCTCTGGCAACAACGGCTCCCTGAACGCCAATGAGCGTACAGGACTACTCCGCACACGCCGTGGTTCATTCTCTGGCCTCGAACCTCACCAGCACATCGAGCATGGACAGCACCATCACCACGCAAAGGATACCCACGTCTGGGTGTACTGGCCAAGGCACGTCGTCCATCTGACATGGAAGACCATCGTCCGTGACTACGTCAATGTCCTGCTCATCTTCGTGCCGTTGGGCATTATTGCCGGTGCCCTCGGATGGGACTCAACCACTGTCTTTATCCTAAATTTCTTTGCTATTGTCCCTCTCGCTTCGCTGCTGAGCTTTGCTACCGAGGAGCTGGCCGCTACTCTGGGCCAGGCCCTTGGTGGGCTGATGAATGCCACTTTTGGAAATGCTGTTGAATTGATTGTAAGCTCGCCCAACCCTCGGCCCCGAATGAATTCCCTCGATGCTTGCAGGTGATACATACCCGGTGTTGGATCTGATGCTAATTTGCTTTGTTTCTTGATAGGTTAGCATCATTGCCCTGAAACAGAACCAGATTCGCGTCGTCCAAGCCAGCATGCTGGGCAGCATCTTGTCTAACATTTTGCTCGTCCTGGGCTGCTGCTTCTTTGTCGGTGGACTCCGCTACCGCGAACAGTCTTTCAACACCACTGTAGCATCAACCATGTCCTCGCTCATGGCTGTGGCGACCGCATCGCTTATCATCCCTGCCACCCTCTACGCCGCGATCTCGAATAACTCCGTCGCCAAGCCCGACGGTACAGGTGAAATCACGGACCCGGACCGCGCTGCGCAGAAGAATATCCTTATCTTGTCGCACGGCACCGCCATCATCCTCCTGGCCATCTACGTCATGTACCTCTATTTCCAACTGGGTTCCCACTCTGAGCTCTTCGAAGAGACGAATGGCAGCGATACCGAAAACACCGCTGGTGCTGAGGAGGACGAAGAGGAAGAGGAGCGCATTCTCAGCCCCTGGGCTGCGGCCGTTGTTCTCGTCGTCGTAACTGTCCTCGTCTCCATCTGCGCCGATTACTTGGTTGATGCTATTGACCCCCTGGTTAAGACGACTGGTATGAGCAAGACGTTCATTGGACTGGTGCTGATCCCGATTGTGGGTAATGCTGCGGAACACGTTACTGCCGTTGTGGTGGCGTACAAGGATAAGATGGATCTCGCAATTGGAGTCGCTATTGGCAGTAGCTTGCAGATTGCGCTGTTTGTCACACCCTTCTTGGTCATTCTGGGCTGGATCATGGGCATCGAGATGACTCTGCACTTCCAGACCTTTGAAACTGTTGCTTTCTTCATTTCTGGGTTGGTCGTGACTCTGCTTATTCAGGATGGAAAATCCAACTACTTGGAGGGTGGTATGTGTCTCGGTATGTACATCATTCTTGCCTTGGCCTTCTATGTGTACCCTGATAGTGTTGCCAACTAAGTCATGGCGTGGGTCTGGGGCTTTGTTTTCGGGTTGTGGAGGTCATTCTCTGTGAGATCTAGGTCTTTCTTTTGTCTACTTGATTCTGAATTGCCTAGCACCTACCGTGTTTTCTTGTATTATATGTCAAAACTGCTTGTCTATAGTATATTGGTAGTCAACTTTGCATACATGTGGATATCTATATAACTCTTTGTGAACCGTAGCCGAAAAAAAAAAATAAAAAAAAGAGCGGTTAAATGGGCTTTGAAAGTGATTCAATTGACACAGTAATGTTTCGGCATCCTACAACATACAGCTTGCGGAAATATATCTACGCGAAAAAGCAACTTGAAAATCACCATTAAAAGGTGATATCACCACATATCGACCTGGGCAGATGAATGGACGCCGTTTGTATCCCTTTGATCTTGATCTAGACCTACTACCCACCTGCATCCATGGCTTCTCAATATTGTTTCCATCAAATGTACATTTCATGACTTCACATCGAAATCCTTGGCGCTGACTAAGCCCAGCCGGAAATTTGCTCGAGGCCGCAAACTTCCCCAAAAAGGCCTACTAATCTCGACTTCCCGTCAATAGTTGCACAGGGGCCAATTTTCACAACCGCAGATATGGCGCCTCGACTCAACCTTTTCACAGCCAACAAGGCCGTATCGGCCCTGCGCCAATCCACCACTCCCGCACTGTCCTCTCCCCGAAGCATCGCCAGCCCCGTTCGATTCCGTGCCGTCCAGTCACTACCGATTCAACGCCGATGGAGCTCTTCGCGCGAGGGCTCGAAGAAGGTCGAGCCCCAGCCCGACCAGCAGACTTTCCCGACTGCCGATCAGCTGCCTGATGTCACCGAGGAGGCCAACGAGATATCCCGAATTATGGATAAGGAAAAGCGCTGTGATGGTATTCCTTCTACCCCGGAGTTAGACCAAGGGACGCCTGTTGAGGAGGTGAGAGAGAATGCATAATCAGAGGGTTTGGTGGAAAGCCCCAAATCGCTGAAAATGGTCGTTAATTGTGTTTTGTGAAATAGATCCTCAGCCGCGATGCGGATGCGATGAAGCATATGCCGAAGGTTATGCGGGATGCACTCAAGAAGTCCAGTGGCTCGCGCTCGTTTTCGACTTCCGCTCGGAGCCTGATGAACGATCTGCAGGGCGTTGAGCCTAACAAGGAGGCTAACCTTATTCCTAATGTGCCTGGGCTCGAGGGCGCTAGTGATGAGGCTGCTGCTGCCCTTGCCAGTATGATTGAGCAGGTGCAGGGTCAGGCTCTTGAGGAGAACCCTGGGCTTAAATTCGATCCGCCTGCCGTCCCCGAGGACCTGAAGACGTTGAACTTCCGCAAGCGCTACGACACCATGCAGGATCAGTTCACGAAGATGATGATGGAGAGCGGGAAACTGGCTAAGGCGCAGAAGGTGAGGTTCTCTTTTTCCCGTTCATGTTCGGGTGTGGGTCTGTTGAGGAAGTTGACTAACCTATTATTAGAACATGGCTCTCATTCTAGATCACCTTCGCACCGCCTCTCCTCCCCAGATTAACCCTCGTCGCCGTCTCCTCGGAGCTCCTCCAGCATCTCAGCTTCCCCTCGACCCCGTCCTCTACCTCACTCTCGTCGTCGACTCCGTGGCTCCTCTCTTCCGAATTCGTCAGCAGAAGGGTATCGCCGGCGGTGGTACTGCCGTGCAGATCCCTCACCCACTGACTCTGCGTCAGCGTCGCCGTACCGCAATCAAGTGGATTCTTGATGCGTCGGAAAAGCGACGTGATGCGCTGTTTTCGAATCGTGTTGCGGCTGAGGTGGTGGCCGTTGCCGAGGGTCGTAGCGGTGTGTGGGAGAAGAGGGACCAGCAGCACAAGATTGGTATCTCTGGTCGTGCGAACTTGAACACTAATGTTCGTCGCTAAATTGGCCTTGTTGGCTTGTATTTCTTCTATCTGGGGTTTGGGGTTTGTCTTGTATCTCTGAGCACTTCTGCATCTGTATATTTACATCGTCTGGTACAAAAAAAAAAGACTGTCATTCTTCACAGGCTAATTATATTCTCCGAGACAAGTACTCCAAAATGTTAATCCTTGGAATTTGGTACATGAAGCGGAGTTTTTATCGTGGCTTATGATCTATCAATAATCATTGTCTTATATAGGCATGGCGGCTTACTCCCCTGGTGTTACATCTTCTGCTATTGGAGGCCACCTGCCCTAAATTAAACTTCATTGCACTGCATATCAATCGTTTCTATGTATCGACCCCGTCTTGCACTCTGTGACAGCTCTCCCAGTGCTTGGGATAGAACAATGTCTGGTAAGCCCTCCGCCAAGCAGCATGCTTACCTAATACTCAGCTTAGCTCGAGCGCAACTGTTCTTGGAGTCGGAGGGAGAAAAACACCAATACGTTCGCTATTTTACATGTCCACAGTCTCGGAGTAGATTCCAACCAGATGAGCGATCCTTGGCCTATCAGTGGAGCGCCCCGTTATATCATTGCCGACTTGACCATTGCCCAGTGCAACCCCAAGCTCCAGCTGACCCGGACTTTTTGACCCTCCTCGCGCCCCCACCCTCGATAGAGCCCGCTTCTACGTTCCCCTCCGTCTTGCACTTCCTTCTATTTCTTGGGTGATCTAGGCCGATTACTATCCGGCCTCCTCCCTCGACGGTGGCTCCTACCTCGCACTCCGATTCCATAGAACTTGTCGAGTACAACCCTGCCTCCCACCCAGCTCCCACAAACGCACCGGGCCCCGCTCGCTCGGACCAATATCAAACTAGCCCTGGGCGCTTAGACTCTCCTGCAAACTCGCAGCCGCTTGCGGAACTTCATACAGGTGCTGGAGAATCGCAAGAGAAGACCTTAGAGTCTGTCCAGCCGCAGGGCTCTCGTCTTCGGTTCTGGGTTGAGGCTCTCCGACGTCGCGCTCACAACGCATCGCAAGGGAACGGCGGTCCTGACTCTAAAGCCAAGATGAAGTTCTCGCATAGTATTCAGTTTAATGCTGTGCCCGATTGGAGCTCGAACTACATCGCGTACAGCAATTTGAAGAAATTGTAAGTTGTTCGCTTAGGTCTTAGGTTGTGTGCTCTGTGGATGTGATTGTGTGTACATGCAGATTCGGAGATCTGGATTGGTGTCACATTGCACAGGATCGATACACCGGCTCGGATAATTGTTTGAATGGGTGCTAACGTTGCATTCGTGACCAGGATCTACACCCTTGAGAAACAGGTCAATCGCATTGAGGGCCCGTCCACCACAGATGTAGAGTCTGCTCCGCTTCTGGGTGCTCAGCCGAGTAACCCAGATGCAATCTTTAAACGGGCTCTTGGTGTTGAAATGGATAAGATCTGTTCCTTTTATCAGAAGAAGGAGGCGGAGATTTTTGAACTCGCGGGTGAGCTCACAAAAGACGCCGATGTATATCTTTCCGAGACGGACGGTGTGAATATGGACCCCGTCAGTGAGACAATCATCAAGGCAAGCTCCCGTCGCAACGGCAATACCTCGATCCCGCGCCGGCGGTCCAGTGCTGCGAGCAATGACTCGCTGGCGGACGATGAAGGAGACGGTGGTGATAGCGACGATGACCGGTCCCGGACGACCTTCCCAAAACGCCGGAGATTGCTGCAGTCGATCGATGGCGAGTCTGGCATGGACGAGCCATACGGTGATCTGGTAGACTCCTCCTATTTTGGACAGTCGACTACCCGAGATCCGCACGAGTCGCACTTCAATGACGAGGACTTCCTCGCTCTTTACAATACTGGTATATCGTTGAAAAAGCGCTTGATCGAATGCTATGTCTCACTCTGCGAACTTCGCTCCTTTATCGAGCTGAACAAGACCGGCTTTGCCAAGGCCCTGAAGAAGTATGACAAGACCTTGGACCGCAGCCTGCGTCGAGATTATCTAGCTTCTGTTGTCTATCCCGCGCCCCCCTTCACTGACGGCACTATGGCTGGAATCGATCGCCATATTGAGAACGTGGAGGGTGCGTATGCGGGCATCGTCACGAAAAACAACAGGCAGTTCGCTAGACGCGAGCTACGTCTGCACCTGCGTGAGCATGTCGTCTGGGAGCGGAACACCGTCTGGCGTGAGATGATCGAAATTGAACGCCGTGCACAGGCTGCTAATGTTGGTATTCGCCGGACCCTCTTGGGCGGCGATGAGGACCCGGCCACTGCGCGACGCCAGGGTGACAAGAACGAGATCCGCACTCAGGAGATGTCAACGCCGCTTGGTCGGTTCCAGTTCCCGTCATGGCTCTGCAGCTTGAGCTTTGGTACGCTCGTATTTAGTATCGCTCTCTTCGGCGCAATGCTTTCCATGAACATAATGGACACTCCCGAGCAACAGAATTGCTTGGCTATGTTGGTCCTCGTTAGTATCTTGTGGGCCACTGAGGTATGAGATCCTGTTTGTTAATTTGCTCAGGTTGGAAGCTAACATTGAGTGACAGGCTATCCCGCTGTTCGTCACTTCGCTTCTTATCCCATTCCTGGTCGTGACTCTAGGCATCATGCGGTCAGACGAGGAGCCTCCTATGCGGTTGGGACCCAAGGAATCAGTCGGCAAGGTGTTCTCAGCGATGTGGACTCCTGTGATTATGTTGCTCCTAGGTGGCTTCTCAATAGCAGCGGCGCTGTCCAAATACGATGTCGCACGGCGCATGGCCACATTCGTGCTAAGCAAAGCTGGATCAAAGCCATCTGTGATGCTATTGACCAACATGTTTGTGAGCATGTTCCTTAGCATGTGGATCAGCAATGTTGCATCTCCCGTGCTCTGCTATTCGATCATCCAGCCTTTGCTGCGCAACATGCCTCCCGAGTCAGACTTTGCCAAGGCACTCGTGTTAGGGATCGCCCTAGCTGCCAATGTCGGTGGTGCAGCGTCTCCAATTGCATCGCCGCAGAACATCATTGCCCTCCAGAACATGCAACCGAACATCAGCTGGGGCACATGGTTTTTCATCGCACTGCCCGTCTGCATCATCTCCATACTCCTCATCTGGGTTCTGCTGCTGGTAACATTCCGCCCGGGCCGTAACGCAACCGTGATGCCCATCCGCCCCGTCAAGGATCGCTGGACCGGCATGCAGTACTTTGTCAGCATCGTCACCCTCCTAACAATTGTCCTCTGGTGCTTCAGCCACCAGCTAGAACACATTTTCGGCGACATGGGTGTCATCGCCATCATCCCTCTAGTCCTCTTCTTCGGTACCGGAATCCTCAATAAAGAAGACTTCAACAATTTCCTCTGGACAATCATCATCCTCGCCGCCGGTGGTTTGTGTCTCGGCAAGGCGGTCACTTCATCCGGCTTGCTGCACACAATCGCCATGGGAATCACCGCCCGCGTCGAGAACCTCAGTTTATACGGCGTCCTCTTGGTCTTCTGTTCTCTCATCCTTGTCATGGCAACCTTTATCTCACACACCGTCGCCGCCCTTATCATCCTCCCGCTTGTCCGCCAGATCGGCGTTAGCATGGAAAACCCTCATCCGAACTTGTTGGTCATGGCCAGTGCATTGATGTGCTCTGTTGCCATGGCTTTGCCAACCAGTGGATTCCCTAATATGAGTATGTTCTTCTTTTCCTTCCGGCAAGTTGCATTGAGTTCTCTGCTAACTTGTTTCTCTCTTAGCTGCTATCATGACCGAAGTACCCCAGACAGGCCAGCGATATCTCCAAGTCCGCCATTTCCTCACTCGCGGCATCCCGGCCAGTCTCATGTCGTTTGCGGTAATTGTGACTATTGGATATGGACTGATGTACATTGCGGGACTGTAGGAAATGGCATTATGGGGTGGTTTTGTGACGCTTTGAAAGAGTTTCCTATTTGCATTTTTTTGGTGTCAGATTTGGTTCATAAAAGACATCAACAAAGAGAAGTGAATCTGTATGGTTTGGTTATATTAACAACCCTTTTCTCCATCTGTCAGTTTCTCGATACTTATTGTACCTATTTCTTCATCTCTTCGCACGTCTGGTTTTCTGTTGAGGTTGGATTCTTTGCATAAATGTTTATAGATGACTAGATGGGTTGTTCAGAGCGTCTTAATGCACACATGTTTCTAGTGGCTTCAACCGAGTATGAGAACAGTTACACCTGTCCGACTTCCTTTCAACAAAATTATGGACGCCTGAATGATGTCTAAGATTGTTCTGTGTAAGGTCTGGCAGTTTAACTCCCTGCCTTGATCTTTACCAGGTACTTTCTTTCTACATATAGCACTGAAGAGAAATTACAACACAAGAGCCAATTTTATTTTTCCTACTCTCCAGACTCAGATACTTTATAAGGCTGAAAGGCTCAAGGGACTATACACCGCAAAGACACCAGGACAGTTGAGACCGGATCTAGAGAGATGACCAAGCTGCAGCCTTGAACGATCAGACAAAAAGAGAATTCCAGGAATCCAAGTTGAAAAGATAGGAAAAAATCAACCCGTGCATCGTGCATCACCGTAGCATAACCAATAAACAAGTCGTTGAAGGTCTCCGTAGACACACCCGACTACACCAGTACAGGGCCCGGGGGTTTTCATCGAGATGAGATCGGGTAAGCAGATATAGAAGTGAGGTATATACTCTGTTCTATTTGCTGAATAGCAGCAAGATTAATTACTAGATCGTCAGTCAGTGAAATGCACCAACGGAAGTATCGAGCCAAGTTAGAGCCACATCGGAGGGTTCGGATTTAGATGTGACGGGACATAAAGACCGCGAGAAAAAAAAGAGGAAAAGAGAAAACGGGAGTACTAACAGCAAACCAATTGTCAAATCACCATGAATCTTCGCTTTAAGCTGAACCTCAATATCCAGGTTCAAGTCCAGTCGCAAACGAAGCTGCTCATCACGTCCACCATCATCTTCCTTCTTGTTCTCTCCACCACCCAGAATCCCACCCACAGATTTGCCCGCACTACCAGTCACCCCGTTCAGGGCATTACCGGCTGTGTTCTGCACGAGCTGGCCGGCCTGGTCCACGCCGCCAACGCCCGGAAGCCCGCCGAGCGGACTGCCGTTTTGTTGTTGCTGTGACTGGCGCTGGCGACGGACGCGACGCTGGGGTCTGGGTTCTGGTTCCATTTCGCTGCGGGCGATGGACTCGGTGTCTGATTCTTGGGGGCGGGGACGAGGTCGGCGGCGACGACGTTCGGGCTTGAGTTGGGGTTCTGGTTCTGGTTCGGCCTCGGGTTCGTCTTGTTGTTCGGGCTCAGGCTCTAAGTCTGGTTCTTGTTGTTTGACGGGTTCCTCAGGCTTGGAATCGTCTTCTTGGGGTTGCCTGTCCTGGTCCTGGTCTTGTTCCGAGGATGGAGGGGCTTGTTCTTGTTTGGCGGGAGACTTCTTGCCTAGCTTGGGAGGGGCACGTTTGGGTTTGTTGGGGGTTGTATTTGTTGAGTCGGGATTGGGAGTGGAAGGTTGTTCTTGATCGGACATGTTGGAAAAAAAAAGAAGAAGATAGTCCAGGAGGGGGAATGAGGGGAATATGAATTGACTCGAGTAGGAGATAAAGAAGGACTAAGCGTGAGAAATAAGACAAATGAAGTACTATGCAATCGTACGTATAGTGTTATGATGTAGATTTTCCAACCGTTTATATCGTTAGAAGAGCCACTAGACTTGGATAAAACCGGACCTCGTAGTCAGAATTCAGCCGCCTCCGACGTCAGATGGGAATGATGCTGTGGTTCTGGGGTCCATCGGTGCCAGATGTCGGACTTGGATTCAAGCTCAGCAGATACTGCACAACTGACGGGCTGGGGGATCCTATAGCGGGAAAAGGTATGACGTTCCGGACAAGGATCAAGACGTGGAGCGCATCTGGAGTAACCTTGTATAACAGTTCCATCGGAAAATAGTCGTGGCCAATTTTCACGCGCCAATCAGATTGGATATCGGTGAATTTGGTGCATTGGCATTCTCCACATGAATAGATTAAGCAGACGTAAGACGTGGGAAATGATATGACGCAACTCGAAAGTCTTCACAGCAACTTCCCTGTCAAAACGAGTCAGCCAATGAAGTTGGGAGACCACAGGCAATCTTACTTGTGCCTGGGTTTGTTCCTTCGGCTCAGGCCACGAGCCTGCCTTTGTTTCCACGGATTGTGACAGGAGGTGGATTTCCAATTGGCCATTTAGGAGATTCCAACTATTTCTTGTTGACTTTTCATTACAGACACGGCCGTCGTGACAGGTCAAGCCAGAGAGTGTCCTTTGACAATGACGGTTGTGCAGATTGGAGAGAAGTTGGAGAGAAAGCCTCCAACGTCATATCCCGCGCTTGATATGATGTGCCGTTTGCCGTTCCACATCGAATCATCTCATATTATATCGTCCCTTTTCTTTCTTGTTAGTGGATGTTTAGGATATCCGTCTACTTTGTCCCTTTTTCTTTTGAAATTATCTTCTTCCTACCTCTAAATTTTTAACTCCATAATCTAGTCCATCATCTTCAGTATGGCGACCGTTGAAAAGACCAAACAGCAGCCCAAGAAGCTCCCTGTGCAAGAGGATCTGTCTGACGGCGAAGACTATGATAGCGCCGACGACTACACCGACGAGGAATATGAAGATGAGGCACCCCAAGCCAAGACTCAGAAGAACAAACAACTACAGAAGAAATCACTACAGAAACAGAAGCAACCCGTTCAAGAATACGACTCCGATGAATACACGGACGAAGATGACTATGGCTCCGACGAGTACGAATACTCCGACGATGAAGCCCTGCAGCCATACTCGAATGAGAACTCGGATTTCAAGCCCTCTGGCGGTATGGATGTCCTGCACAAGGAGGAGAAATCAATGCTGGACGAGGAAGGCATGAAGTTGAGATTGGAACTGAATCTGGAAATCGAGGTCGAGCTCAAGGCACGCATCCACGGTGACCTCACCCTAGCTCTCATGTAAGTAATGACTGAGGCATGCAATCCCGCCCCCAAGACCATTTGGAGAATGTCTGCTCAAAGACCGAATTAGGAGTTGATCGCGTTTTGAAAACAACAGGGCTTGATCACCCATTCTGGTTCCATTGGCAATCTTATCACGAAGATCTAACGTCCTTACGAGTGATTCGTTTTCAATTCTTGAATTGCTTCGATGCTGTTTTCCATAGAGCCATGTTGTTTGTTTAATATTCCATTCACCTCTTCGGGATCTTTTCTTTTTTTTCCTGCAATCGTTTTCCTGGTCGGCGTGCAGGGCCAATGGGACGCCATACACCGGAGGGTATGTGCGATGAAAAATTCTTGGGCAATCATGGGTGAGTTGAATACAATCTTTGTGAAGTGCAACAGTGCAGTGGTGAGTTCGTGTAGTGGCGTTAGTGAGGTGTGGTGTGATGAGCGTAAAGTGTCAGGCATGGCGGAAACTGTGAAGCCGAGGCCCCGGTCTTGGCACTTTTTTTCTACTAACCCTTTGTGTTACCAACTCCCCTCTTTCATCGTACCGGGGTGTTGTTCAGTACTCGGTTCAAATCCCAATTGTTTCACTGGTCTTCGCACAATTCCAGCCTGTACACCTCCCATGATAAATCTGCCACCATGTCGTCCAAAGACTTCATCATCAAGCACATGAATGCCGACCACCAAGAGTCTCTCATACTGTTTCTACAAGCCTACTGCGGGATCACATCCACCCAAGCCAAAAACGCCCACCTGGAAGAAATCAGTACCTCAAACCTGATCATCACCGCACACGGTACCCGCTACAGCGTCCCCATCGAACCCGTGATGAAGGATTACTCGGAGGCCCGCGGCCGAATGGTCGCCATGCACAAGGAGAGCCTGAAGCGTCTGGGTCGAAGCGACATTACACTCACCGAGTACCGTGCTCCGTACGGCATCCAGGCCGTGATCTTTGTGTTGTGTTTGTTGTTCTACGTCACCTGCTTCCTGCGCAGCAACCTGCAGCCTGGCTCGGATCTCTACGAGTACTTGGGGCTCCAGCAGGTGCCCTGGTTTCCGCGTCTCGTCTGCATTCTCCAGCCGTATGTCGTGGGTGTTCATATCATTGAGACCGTTGCGCTGGCTGTGACTCAGTTAAAGCCCCTGAATGTGCCTGTTCGGTCGGGTTTGTGGTGGAAGTGGGTTGCGTCGTGTTTTGTGGAGGGATACGGTTCGTTCTCGCGCATTAAGCAATTTGTGAAGGAGCAAAAGGCGAAGAACGGCAAGAGCCAGTAGATGGTGACAGGTGCAATTAGTGGCAGAAAAAGTCAATCATTTGTATCTGTATAGATTTCAGGGTTGCAAGGGCAGTTGGAAAATGACACAATTGAAGGCTCAATGCTGTACAACGTTCAGATGTAAATGGCTTGAATGTTCCGATGGAGTACGATGGCCTCTTCCAGATCAGAGGGTTGCAACACGTGACTAGACACTGACTCAGCCACCACAGCATCACCTGACTGATCCAGTGACCGATCCAGTGACTGGGGCCATTAATCCCAATTGGGCCTAGTGTCAGTTAGGGCACTACACAAGCGAGCGACACAGTGCGCCCTGCGAAATTCAGCGACTCCACGACCTCAAACTCCCACGACAACCCTACGACAACTAATCTGTGTTTCTGGTGAAGGGCTGCACATTTAGAGGTGAGTTATCGGGCTATCTCAACTCCTGCAAGGTCTCTTTCGAAAATTTCTGTTTCGCTCGCTGCGCCCATCAATTTCGATCATCGGCATTCAATTCCTCTACATCAACTTTCGATACTGTCTCGCTTCCAACGATCATTCAACCACTACACAACCACTGTCGCCCAATTGTTCGATATTCGTGGATTGATTTTGTACGGCGCTCGCGACGAAACAGAAGGATTGAAAGGACCAAAAAAAGAAAACCTGTTGAAGGTCCATCATCAACAACATCTATCTAACTTTGTGCCCGTCGACTTAGACCCCTCCATCAATCGCAAACATGGGTATTTCTCGGGATTCTCGCCACAAGCGCAGCGCTACCGGTGCCAAGCGCGCTCACTACCGCAAGAAGAGGTACGATTCTATCAACCCAGAATGAGATCGAGTGTTTTTTAAAGGAGAGAAAGAGAGAGGGTTCGATATACCAGTTGCAGATTCTTACATGACTTTGTCCTACAGAGCGTTCGAGAAGGGTCGTCAGCCCGCCAACACCCGTATTGGCACCAAGCGCATCCACCTTGTCCGCACCCGTGGTGGCAACCAGAAGTTCCGTGGTCTCCGTCTCGACTCCGGTAACTTCTCGTGGGGCTCTGAGGGTATCTCCCGCAAGACCCGTGTCATTGGAGTGTCCTTCCACCCCTCCAACAACGAGCTGGTCCGCACAAACACCCTGACCAAGTCGGCCGTTGTCCAGATTGACGCCGCTCCCTTCCGTCAGTGGTACGAGGCCCACTACGGCCAGCCCATCGGCCGTAGACGCCAGCAGAAGACCGATGCTACCGAGGAGAAGAAGTCCGCCTCCGTCGCCAAGAAGCAGGCTGCCCGCTTCGCTGACTCCGGCAAGACTGAGTCTGCCATCGAGCGCCAGTTCGAGTCCGGTCGTCTGTTCGCCGTTGTTGCCTCGCGCCCCGGCCAGTCCGGCCGCTGTGACGGTTACATTCTGGAGGGTGAGGAGCTTGCTTTCTACCAGAAGGCTATCCGCAAGTAAACGAAAAAATAAAATATTCGGTTGTTGCAACGGGTGGATCGGAGTTTCAGCTATGTCATGATCGGAGCATCCACGGGATGCAATTTGTCTGTAGAGCTCTGAGCCGTCAAATCCATGGGAAATGTTCCTAGTTTCATCTCTTCGCTGGTACTTGCCTTGTGTAGTGAGATTCGTAGTGATGGTACAAGTATGATAACAATGATCTCCTAAAGTTCGATCTTATCTACAAAATAAACACGATTTGTATAAACCATGTGGCAAGACTAAGTGAAAACTTTCATTTTGTTCTTTTCTCAAATGCGTTGAGCCTCGGAAAATACAAGGGAAGAGCGATCTCCGAGGGTCCTTCCCGGGCCCAAGCTTGATGCTTATCCATCTCTCCCCCACAGCCCAACCTTCCCTCATACACCAAACATGACAACCATCAAAACCCGCATCTGCATGATATCAGACACCCATACAAGCACACCACACCCATCCCAAAGAATCGACTATGCCTATCGTTACCCCCTCCCTAAAGCAGATATCCTCCTCCACGCCGGCGACCTCACAAAAGTAGGGTACCGCGTCGAGCACGAAGCAATGATCGCCATGCTCACCGATGCCGACGCAGAGCTCAAACTCGTAATAGCAGGGAACCACGACATAACCCTAGACGAAGAGTACTTCACAACCTTCGGCTATACTCGTCACAAACGCGCAGAGAAACTAGGCAAAGAATCTATCTTACTATCGGACGACAACCTCCAGACCACCCTGCGCACCTCCTCTGCCAAAAGTCCAAACCCAGACTCCCTGAAAGCCTACGCCCGCTCTATTAAATCCCTCTGGACGAGCGAATCTGCCCGAAAAGCAGGAATAATCTACCTAGAAGAAGGAATTCACTCCTTTACCCTCTCAACAGGTGCTAAATTCACGCTCTACGCTTCGCCCTACCAACCGGAATTCTACAATTGGGCATTCGGGTATCCCCGCGATGAAGACCGCTACAACCCCGCCCCTGCTACACTTCCACGGCCTCAAAACCCAATCCCGGATTACCCGGCTATTGACATCCTGCTAACACATGGCCCGCCCGCCGGAGTAATGGACCAGGTCCCGCCTGATTTGAATGTTGGATGTGAGCATCTTCTGCGTGCCGCGCGCCGCGCAAAGCCACGACTGCACCTCTTTGGTCATATTCATGAAGGGTGGGGTGCGCAGCGTGGGGTGTGGGATGATGAGGCAGGTGGAGGTGGTGTCAGGCTTGAAAATGTACCCACTGATGCGGAGGATATGCTGGAGAATCGGGGCGCGTTCTATGACGTTAGTGCTGGGGCTGACAGGCCGCTGCGTGTTGGGGAGGAGACGCTTTTTGTTAATGGGAGCATTGTGACGGTTAATTATCAGGCGAGGAATGCGCCGTGGGTGGTGGATTTAGAGCTTCCTGTTTCTGGGACAGGGGAGCTTTGACGATTTGATGTTTATTTTGTTGAATAGGAAAGTGAACATACAAAGCAGCGTGTAAAAACTTCGGATATCATTTCCGAATCAATCCTATGTAGAGGAATTATACCCGAACTGAAGTTGAAACTGTCTCGTCTCTTTTTAACCTAGAATCAACGCCGCATTTTTGGCTTCTTTTCTACCCCTATAGCCAAGTAAAAAATCCCCTTACTTACAAGAGAAGTAGAAACAACGGTTCTCTTTTTAATCTAGCAACATCCACTTTGACTAAAAGTAGGCCAATATGTCATTTTATCTTACGATTCGGGAGGATGCAGGTTCCATATAGAAACTAGTAACAAAGGTGTCAGACTTCATCGATGGCGCTAATCTCGATTCCATAGGATTGAAATTTCGATGGCGTACGCATAACGCCAAGGAAGGCTTAGTGTTGAAAGAACCCCAATGCCATGTTCATTATGAGAAACTGGGATTCTATACAAGTTTCGGCCCGTGTGGGCTTTCGGTCAAATACATTTGAACATCACCAAGGCCTGAATCGTGTCCAGAATACATAATCGCCAAAGGAGAGAAGGAAGATGTTTGTGGCCCCGAAAAAAACTACACATTGAGCATTGCTGAAAGCAATCAAGTTAGAATCGAATAAGGTATGTACCTATCTAATAACTGTCATCCCGTTCTATATATACGCGGCAAAGCACAAGAAATAGCTACGAAGAAAACATCCAAACCACCCCAGTAGAATCATCTGAGAAACAGAAAGAATCCAAAAAAAAAAGGATATCACAGGGCCAAAAGAAATAATCAAGGAAAGCAAATTTCAACCCCAACTCCACACCGCGAAGAAACAAAAGATCTTGAATGCCCCTAAGGAGCACCACCAAGACCTAGAATAGTTGTTAGCTTCCAAAAAGACATCACAGTCCACCCAGGAGACTTACCAGCAGCAAACGCCAGGTACCATGTGCGTGTAGCACCGCCATCAATCCAGCTGTAGTTGAAGTTTGGCTGGGCAAAGAATTCCCACGATGCTTTGGGATTGATGAGGGCCAGATTGGCGTATAGCACACCCCTCCATCCACCATCGACCTTGGAGGCCGGTGTTGAGGCGTTCTCAGCAAACATTGCCTGCCATTCCTGGTGCACGAACTCCTTTCGGCGTGTGAAGGGGGTGTGTGGCATCAGGGGTAGCATATGGATACTAGGGGTTTTGTTAGCAATACTTCGGAGTGGAAGAACAGCAGGACGGTGATGTATACCCTTGAATGAATTCGAGGCTGGCACCGAAGTAAGTGGTGTGATCAACCTTGTTTTCGAAAAGCTGTTTTTGGTCTGTCAGGGTCGAGTTTGGGTTGTCGATGAGGATAGCGGTACTTACGATTCCAGTTACTCGGTTTCCAATAAAGTTCGCCGGCTGGTTGACATTATCATCCTCCATCAAGAAGTAATTTTTGAGCGACCGACTTAGGATGCCTAACATGATATTGCCACGAGCTTCCATGCTAGCATCGCCGGTGGTCTGTCCCCACATCTTGATCGCATATGCAAACATGGTATCTTCCGATGTAGATTCTTGATCTTTGCCATCGAAAGACTCGAACAAACCCTTCGCCCACGAGTGACCGTTGTACCAATCGAACGAGCGCGAGAATGGGAAGTGGGGATCGTCTGCAACGGAGTTACCAGCATCACGAACGAGCATGTTGACCCATTCCTTATTCGCGGCCAGCCAGCTGGGATCAAGAGAGCCGATGATGGCGGCTGCTTGGACGAAGTAGCCATAGTGGAAGTGGTGGTCGTTGTACGCGGTGTTTCCGAAATCCTGGTTCAGGTCGCCGTTGTAGCCCGCGGTCGAGACAACGCCCTTCCAGACGGCGTCGTAGGCGAGTGGGTATTGCTGCTTGTTTTGTATGAATAGATCAAAGGATTTCTTGAGCTGTTGGAAGGCATCTGTTGCTAGATCGACATTGTTGCCGAGTTGATAGACAGTGTACACTAGCGTTGCGAACTTACTCAGCGCCTTGCCGCTGTAGTACATACTGTTGAGATCTGTTTGATCTGAAATGTTCTGCTTGAGCTCGTGGGGAGCAACCTGGAGAATGGCATATTGAGCCGCGGCTGAGAGCTCTTGAACGCTACCATTAGTGGTTGACCACGGGGCAAATCCAATGTCGATGGGGAGGTTCTGTTCGATCATAGTCCAGCTTTCTCCGATCACGGCAGTGGAATTGCCCTTCGTTGTGGTGCGAAGCTGAATATTGGTGATACGGCCCTGGGTGGCACGGTCGAAGGATTGGACGTGATGGGGTAGGGCGAACATGATCAGAGGAGTGCCTTCGACATCCTTTCCAGCCTTGGTCCATGAGAGCGTATAGCTGCCCACATCATCTGTGACAGAGCCGGAGATTTCTCCTGCCACCGGGTAGACACCGGATGAGTTATCATAGAATTTCTCGCCAGAATTTCCTGCGGAGTTCTTCGCGACTTGAATAGTTCCATTAAAGCCCTCCGGACCGCGAAGATGGGTCTTTGAGACTAGCTTGAACATCGGATCCTTGCCATCAAACGGAGTGGCATAGACAAGCCAGGTCGTGTCATCCTCAAGGAAAACCTGGTACTTGAAGATGCCGGGCCTAGGTGAACCAGCGTTGACAACCTTGTGGAAGAAAACGCCACTTTCAATCAGGGGCTGCAGATAGTTGTACACAGCCGTTGCGTAACCCATGCCTTGCACAACAGGGAAGGTAATCTGCTGAGTCGAACCTGGGGAGCGCTGGATCACAGCGTGGGCTGAGAAAGCCTTTGGCTGTTCGACGGTCATGATGGAGGACTGGTCAAGCTCGGCTGCAGAGAAGATCAGATGTTGGAGGCCAACTGGATTAATGTAGAACTGCACTGGGCTCCCAGGGATCATGTTGTTCGGAGGTCCATATGCGAGCATGTGAGGCTGGATGTGAGAAACACCCATACCCCAGCTCTTCAGGGAGCCTCCTCCTTTGGACCATGCCAGAGAGTAGGGCTGAGTGAAGGTAGCATTAGTCTGAGAGCCCAAGAAGAGGCCGGCGTAGAACTTATTCGTCGCAATAGGGTCAGTAGTATTGGCCTATGCCGCAAGGTTAGCCTGTTTGATTTGTACGGTGGTCGCATTTGGGATCATCTTACGTGCTTGTTCGGCAGTGGGTGGTCATGTCGAGACTTAATATTAGCAGGGACAGGACCAGTCGCGACCGGCTGGAAGATATCCTGGCCGTGCATGGTTTCAGTGGAATCTAATGTGACTGTGGGCGAAGAAAGTATGTGAACGGGCTCTGCTAAGCATTAGAATATGTTCAATGTGCTACAAGATTTCAGGTTCAATCTTACCGTGTGCCACAGTAGCACTTGTGTTGGCCTGCGGTGAGTCTGTCACAGATACAGCTGTAAGAGCTGGTGCTGAGTTTTCAGGCTGTTTTGCTGATATTGTCGCTTGAGTCGCAGTCGGTGCTGGTCTAGTAGTACTATCATCTGAGCCCAACAAGTCTTCCAAGCCGTCAACGAGTTGGACAATGTCAAACTGTGGAAAAGGCTGCTGCGATGAATGGCCGTCTTGCTCCAAAGCTACTCGATATACCTAGTCCAAATTGTCAACAACACGTTATGTATCCCACATAGCACATTTCTCCAAGACATACTGGGTGGGAGTTGGGAATGAGCAGCCTGTCTTCACTGTCTGAAGGTGGATACTGAGTCTCAAAGGCACCTGTAGGTTCGGTAGATGTGGGCTGTATGGCAATTTCTACCCCAGTTCCTACTTGCGGGAGACAGTAGGCTATTTCTGTGGCTAGAAGCCAAGTCAGCAAGCCTGTAGCCTTCCATTTCAAGCGTGAGTCCATGATTCAAAGTCGGATCTTGTCACCAAGATTGTAGGAAGTCTGCGTGCTCTTCCTCAATTCAATCCAATCGGATGTGAATTACTTGGGGGCAGACAACTTTGGAGGGATCCAACACGCAAGATAAAAGCTGGCAAAGGGACAGACAGACTAATCTGGAGGAAAACAGACTTACAAGTATGTACTCAGAATTCCAGGAGAAGGACTATACCCCCCTCGGAGCTCAAACACTCAGGTCCAGATTGGGACAACACACGGGCTGGTTTGTTGTGAATGGCCCGCAGATAGATTCCACAGAATGCCGATCTTCATCAAAATTAGCATTGTACAATATTTAGCCAAGGGGAATGACGGGAGTTGGGGATCATGTCTGGCTCAACAATGTAGGGCGCAACAGACATCACGCCGAGTCCGCGTGCGTTCCCCACCTCTAAGAATGTGTGCGGGAATCACCGGAACGACCAAAATCTACTCACTAAATTAAATGGGATAGAGTTCCCCAGGGAAATGGTGACAATTGGGAGATGGAGGTGAACATTACCTCGTAAGTTGGGGGATTTCAAATCCAGGCCTTGCCAAGCGATCGCCCAGGCGGAGTAGAATCCATGACAAGATGCAAAATAAATATGAAGGTGTTCAGATCCAAATTGTTTAAAGACCTTGAAAATGACTCAATATGAACCAGATTATACATGGGTGCTGTTCAGTTACTCTAGTGGAATTATGGAACATATATGAATGGTTTCTCCATAGTCAGTGCTAACATTCCAAGGTCGAGGCCCTAGACCATCTACAAACATTGTCCAGGTAAGCTGTAACGAAAGCTACTTAGAATTCTGTGTAAGAACATCAGTCCATGTCAAAAATGATTGCGAGGTGATAGGAAGTTTGAACGTTGAACTACATGAACTACTTTATTATGCACCTAGTCACCTGTAGTAGCCGGAAGACAGCAAGAATGAGAATGCTTTTTAATTCAAAAGGCGCCGCAAAAAAAAGGGTCGCATTAGGTGCTGACATTGAACATGGCATATATGAAGTGAAAGAAGATATTGGCATTCATTGCATGGGCTTCGACATGGGCTTGATGATGCCCTGCTTGATCATGACACGAGGCTTGGTGCCACTCTGGAAGGTTTCCTTTGTAGACCACTCGGGGCCCAGGGGCAACCGCAGGGATCGTTCGTACTGCTGTTTGGTCTCGAACTCATGCGGCAAGTGGCTAGCCATGTACTTCTTGTTCTAGAGTGGAAAGTTAATAAGATGTCCGTCTTTGAGTGTAGGAACAAGACTGGACTTACCTTCTGCACTCGCTTCTGGTTGATAATGACCCGATCGAGCTTTGCGTCCTTACGCTGATGGGGCTTCACGCCCGCCACAGTAGTCAGGTCTCGCTTTTGCTTCTTTTGCTGTCTCTTGCTGACACCTTCGCCGGCCCAACTACCCCATCCTGGGAGTGTGTTATCCACAACCTGGTCGCCTTCGTCTTTAATAGTGTCCATCTTGTCTTGTTCAAATTCTTGGACAACTTCATCGCCGGCAAAGGCTCTCTTCACGAGGTCGTGGTTCTTAAGCAAGACGGGCACCTTCTCCTCATCATCGCTGTCGTTCTCGTCGAATTGTTGTTTCGCCAGGTTTGACTTGGCGTTCTTTTGCTTCTTGCTCTGCTGCTTCGCCGGGGCAACTTCGGGCTGGGGAGCATCGAGTGAAATGTCAATACTCTCTTGGGCATCTGGCGCAGTTCGGCGACGATTGGTCCGTTCGGTCTGAATCAGCCAAGGGTTCTCCTCTTCCGCGGGAGCATCCTTTTGCTGATCGGAATAGTCGCGTGAAGATTGTGAACCCTTCTTATTGCCGGGAGCTTCTGCCTTGTGCTTCGAGGTGCTGTTGACAACAATGTCAACATCATCGTCTGATCCTGCAGCCTGTGCAGCTTCATCATCGGAATCCAGCTTCTCCTCAAACTCATTCTTGGGCACCTGCTTTGCGCCAGATTTGACCTCGGGCTTCTTTGACTGGCCAAACTTCCGTCGACCGACCTCCGACTCTGCCTCGGACACAGAATCTTCTCCGTGGAGTTCACGATTGAGTTGGCGAAGCTCTGCATCATTCTGTTCTTTGCGGGCGGCGTCGGCATTTTTCATGAATTTCATTTCGAATAGGTCAGCATGGCGTCCCTTGACACCATCCCTAGCATCATCGCCGCCCTCGAGAGCCTTCAGCTTCTTTTCGATCTTTTGTCTTTCTATATCGGAGCCTTCTTCGTTCCAAGGGTCCTCATCATCTGACTCGGAGCTTGAAGAGCCCAAGTAATCATCGTCTCCATTAGAAACACGCTTGCCTTCGATTCTCTTCCGTAGCTCCTCCTCTCTTTGGGCCAAGTCAGCTGCACTATTGCGAGCCTCTTCATCCCAGGCCGTGCGACCGGTCTGCTTCAAGCCCTTGGCCCATTTGCTTTCACGATGCTTGGAGCCCATGCGAGCTTCGGCTCTCAAACGCTCATTCTTCTCCTGGTCCATGTCGGCCATGTCCACGCCGGCTTCCATGAGTGCATTTTGCTCTTGTTGCTCCATCTTCTCGCGCTCTTTCCGGTGAACGCGGCGATAAGATTTGCTCTTAATCTTCTTGATGCGCTTGGCGCGCACTTCCTCTCGGAAAAGCAGGTCACGTCGCTTGCGGAGCTCTGCGCGCCGAGCCTGGATCTCCTCAATCGGAAGATTGCGGGCTTGCAATTCTTCGAAACTCTGGATCTGGTCCTCGGCTGACTTGCCCTCGGCCTCAGCCAGCCCACTCTCCACAAGAATGTTCTGGATGGCGTTTTCGAGGTCTGTCTGTGGCTTGGCAGCTTCCATGCGGTGAGTCTGCTCGGCATCAGGATCACGTAGCGGGAAGGAAAGATGTTCGGCTCTGCGGTTTGCCTTGACGGTTTCGAGCCATCGGTTCAAAGTCTCCTTGCTCTTCTCATAGGCAGCAGCCCGGTCAATTCGGTCCTGTTGGCGTTTAGCCAGAGGAGCATCTAGCTTGCCGGGAATACCCGATTTCGATGCCTGGACGACAGAGTCGATATGTTTAAGCGAGTTCTTGAGGCGAGAGTCCGTGATTGAGGGTAGGAGATCGGCGACAGTCAATTTGTTGGCGGATGTCAAGCCGTATTCTGAGTGCTTGTTTTGTTCTTGTGACTTTTGAGTACGTTTAGTAGGTTTTTCGGTCTCCATAGACTGGACGAAGTCTTTTAGTTTCGAAAGTCCGTGTGGATCCGCATCAACATCTTCGTCTGAGATAGAAAGCCCGTCGTCGCTGGCATCGCTTTCACTGTCCCCCTCTGACCCAGAATCCTCGTCACTATCGTATTTCGCAGCCCGCTTGGCTTTCTTAGCTGCTTCCTGAGCCTCCTCCTCCTCGGCTGCTACATTCATATCCCAGGCGGTCGTGAGATCAATGGCATCTTCTCCCAGATCATCGTCCTCGTCGTAGTCTTCACCGTCAGATTCCTCATCCGACTCGTCGACATCCTCAGACAAGCTGATCTCTGTAGGCTTCTTTGGTTTGGGTACCGCTTTGTTTGGTTGAGATTTGGACTTGGATGCGCGGAAAGTGAAGCCCTCGAATCGCTCTTCGTCGCTCTCACCGAGAGCTTCGTCGCTGTCCAATTCGCTGTCGTTATCGCTGTTCACTTGTCCAAGTGTCCATTCGTGTCCCTCACTGTCGCTGCCACCATCAAGACTTCCAGTGTCCTCAGTTCTGCGGCGTTTGTATTGGGCAGCGGTATCCTCCTCGTCGTTCTCGTCGTCATCGCCGCCGGTGTTCCTTTTGCGGTTGAAGGTGCCATCATCGTAGGCTCCAAGACGACTGCGCTTAACACCCAATTTAGTGTGGATTGTTTTCTCTGCAATGGACAGCGCATTTAGCGACCGAGTGCTTTTCCGCTTCGGTGCTTGTTTCTGCGCAGTGCGGTCTTTCGGACCCTGCTTCTGAGTCTGGCTGCGAGGCATAGTGGCGTATGAGCCAAGAAATCAAATTCTTGACTAATAAAGAAGTTTCAGACAGTACTTAAAAAAGCACCAAATAATCTGATGGCTGCTTTCAAGAGGGGTGTAGATGGTGTTGAACTTTTTTTCTGCCGGGAAAAAAAGTTCTCGGCGCGGAGATTAGCGCGACCCGTTCATTCGTCGAGTTTTGTCTCCCAACTTCCTCCGAGACAACTCGAATCGCTTTTATCCCCCTTCTATTCCAACTTCAAGGCCACAGAATTGTTGTCATAATGTTCAAGCCCACGCAGCCTATGATGGTGCGTTTGCGCTTGACCACCAAGCAGGTCAATGGTGGCTACTACAAGGGAAACCGGACCGGCTCCATGGGTCATTTCGACAAGAGAGGCACCTACAGGCCCGATTTGACAAAGCACCGTGTGTATATGCCTGCAGAAAAGCTCGAAATTCCTGGGAGGCGCTACACTGCTGAGACTGCGAAGGAGCCATTCACCGTGAGCATCCAGAACTATTTGATGCTCGTTGACTGAAATGCGAGTTTGCTAACATGGCTATAGCTCGCCCCCTTCATCACAAAACACATGCGCAAGACACCGTCGAACTACGTTCAAGATATCGAGAGAAATGGCCGAAAGATTACTGTGATCAGAGGTTTTGAGGGCAAGGACTATCTGGAAAAGTGGGCCGAGACCGCTGAAGCCGAAGATGCCCGGCTAGCACAACCGTACACCGAGAAGATCGAGAAGATCGAGATCAAGCCGACGCCGCAGCTCAAGCAGACTGTGCAGATTGAGATCCAAGAGCTGGCCCAAATGCCCAAGACGCCCAAGCCCAAGCCCTCCAAAACCCTTTTTTAGACATCAAAGACTGAAACCGCACAGCGGGGAATTTTTTGGTGTTTTCAACTGAATGTGAGCACGCAGAAGCCCAGGCACTTGGACGTACTCTCCAATCTTTATGCCAGCGGCCCAGCATACCATTCACAACTACCTTCGGCATCACTCAACAACTTCA